TGTTGTGATCCATCCTCGGCCCAGATGTCTCTTCTCCCTTCAATGCCACTGCAATATGGGTCCACCTTGCACTGAAACAAGTGATCATCCTCAGGGCGGGCAGTAGTATCCAAATGCCACGGAATTCTTTTCACAGTAAATTCGAGATTGACCATTTGATGACCCCTTGTTCCAATACGTGGCCTGGGCCTTCAATGGAGGGATAGGGAGTAGACCTAGCTGCAAGCAAGTACGGCATGAAAAGTCAAGCTACGAGCATCAACCCCCCTCCCCTGCAGCATCATTCAGCCTTCTGCCGTTTCGAAAATTATAGATCTGATGCCTGGATCTTGGTATCACCTTGTTCCCTATAGTGCACTGCTAAAGAAGAAACCACCCTACGCCTTACAATACGTCTAGTGTCCATTTTGACAGAACCAGTCTGTCCCCCGGACTCGGGTCAGGAGAATCTTTGGATCGCACGCCCACTGCGACGGGCTCATCTAGATCCCGCAGGCCAGGCCGTGCCTTAGCTGGCCAACGGTCTGTTCATGGCGCCGTAAGGCCGAAGGTCGTGGTGCACTCTGGTGTTGCACGGTTGCTGTTCTCCAGAAACGTTGGAGTATTCTATCTAGTGATATTTTTTTAGCAGCTGTGATTTTACAGGCTGTCAGCCTTCCCAGTGAACTCGAGTCCTATTTGAACATATTTTCCAAGCAGGGGTTGCGCGACTACACTTCAGACATGCGTAGCCTTCCGGGAGCATCAAGATTTGAAAATGTGGCTGCATTGCTTCCCGAGCCTCAACCTTCTGTTGGCCAACAAAAACGTGTTCAGTTGCATGAGGCTCGGCTAGCGGGATGTCAGGAATGTGCCACTACAATCATGCCTCGCGATATCTCAAGTCATACGATTTGAACTTGCTTTGAACGAGACTCGGTACTCTCTCAATGGTCATAATCAGCATTTACCGGCAGAACCGCACGCATTTTTTTAGTTTTCTCTGCTTAACGTGCCACTCGTTGGCGATGTCCGGGGATAGGTTCTTAACCATAATGTCGTGCATGTCACTTCAGCCAATTCCGTTCTGATATGAACAAGGTGGCAGATGTGTGCGGTAGAGGTCTACATAAATGGGCCGACAAGGCGTTTTCATCACCACAAATTGGAAGCCCCGGCCTTGCCAATGGCTTCCGCCAACCTGCGATCCTATTCACATGGAGGTGACGGCCATAGGGTTTGAAGGCCACAGAAGAATCATGAGAGTGTGTCCTAAGGGGGCGCATGTAAATGAACATGACAACCACAGACCGTGTATTGACTCCATATCCTAGGGCCATAGCAGTCAGCACCTTGCAGTCCTTAGAAAACCAGTTTTTGAATATTCTTGACCGATGACACCGAGATGACATTCTATTTAAAGAAATCCGGTGCTGTTATAAGAAGCTTCATGGATGCGCAACAGCAGCTCTGTCTATTCTCTCCTCTCTTGCCCTTGATATCTTCCTTCCCTATCACGTGCCTTTCCGTAGGATGGTCATTTGTAAACTCTTTCTCTTCCAAATACATGTTACATGGACCCCTTTTAGCACAAGGAAGGATGTATATAAAAATGGTGTAGAACTTTGTGGCACAGTCACACGCGTGCACAAGTGACAGAACGGAAACTTTCTCCTCGTCTATCCTGCAAAGAAGATCATTACTAGTAGGCCTTTTGGTTCTCTCGCCTCTGTAAGCATAACGGTTTTTCTGAACACACTAAACCAGCAAGACGCGCATCTCACGGGGGGTGGACTTGCAAAAAACTCTATTTCGCTCTTCACCGAACCCAGCGAAAGTAACCCAACGAAAGTTTGCGGGGTGGAGAGACAGGTACACAAGCTGGAAGTCATTTATGTCTTCTGCTCGCCAATGTGTTGTGTTGTATTTTAAGCAAGTGAGAGAGACAATCCGTAAGCCCACGGGTTTGTCCGAACCCGCAAGCATCTCACCTCCTCGTGGTTTTAATATCTTGTGACAACACTTCGCAATCGGCGAACCCCCCCAGATCCATTAACTTGGCTAACCTCTTTCATCTATAAGAGGCTATTAAAAGGGAAAGCGGAAAATACAATAGGAATCTTGTGAGTGATGAGATGGAAGCTCGGGAAAGGAGATGTTGGGGGAGTATTCATCATAGACTGGTCAATCGGATCCCCCCTCACTCGCCGCAATATCACATGACCAAGTACGAGCTCTCATGATGGGCAAATTCTCAGTCGAGAAGCATCTCTGCCTGATCCGATCGTGGTAACAATGTCACGCAATTGGCAGTGCTCCAGAATATTTGGAAACTCGCCATAGATTTTGCCCCCATCTCATCTGCCGTCCCGGTTCCGGGTTTGGAAGCTCCGAGGTGTGAACAAGCCGGATATTCAAAACTTCGTCTTCTCTCTCGCCACTCCAGTTTCAGAAAAAGGTGGCGAGTTAACATGAACCAATTTTCGGCGAGATCTTCACCGGCATCACTGACTTCCCCCCCGAAGGCGAGGCTGACAATGGTGGCAAAAACTTCCTCCCCCTTCCAAGTTCAAACAACCAAGACGACTAAGCTGTAAAACCCTTCCCCTAAATGTTGTGAATTGCCATGATATCCATGCTGATAGGATACCCCCTTTTTTGGTTTCTTCGGATGAATAGAAGAATATACATTATAGATCCCGGTATCTGTAGAAACTTATACCCACCCCCCATCTCCTCCTGATTTCCGCATCCGATCTCTCCAATGATTATTCATTACTGGGTGGGAAGGTTTGCATCATAACTCTGGGTTTTCCACACCCCCTCTCTTTGACCGCGAGTCGAGTACACCACAACCTCGCACAAATACAATGTCCGTTTCATGAGTTCATAAGAGATAGAGAGAGAAATCCCTTTGGGCGGAAACTCTTTCCGGAGGTCGCACTCCGAAATTAAGAATGAATAGGGGTGTCACCTGATCGCGCCAGCAGGCGCTCTAGCCCCCATGAACATGACAAGCCAGCGAGTCAGTTTTTGTTTTTCTCTCTCTCTTTGGTAAGCCCCCAGCCTCCTCCCCTTGCCCCCCTACCAAAACTACACGCCCCCCCTTCCTTTCAAAATCCAAGCTTGATAGTATTACACACGGCCATGATTCCGTCAATCAAGTCATGCGTTCCGCTGTCTTTGAAGATCATCTTTAGCACGGCGTGGGGAAACCATGCAAGATAGTAGTAAACGAGAAGAAGAAAAAAAAGTACTTGGACTATAGTGGCGGCGGGGGAGAGGTCCAAGCGGTAGACTATTCTAGGTCTTCGACATGTACTTGGTTCATTTTCCCTCCTTTGATCGCGTTCCTTGTTTTTGATTCGCGTGGTCTTCTATCAACGCTAGTCGAAAGGATCGACTTTCCCATGTTCCGTGGTAAGGCTCAAGCTAAGAAAGACAAAATAAGTCAAGTCAATGTACGTATCTCTTGGTAGGTAGTAGCAGCAGTGGTAGTGTTCAGAGCGGAGACCATCCAGAACAGACCAAGATCGTAGATCTTGTATGTGTGCGATTTTGCCATGGTTGTTGTAAAGTGATCCAAAGTTGTTCGGGGTCTTCGAGACCACCAAAGATTCCAGTACACTAGAAATGAGATCGTGTGTCTCGTTCTCCTGTTTTTGGCCATTGTGGTATCCATTTCAATGTCTCATCTCTCCATTCAATCCACCTTTGGTTCTGCTGATCATTCTGTCTTGTACATCTAGAATGTCATCTTTTTGTCCACCCCCACACATAATCGGCCCTTGTTTTGTTCGAGGATCCCCAAGTGACGAGGGAAAAGGACCCTGAAATTGGGACTTGGCCCCATCTGTGCTTGGTGTCCCATGTATGGACATAGTCCCCTTCCAGTCCGAGGCGTACCTGATACGTAGGATCAGAATCAAACTGCGGTGGCAATAATGTAATCCCGTGTCGAGGAAGTGTCTAGTGTGGTGAGGGATGCCATAGAGCCCCCAGCTTCCGTGTTGTTTCGAAGCGCGTCAATAGTCAAGTCAAATCTCCAAGACCCAGAAACACAATCAGTCAATCCGAATACGATGAGAACAGTAACACAAGTTTGTGAATCTGGGAATTATCGGCGATTATGCTATCATCTACCACGTATGATACACGGATGAAAGTCATAACGAATACAAACACAAAATGTAACAGCATGCCTTACGCCGTGACTTTTGCAATATGGAACTTCTAATGGATGAAACGGGGGCTCAGGATGATGCTATTTTATATCAAAGACGTCATTTCATGTCAAACTTGATGATATTATCGTGATGCCCTAACATGAGCTTTTCGATTTTGATTCTGCATGTCGAGATGAAGACTGTGATGGATATATAGATATTTACAAGATACTCGTAGAGCAGCGTAGCTCGGATGAAAACGACTTGACGGTTGCTCGTGTCACGTATTCCCCTTTGGCACGAAAGTTCGCGTTGTATTGGCTCCAACATTGATCTCTTCACATGAGAACGACGCGAGGCTACCGTGATCGAGACACATTATTTGGGTCATGAGCATATCTGAGTATCTTATTTTGAGCCTCCATCTTTCATTTACGCCGCATTAATGGCTAAAAGATCTATTGGTTCTCTGTGATATGACCTCGTAAGTGATAGATGAGTTGGTTGTCTTCACACACACTGTAATCATGACTTGTAAGTATCAGCATTGTGACATGTTACCCCTTGAGGGTCTGTATCGATATCAATCTGTATAGTAATACCAACATTACGACCAACAAGCAATTCTCATTGTGTACCACATCTTGGATATGAGGCTCCAAGATATAGAAAAGCTTCCTGTTGAAGAACAAGAATCGATTAAAAGGGCAGATCCAATGCTGAACAAATGAACCAAGAGCAATGAAGTAGATGGCTGTATCATGGATGAACAGAAATTGATCATTACTGTGTGCTTTTCTGCTCCTTTGTCTAGTGATTTCTATCTGTTCCCTCCCGAACTCCCAAGTCTACATCCTATGCTCTGAGATCCTCCATAAGGGACTGCAGGGTCGACCATCCTTCACTGCCTTCCCAGATCTCCTTGCCCTTACCCATGACGCTCCGGACCGCACTCCTGGCCTTGCCCTTCCACCTCTGCTCTCCAATGGTCTCGACACGGGGTCCCCAGTTTTCGTAGGCGGCTACCAGATCGCTCGTCCTCGAGACTACCGTCTCCCAGGCGTCCTTGTCTTCACCAGACTGCCAGTTGCCGTTGCCGCCGCCTCTGCCAGCCGCCGTGGTGACCTCGAGGGACGACGATGAGGACGCGGTCGAGCCTAGGGCGGCGCGCCAGCCCTTTTCTGCGGACTCGACAGCACCAGAAAAGTCCCTTCTCCAGGCGCGCAGGCGCGATACGATGGACCATATCTCCGAGTTGGTCGTGATAATGGGTACAACCTCATTCTCGATGAGCGCAATGACCTTGTTCTGCATGCTGCCGCGCGGCGCGACGTATACACCTTCGCTCGACGTCGAGGGGGCCTCCTTGGTCGCTTCCCGCACCAGGAGGGCGAGAATCTCGGCGTCGAGGGCATCCTCGCTGTTGCGAATGCGCAGGACGTTGCGGGTGCCCAGAATGACGTCGTCGAGGGCGGGCTCTGGGGAAAGAGAGGCGGCGAGCGTGACAACATTATCCCAGATCCTCCAGTTGGTGTGGGCAATGGTGGCTCCGCGCTTGAACGCTGTGAGGGCGTCTTGGATCAGCTTGTGGGCAGGCTTGTTAAGCTCCGCGGCGCGCGCTGTCGCTGGCATACTAGAGGCATCGATGCCCTTGATTGAGTCGTCGTTCTGATTCTCATCTTCGTCATCGTCGTCGGCATCTGCAGTCTTTTTCTCCTTCAGTCCCTTGCTCTCCTTGGCAATCTGTTTGTACCAGGACAATAGAGCCGTTCCCAGATTGCTCCAGGTCCTGGCGCCCTCACCACCTTCTTCGCCGTTGGACGCTCCTATGGCTCGCTGGTAAGCCTCCGTTGCGTCAGGGAAGTGACCCAGCCTGAGCTCAATGTCACCCAAGCGGCCCCAAAGCTCGGGACTGAGCCTGTTGACCCCTACAGCGAGGCGATAGGCTTCTGCTGCCTTCTCAAAATCCTTCTGAGCCAGGTACAGCTCGCCAAGTGACTTTTGTGCTCGTCCAAAGCGGTGGTTGGATATCTCCCAAGCACGTTCGTAGTGTTTGGGTTCATTTTCCAAGTCGCCCAGGATACACCACAGACGGGGTGCATTAGGTGGAGGGGGTTGGCGTTCCGCGCCGCCAAAGTCTTTTGCGTTGAGGGCATCAGTATCGGGTACACCATCTTCTTTGTCATCATTGTCGGTCTCGGGCGTTTGCCCGGTACGGTGGAACAGCCTCCACCGCACAATTGCCCGTGCCTTTTCTTCACCGCCGCTGCCACGACCATCGGAATCATCCGTATTTGCACTGCTGGCCAGGCACAAGGCTACTTCAGGCCATAGACGCAGCCGCTTGAAAATCTCCAGTGCAGATACAAGAGATCCCACCGACGTCCAGGCAAAGGCAAGCTCTGACTCCAAGTGCCACCTCGGTGGGGAGGATAGGGCGTTCACGTATCGCAATCGTACCTGAGGAGATGCCGACTCGGAAGCTTTGGCAGCAGGTAGGAAGGACGTAGCTTTGGGAGCGTCGTTGACTTGTGGTTCGTTATCCTCACCGGATACTGTGATAGTGGGCATCAAGTCATCCCCATTTGCGTCTTCAGAGTGCTCTTCTGCCTTTATATTTGTATTGGCGGCGTCAGTGTCTACAATGACTTGATCGACCACGGCTTGCAATTGCAGCACACCACGTTCGATTGTGCGACTTCGGTTCAGCTCTATCCTCGAGCGCACGAGTAGGGCCTGGGTATAGACCTGCCAATTTGTCGACTTGTCCTCAATGACCCTCTCCGCAAAAGGGAGTACTTCTTCCAACGTGAGGGAGTCTGCCGGGGAAAAGGTGTCCTTGAGGGTTGCTTCGGTAAGCAAGATGATTTGATCTTCAGCCTTGAGTTGGGGTTGGGTCTGTGGTGTAAGACCCTGCAGAGCTTCGGGCAGGTTCGACTCGGTGACGTCTTCGACCTTGTCATTTGTGAACGACACCTTTTCCAGCAGTGTCTCATCATTCAAGGGAACAGCGCTCGGTGCGGCGTTTGCCGAGTTCTGTTCAACGTCTTGTTCGTGATCGCTGCTCTTGGCAAAAACAACCAACTGACTTGTGCTGTCTTGTTGGAACTTTGTTCGCTTGCCGAGTGCGCCGGAGAGAGCAAACACGAAACCCGAAGTTTCGGCAGCTTTACTAAGAGCCTCCTTTGCCTTGTGGTCGTTGCCGAGCATTATATGTGCGTTGGCTTCTTCCAGAAGGAACTGAACCTTGGCATCCTTGGATAATCCAGTGCCGGCGGCAAAGATACGCTGACCAGCTTCCACCAGGCTCGTCTCGATTAATTCTTGTAGCGTTCCCACATCGGTGAACCGTCCGCTCTTGGTGAATAGTGATCCTGGGCCGAGCGAGGGCTGAGAGAGCAGCTTATAATGCCACAGGTGAATGCGGAAACGCATCCATACCAGGTCTCTGGTCAACTCATCCTGCTCGTGACTGGCTGTAGCAAGAGACACTTGGCCCGATGTGAATATCCATTTTGCGAGACAGAATAGCTCAATGTGAGGAATAATCGAATAGACTGATACACCATCCACGTCCAGAGATCTGAGACACGACCTTCTCAACGCGTCAATACTCCTCTGGCCCTGCTTTGCTTGAGCTCCCGACTCGGCTGCCAGTTGCTCGTATGTAGTGACGAACAACTTGTCGCTCTTGGCTGCGCCGTCCAATACCGGGCCCGTAACATTGGCTTGAAGAAATGCATTGAAACTCGCCGAGCCAATCTTCAAGACTTCTTCCGCTTGAGTTGAAGATGTCGAGCTCGGCGGCGAAGCATGACTGGCTCCTGGCTTGCCAAAGACGGTGTCCTGTAGAAACTGACCAACGATGTCTCGTGCATAGTCTGTGTTGAGAAGAGACAGATATGGCGATTCGCCGGTTATATTTGCGAGACTTAGCTGGTCAGCAGGAACATAGGATTTCTCCTTGGGCTGTTCCTCTACTGCCATGTCTGCTGGTAGGTCGATGTCAAATCCATCCATGTTTGCTGCCGTTTTTTATGCACGTCCCAGCCAGCCGTCTTATACGAAAATATCCCGAGCTGTATGCGCCCCCCCAGTGCACTGGCGGGGTAGAAAGTCTCTTGCTTGATCAACCTAGTAGAACCTGTTTGCAGAAAATATCGAAAATTCGACTGAGGAGAAGAATCGCATTTATGAGTTGTTTTAATTTTACGAGGCTTTTGCTCGTGAGAGGAAAAAAAAAAAGAGATAATCCAAAAAGACCGCCAAATTATGCGCGAGTGGCTCCTCTTGTCTGTCACTTTTGCCCAACTTGCGACAGGAATTTTCTGAATTTGGGGTCCAACTTTTTGGTGGGGGAGGGGCAATTGACTTGGTTGGTCATCCATAAAATAATGCATCAACGGGTCCGTGCATTCACCATTAATAATTACACCACGGGAACCGTCTCTGTCAAATTCGATCAAATACCATCAACAGTTCCTTTTTTTTTTTTTTTTTTTTATAAATAATACCACCCTAGGTTGGAACTGAATTCATGGCCGAATATGCAAGTTACATTGCTTTCTCTTTTTTTTCTTCTTAACCGTCATGATAATCATGTGATATTTGAATCAATACTGGGCAAACATCACCAGGCATGAACCTGCAGTACATTGCTTGAGGGTCTTTCTGCCCAAACCTCGTCGAAACCTCGTCGACTATTTAGTTGGTCTTGTCTCTCATAGTGAAGTTCACCATGTATTCTTGAAAGAGCGGAAATAAATCATGTGCATACAACGTTTCTCATGTTTGGCAAACTATCCCTTTTCATGCATGCTACCTAATATACATACATACATACATACATACATACATACATACATACATACATACATACAAGCCACAAAAGTGAACTTGATGCCGCTAGTAAGTGATACTAGCAACTACCATACCAAAGGCAATGATGACTGTAATCCTACATGGTACATTTGTGTACATGAAAGTGGCCGATATTTACTACATCTCGTCACTTATTTCTTGCCCTTCTTGCGAGCAGGGACGACCTTGAAGTCAGAAGGGATCGAGTTGCCGTTGTTCTCCTTGTGAGGGTTCTTCTTGGCCACCTCATTCCAGCCACCAGTCGGCTGCAAAGGCACCTCGACAGATCCTTGCTTCTCAAAGACACCCTTTTCAGCAAGCTTCTTGCGACGAATGAACTCGTTTGCAAACTCTCGACCATTCATGGTCTTGGAGATCTCGTAGACAACATCCGCGATAGTACTAGCTTCAGCGGGAAACTCGAGTAATGTCTGCGTGTAAACATCAACTGCAAGGATTGCGTTAGTATACATGGTCAGACGAAAGATGGATTCAAAAAGCTGCTCTTACCTTCAGCGACACCGCCCCTCAGCAATTGTCCTTGAACCCATTTGGTGAACTCATCCATGGCCTCGTTGCGCGACGTGTTGGCCGATGGCTTGGAAATGGGACGGGCAGCAGGGGCAGGAGCAACGGCGGGCTTGATGTTGCTGGAACTAACAGAACGAGACTGCACAGCCGGTCCGGTAGGGACCTTGACTTTGCCGCCAGCACCGACGGTAGCCCAGCCAGCACCGGTCACCGCGGCCGGGGTAGCACTCAGAGAGGTCGGTGTGGGCGATGATGCATTCGGCTTGCTGGCGAGGTCTGCATATCTCTTAGCACTAGAAGCAGCGCCCGACTGAACAGCAATCTCTCGAGCCTTGTTCTTACGGGCTTCCTCCTCGCGCTGAATATCAGCCAAGGTCTTCTTCTTCTCGGCAGCTAGCGTGGTTGGGGTCGTGCCCGGCGCGGGACCCTTGGAGGCTGCCGGCATAGTCCATGGGCTGGTGGCGGAGGCTGGAGACGACGTTCCCCAAGTGCTGGTGGTAGGCAGACCCGAAGCAAGTGCAGCCATCTTCTCGCGCTCTCTAGCAGCTTCCTGTTCTGCCATAATACGGCGAGCAGCAGCAGCAGCCTCTTCAGCCTTGGCAGCCTTCTTGGCCTCTGCTTCCTGGATTTCCTTCAGGCTTGGTCCACGGGGAGCTTCAGAAGCAGGATCCTTGGCCCAAGGAGCCAAAGGAGGCGGCTGAGTCACGTTCTCGGGAGTCTCGGATCGCGAGCTAGTAGCATACTGCTCAGGCAAGTTGGACTTGACGCGTTGAGGAGCGGGAGCAGGCAGAGGGGTTGAGGATTGCGGAGGAGGGAATGGCATGGGTAAACCACTCAAACGAGCCGCAGCGATTGCGTGTGCTTGCTCAGTCTGCTCGTCAATGGGACTTGCTGCTGCTTCTGGGGCCATGTCCTTGTCATCCTGCTTTTGGGTCACCTCCTTGGCAGATACAGTCTCTTTGGGCTGGGTGGGAGGACTAGATGCTGCCACAGAGTCGCTGGAAGATTGGTTGTCGAGAGCAGCACGTGTCTGCTCGGCTTGAGCATCGTGCTGTGCACGAAGTTGCTCAAACTCTTCCAGTCTTCCGCGAAAGCCTTCGTCGTCCTCTAGAAGTTCCTGCGTCTGCGGGAGACGGGCACGAAAGGACTCCATCGATGAACTGCCAACAGGAGCTTGGGAAGGAACAGATCCGATTGGGCCGGGGGCACGAGCATTCAGCTCTTCGTCACGAAACATATCACTAATGATGTGGCTGGAGGCACCGGGAGCCATGTTTGACTGCTGCGTGTTTGCCCCCAAAAAAGGACCAGCGCCCCCAACAGAGCCAATAGGGGGCTGCGGAGGCATTGCGATGGGCGAGTTGATACTACCAAAACTGGGCTGACTCTGCAAGCTGTGAGCGCTGGAGTGGTGATGCAGTCCTGGATGACCTTGCAGCTGAACTCTTGCAAGACGCTGCTGATTGGACAGTAAATCTCGGTGCTGCGCCATCATATACTGCTCTTCCTGCTTGCGTCTCTCGAGGTCATTTTGCTCCTGCGCAGTCAACGTGCGGCCAAACTGGGGAAACACGCCGTTCAGGGGCGGTACAATGCCACCTCCTGCACTTGGAGAGAAAGGCCCAGCCGGTGCGGGTGGCCCATGAGGAATGCCCATCATGGGGACAAGGAATGGCTCACGAGAATTGCCAATACGCCTAATAAGCTGACCCAGTGGCTCAAACTCGGGGTCTTCAACTCGCTTTACGCGCAAGTCAGCAGTGAAGAAGTTGGCCTTGTACCAGTCATTCATCTCGAGACCGGTAAACGGACCCTGCTGGTGACCTTGGGGATCGAGATAGACCCATCGCATCCGATCGGGCATAACCATGCTCCGGGGTTGGGCCGAAGGAGGCTCTGCGATAGGATTGCCGCTGAAAGGGGTGCCCGTAGTTTGCGGGAAACCCTGGGGTTGGGCAACAGCCGAAATACCACCAGCCAGAGCTTCCGAAGTGACAGCAGACCGAGCGTTATCGGGGTTGAACAAATCACCGAAACCACCACGACCAGTTCCGATTGGAGAATCAGTGTTGCGGCTGGGTTCTCCGAAGGCATTGCGGCCGATGGCACCAAGCGGGTTGGTGTTCATTCGAACATCGGGAATTGAGTCGGCCAGGCTTTCGTTGTCTTGATTTGCCATTTGCGACTGCATCGCCGGGGGGAAGAGAGATCCCAGTTTGCTGCCTCGGCCAATGGATCCAGAACCAGGAAGTCCAGTGCTACTAACAGGGCCGAAAACACCGCTCAAGTTGCCCAGACTTGGAGAATGGAGATCACCCATTGGCGAAAAGAGGGAATTTCCAAAAGCATTGCCGAAGGGGTTGCGTTCACGGTCAGGAGTGGCAGAAGTGGGCCAACCACTAAGAGTGCTAATTGGTGGCAGAGGCTTCGCACCCACGCTGGAAGTCTGACTTCGGTCACTACCCTCGAATGCAGCTTGACCAAAGGGGCGAGGGAAACCGCCAGCACCGAAGGCAGAAACATGGTCTGAACCGCCAAGTCCCAAGCCATGGCCTTGGGCGCCTTCATTACCCTCCTCGGTTGCACCACGTTCTCCAGGCGGGCTTCGGTAGGGATTGGTCTCGGAAGGGCTCAGCGGCTCATTATCCAATGCGCCACCAAGATTCAGGCCGGACATTCCAAACTCGCTAGCCGATCCTTTGACGGGAGTATCGAACAGAGTGGCACGCTGAGTTGGCGGAGGACTGGTGTCCTGCGCGCCGCCCAACACAGCACTGCCTGATAGATTTTCTTCGCCAGCGAACGGATCGGTATCAGTGCGCTGACGGGGACGCCAAGGGGCCCTGGGATCAACCGCTGATGATGGCTCACTGCCTCGACCCGCCATATTATCATTGCTATCCTTTGGGATCAAGCGGGCAAGGCGAGACGGGCCTCCAGGACGTTTGTCGCCAATGGCAGAGGAACCAGGCAGAGCAAAATTTCCGAAGCTACCCAGGGCCGAGGCTGGTGAGTTTGTCGCGCCAGAGGATCCCCACAGAGAGGAGGCGTTTGCAAGACCCGAGACACCTGTGGCGGTGTTGTTGCGTACCAGGCCAGCAAAGGGATGCGGGGAGTTCTGTCCCGGTGCGGGTTCACGTGGTTGGGCGTCTCCTTCGGGTTCTTCAAACATGGCGTCCTTCGCATCGCTCTTTCGAAGCCAAAACGAACCCCCTTCTCGCGTCGCCGAGGTAGGCGAGGTTAGTCCCCCTCCACCAGAATACGGGTTAGTGTCCGTCGTCTCACGTCGCCTGGTTCCTGGCCTAGAGGCAGACGAGGGAGAGGCTAGGGAAGCACCGTGGCTGACAGACGTCTTACGTCCTCCATTCAAGGCATTCCCGTCCTTGTTTTGAGGCGGCGGCTTAACGGGCGAATTGACATCGGTCGTAAACAGATCGCGCTCGTCTTCTGTCATCTCCCGGAGACCGCTTGGTATGCTGGCAGAGGCAGGATCCCAACAAAGGTCCGGCTCTTGTGGCTGGACATGAGATTCGCCACTTTTGCCCCAACCGCGAGTTGCCGTGTTACTCCCATTAACGTGACCCGGATTCCAGCCTTGCACGAATAAGGAAGACACATCTGCTGAAGGAGCGGACTCGTAAATGTTCAGCAATTCTTCTTTCGTATATCTGCGTTGGGTTGACTCCACAGTCGTGCCAAGAGACTGAACAGCGTCGGCAGGGGCCGGCTGGCTGCTGATGGACTGGCTGGGAGTGGTCGAGGGTCTTCGAAAGGTTAACGTTCCATTAGGCCGACCAGTTCTAGACCTATTGATATACACTTGTTAGTTTACCAGTTCGCCGACATGAGATCGGTTGGGTACGTATGAGAATCGTCAAGGAAGATTGGTTCGAGTGCGAGGGCAGACATGGACAGCGACGGGCCCAGTAAAACAAGAAAAAGCAATCATGGAACACAATTGGTGCGCAAATGAAGGTAGGGAAAAGGTTGTGGGAAACCAATGCATCAATCATGGCGAATGGCCTGAATGGACAGAATGCTCCAAAGCTCCACGACTGCCGCAAGGGTGATTGGGGAAAAATTTGAATTGGGTTTGACCGAGAAGAAAGGCGACAGCAAATGAGGGAGACGACTTACCACTCTCCACTGTTGTTGTTTCGTCCATCGCGTTGCGAGTTCTGTCCAGCGGCGGCTGAGGCGAAACTCGATGGTAGATTCGACGGCATGTTGGGAAGTATGTAGACGAGATGCTCGCTCGGGGGGGTGAAAATCACGAAGTACTAGCTAGGGCACGGCACCGAGACAAGAAGCCTTGATGGCCGGATGCTTTTGTTGTTTTCGGAAAGGGAGTTGTAAGATCGGTGGACTTTTTGGCAGAGTCTGCGCAGTCTCGAAAGTGGACAAGAGCCTGATGGGGGATCGTGTCGCGGGTCGATTGGTGGAGGTTGCACAGTTTTGAGCTGTGTCTCTGTCGCGGGCGCGTGAAGCAAAGTGCAAGATGACGTTTTCTTCGACGGGCCGGAGGGGTGCGGAAGGAAAGAGTTCCAATGAGCTTTGGCAGCAGGCGGAGGTGAAAGTTTCCAAAGCCGAAGCAGTGGTGTGAGATGTTGCGATGACGCGGGAGGTGGATTGCAGGATTGTTTTTGTTCGTCGTTTGGAAATGTTCGCTCGTGACTGTAGTCTTCTATTTCGGGGGGGTGGTCCAAGAGGATGTCTAAATCGTAAATTTCAGAATTTCCACTTTGCCTCTGGGAGAAGCAAGTGCACCAAGCTGCCAGCCAGTGGCCGATCAGGCCAGCCCAGCAGCCAGTCAGCAGCAGCTTGCACCAGGCAGTTGACCAGCCAGGCTGCCAGGCAAGCAAACGCCGCCGGCCGAGCCCCCAAAAATTCTAAAAAGCTCACCAGCCACCGCACTAAACTCCAATCGAACAAGCTGCCAGCTGCCTCCTGTCAGCCTCAGTCGGCGAGACAGACGTTGGATACCCCAAGGTACTCACGGACTACGAAGGAGAAGAAGAAGAAGAAGAAGAAATGAGACAACGCCAGCACTCGAGATCTAGTCTTGTCTAATAACTCTTGTTCTGTCTAGGTCGTCAAAAACTCAATTCGCATTCCATTCCCTACTACTACCTGGGCTAATAATAATGATATCTTTGCTCCCCTTGAGACTCCTGAATCACGTGTTTGTGCAGAGCTCTAACAATCTCAACGTGCTGCTAGAAGAAGGGACAAAGAAAACTAGGATGACTCGAGGTTGCGTGCATACTGCCCTTTTTTTTTTTCCCTCTCCCTTAGGCTCGTGCCGGCTCATCGGGTATTCGCAAGAGACATCTGTCCAGACATTGGACACCAACCCGACTGGTCGGCTAGGATGGTCCTCCTTTGAAAGACATTCGAATCCACAGCATATCCATCCATCCCCCAGACGACCAGTGGGCAAGATGACAACGATGAGGAGTTGCATACTGAAGAGAAAAAAATCCCCCCTCCAAATGGACCGCAACTTCTGGATATTTTACCCCCTCTCCGCTGCGACGACAGGTGTCAGCAAAAATTTGTCTCTTTGTGGGGCAAAGTATAGAGGTGGGTGATGAAGGTTAGGCATTAACAAGGCAAGGCAAACCTTGGATCAGTCGGTATTTGGCTTACGCCTGGTAGAAGAATACGTGCAAAGTCTCCTAGAGTGATGCATCACGTGCCATCTTACCCCTTCATCTGTTGCGCGTGTGAATATCCTTACTTTTCTTTGCAGAACGTGGAAGATGGGGGATTGGTATCAATGGGTTTAACGCTTCCATTATAAGACAGGAAATAAACGCCACTCACGGGACACAACATCTTACACAGCAAGAGCAACAACATGAGCTGACAAGAAAAATCTGTGAATGTACTAGTATCCAACAAATTACCTTATGATACTTCACATCACACTGTCACCAAATATATCTCGTGCCCTGCCGGACATGGCATCTATGGTCAGAGAAATTGTCAATCCTTATCTTATGATGTGAGTGCTTGGGCATCTCTTGATGCGTTCTGCTGTACCCCTGGAACATTTATCCTCTGCTCTCGTTGCCATGCAACGATTGGATGTGCTGAAAATGGCGGGCATAGCTTTAAGTGGTATGATACAATTTTGTTAAAAGTATTGAGTGATCATAAAATGTTTTAATAGCTCTTACAATAACCCGGAACCTTGACTTCCTACAGATGTAGTCATGAGATGGCTGTGCTCACGTGATGAAGGCGTTTACTTGATATTTATTAACAACCAGAATAGCTCTTTTCAAAAGCCGTGGGACTTTAATAATCGCTACCTACATACATAACTGCCGACCGGACATGGGGTCCTTGAAAACACCGACATCATAAATCATAGCCAAATAAGAGCCCATGTCAAACTATAACGTTGACGTCGACGTCGACGATAGTAATCTTTGGGTAGATAATACGGGGTGGGTAGGATAAAAGTGCAGTGTAAGCTGGACTACCTACCAAGCCTACTTAGTATACATAGTATTTTAAGTGTGCCGAGCCACCCGCCTCCCCACTCGAACTGGCCGCGGTTGATGAGTAAGGGCCAGTTGAAACACAAACCTTTGAACATTGAGGACTTTTCGGATTTGCCAAGCGTCCAAGGTTAGACTAACAAAGAACAAAGATATATTGGACCGGAAATGGAATGGCTTGGCGTATGCATACCATGCGTCATGAACTGCAGAGCTCATACCCGAGCCACTCGTAGCTAACTGACCAATTAATAGTCCAAGATGACTTGGCCGTCTATCAGGAACTGGTTCTTCGTATATGCGAAAATCACTGGTAGCGTGAACAACAGGGGTCAAGTGGTGTGGCCACAGGCAAGACAGGCAGGACGAGTACTGTGTATGCAGGGCAATGAATCGTCCACTGCCAGCATTATCATAATACGCATGTAGTGCAATAGACTCATTACGTCAGCACTACTGGAGATAGTAGGTTGAATCCCGAATTCCTGCCGCGTCCCAGTTTTCCCAAGGGAATCGCTGCCATCTATTTGGCGCGCGTCTGTCGGACAATTCAGACATCTGAGAAGTCCGAGATCTGCTTCGAAAGCTTCCAAAGCTTCTCGAAACGCACGTACCCTGCCTTGGCCTACCAACCTACCAACCTACCATAGCCTTCTTACATACCCTGGACCCTATGGTTTTTTCTTCATGAACAGGTATCCACTCTTTCCCGAGAGATCCTATGTATGTCACCGATATGCGGCAGCTTGCTAGGGGCGGGATTGCGGCAGTCTTGCGGGCCAAGAAAGCTTGTATTCGCTTATGCCCGAATCCCGGTGCAAGATTCCGTCACAATGCTTCCTTCCCATGCTTGGGACGGACAAGTAGCGTCGGCACTTGATGATTTTGTCCAGCACCAGCGGCAGCGTAGGTAATCACAAAAACGCCATTTGAAGATCCCGAGGTGCCATTGGCATGGGGCAAAATCTTTAATGTGGCACACGGGCACTTCCTTGCTGCTACCTTCCTTGTATTATGCACACTACCATGGCTGCATGGGCACTCCTTTCTAGAATGTCCATGCCTGTTCGAACTATCGATAACCGTCGAGACAATTGCACAGGGCGAGAGGCGCAAACCCACACAAAGTGACGTCTTTCCCGTGGCCCAGGAGGTATTAGACAATAGCCGCCCTTCAAAGCCGTTCTCCGCAAGTGGAACTCGCCCGAGACAACCATCAACGCTGCGGAGATAGTCAAACACAAGCTCGCGCTTATAGTAGAAGGCGAGTAGCGTGGACGGTTGGCACGCATATAAAGGAAAGCCATCTTGACAACATGGAACTTGGAATCATTATAGAGATCAACTCAAATCAAACTCATCAGGCATACCAGTCGATACCGACAAGTCTTTGCAAATATAATTATCACATATTCTCCGTGCACAAAATCGCAATAAAACCCCACAACCATCGACCTACCTAGCTAGGTACCTAGTTCATACATACTTATATCGCCATGACCGCACGCAACCCCCTTGGCAAGAGGCTGATCCCTCACATCATTGATGATTTCGCCAAAAACGAGCCTGAGCGAGAGGCATTCAAGATTCCAAACTCTGCAAACGTTCAAGATGGATGGAAGGTTGTCACATGGAAGGAATACGCCAACGCTGTCAACCATGCCGCTCACCGAATCACCGAAATTTGCGGCAAGCCAGAGAAGGGCACATTTCCCACAATCGCTTACATTGGCCCCAATGATGCCCGATATGTAATTATCATGGTTGGTGCCATCAAGGCTGGTTACAAGGTGAGACACAGCGCATCCCCGTTTTGTTGTTTCTTGTGAAGACATGCTAACTTGATAGGCCTTGTTCATCTCCCCTAGAAACTCGCAAGAGGGCCAGCTCAACCTGTTCGAAAAGACAGACTGCCATGTCATTATCGCCCCCAAATCCCACCACAACGTTATTCAACCATGGCTACACGAGAGAGAAATGCAGGCGGTCGAGGTTGGCGAAATGGACAGATGGTTCCCTCAGAGAGAGGTTCCTCACTTCCCCTATGACAAGACCTTTGAGGAGGCCGAGTGGGATCCAGTCGTCGTTCTACACACCAGTGGCAGCACTGGCCTGCCCAAACCTATTGTTGCTCGGGTTGGCATGCTGTCCGTCGGTGATGCTTACATTGAGCTCCCAGAGTTCCAAGGCACCAAGTTCCACTTCAATATGTGGACAGAGAAGGCCAAGAGTCACTTCTTCCCCAGTAAGTCGCAACGCTCCGTTCAAGATTTGGACTCTATACTAACCATGATAGTGCCATTATTCCATGCTGCTGCATTATACTCCTTTATCAACATTGCAGTATACAGAGCCTCTCCGTGCGCGTTCAGCGTCGATCGTCCCCTTTCGTCAGACCTCGTGGCTGAGACATTGCAACATTTGCATGTTGAATCCGCATTTCTACCACCGGCAATCCTTGAAGACATGAGTCAGGATGAGACCTGTATAAAAGAATTGACAAAGCTGAACTTTATTGTATTTGGTGGCGGTACGTTCTGAATCCCTCACTTTAAAATGTTAGCAGATCACTAATGCCATGATAGGCAATCTCGCCAGAGAAGCCGGAAACCGGCTGGTCCAAGCCGGTGCACCTCTTGCCAATATGATCGCCGCAACAGAGTAAGTCACTTTCACCCAACTACCTCACAACCCATTGACTAACATGGTTTTGCAGAGCCACTCCATGGCCTTACTTCTACCAGAGTAATCCTGACCTTTGGCAATACTTCATCATCAACTCCGACCTCATGGGCTACGAGTGGCGCCCAACGAGTGAGGAGAATGTCTACGAGCAGGTCGTGGTCCGCAAGGACAAGAACCACCCCGGTCTCCAAGGCTTCTTCTACACGTTCCCCGACGATACTGAGTACTACACAAAGGATCTGTACAAACCCCACCCGACGTTGCCCAACCACTGGATCTATTACGGAAGAGCCGATAATATTATCGTCTTCTCCAACGGCGAGAAACTTAACCCAGTAACAATCGAGGAAATCGTTTCGGATCACCCGCAGGTCCAGGGTGCTGTAGTCGTTGGTACCAACAAGTTCCAGCCGGCCATCATTATCGAGCCCGTGACATACCCCAAGAACGAGGACGAGAAGAAGACATTTTTCGACTCGGTCTGGCCGTTGGTGGTAAATGCCAACAAGGAGACGGTGGCCCATGGACAGATTGGTCGCCAGTTCATGATGTTGACCAGCCCGGACAAGCCTTTCCCCCGTGCCGGAAAGGGTACAATCCAGCGGGCTGGAGCCGTCAAGCTGTACAAGGATGAGATTGACCAGCTCTACGAAAAAGTCAACCAGGTGTCCCAGGCGGAAGCCCCGCGTCTCGATGTCAGCTCCGAGGACGCCCTTGTCAGCTCTATCGAGCGATTGTTCGAGACTCACCTGCAATCGCCCCATCTGGAGCCAGACACGGACTTCTTCTCAGCAGGTAAGTCTAGGGCTTTCCAAAGGTATTTGTGCTACTACTAACGGAATATACAGGAATCGATTCCATGCAGGTCATCAACGCATCGCGACTGATCCGTGCCGGTCTGGAAGCTGCTGGCTTCCCCACCGACAGTACTTCACTAGCCACTCGCGTTATTTACGGCAACCCGACGCCACGTCGTCTGGCTCAGTACCTGATGGCGACGCTCGTCAGCGGCAACGGCAAGGACACGGCAAACGAGGACATGGAGCAGCAGCGCGTCATGAAGCAGCTCCACGACAAATACACCCGCCACCTCCAGGCAGGCAAACCCGGCCGACCTGAAGCTGCGGACAATAACCAGGTCGTGCTCCTGACAGGCTCCACCGGCATGCTCGGATCATACTTGCTCGACAAGATGTCGCGAAACCCCAGGGTGAAGAAGATCATTTGCCTGAACCGGGCCGAAGACGGCGGCGTCGCCCAGCAGGCCAAGGCCATGCGGGAGCGCGGGCTCGACACCACGTACGGCGGCGGCAAGGCCGAGTTCCACCACGTCGACATTTCGCGCTCCGATTTTGGCCTGGCCCGGGACGTCTACCAGCGCCTGCTCACCGAGGCCGACCGCTTCATTCACAATGCCTGGCCCGTCAACTTCAACATCTCGGTCGAGACCTTTGAGCCGCACCTGCGTGGCGTGCGCAACGTTGCCGACTTTGCCACACGCGCTGATAAGCGTGTTGCCGTTGTCTTCATCTCGTCTATTGGCACCGCCGACAGGTGGGACGCCAGCCAAGGTTCCGTTCCAGAGCACCGTCTCGAGGACGTGAGCCTTGCCAGTGGTGGATACGGACGCAGCAAGATGGTCGGCGCCTTTATCCTAGAGGACGCGGCCAAGGTCGGAGACTTTCCGGCCGTCAACATCCGCGTGGGCCAGATCGCCGGACCCGAGGGCGATGCCGGCGTCTGGAACCGACAGGAATGGTTCCCCAGCATCATCGCCAGCAGTTTGTACCTCAAGGCCCTGCCCGGCGACCTGGGCATCATGAACCAGGTCGACTGGACCCCCGTGGAGCGAGTCGCCGGCCTGGTGCTCGAGATTGTCGGCGTGGCTCAGCAGAACCGCCCCGAGGATATTAGCGGCTACTATCACGGCGTCAACCCGTCGCACACGACCTGGCCAGAGCTGGCGCCCGCCGTGCAGGAGTTCTACGGCAAGGACCGCCTGCCCGAGCTCGTGAGCTTCCAGGAGTGGGTGAGCCGTCTAGAGAAGACTCAGGCCGAGGATATGAGGGCCATGGACGCGAATCCCGGTATCAAGCTGCTGGACACGTACAAGGGAATGGCCGAGGCCGCTCAGGCTGGACACAAGCCGGTCACGTTTGAGATGCAGCGCACAACGAAGCAGAGCCCTACAATGAGAAACGCAAAGGCTGTGAGCCCTGAGCTGATGAAGCACTGGTGTAAGCAGTGGGGATTTGCTTGAATTGTACCAAGTCTATCACTTTATTTTTGTACTGCATAGGATTAGACCGGCATTGGGTGTGGCTATCATAGGAGTTAGCTATTTGAATTCATACTAGTGATTATTTATTTATCAAATCATGTCCAAGTTGTATCTTGCTTTGGTATTTATGACCACGCTGGCCCATGTTCATATTGCATGATGGAATTTATCAGTGCACGACTTCCGCATTTATAATAACAACCATAATCTCGGAGCCGGTAGAGTGGATATTGGATGCTCAACTGGGACCGGCATCGCTTTCGGAGCCCTCCGTGCGGAGCAAAGATAACGGGCCGTTCTATAGTGATAATCTCGACCACTGAAATTAGAATCCTTCTACCTGGACCCCACCTCCTTAGTGAGGACTTGCCAACTGACTTGTCTTGCCTTATCTTTCGGATCGAGTGGGCAATGCCGGCGGCAAGCAGATATAGATGAGGCTTCAATATAATATTTATGAGAACGATTAGACACCTCCTACATCATTCTGGATTCTTCGACCCGAAGAAAAAAAAAACCCTCAAATATCGCCTCAAGTCCAATCGACAAGCAGAGTGACCAGACAACATATAAGAGTGATCGCCATTGGATTTAGTGGACGCCAGCAATAATCACCACGAGTGCAAAATGGCCACCAAAAATTTAGATGTCGGCGTTTTCATCCCGATAGGCAATGACGGATGGCTTATTTCCACCACAGCCCCCAGGTTTATGCCAACATTTGAGCTAAACAAGGAGATTGTGCTAAAAGCTGAGCGCTATGGTTTCGATTTTGCCCTGTCAATGATCAAATTGAGGGGGTTTGGAGGCAAGACGGAGCACTGGGATCACAATCTGGAATCTTTCACACTCATGGTACGGGATGACCTTTTTCTCCACAGGTAAAAATTGCGCAGGAAAAAACAGAGACAACTAACTGGTTTGTGTGAATAGGCCGGTCTGGCAGCGGTGACGTCCAAGATCAAGCTCTTTGCATCAACGGCAATTCTTACGTTGCCACCTGCGCTATGCGCCAGGAGTAAGCAGCTCTCTTTATATACCGCAAAAGCTAGAAACAATGATTCGAATACGTACAAATTTTTGAGATGACACATACTGACGCCTACGATTTTGTAGTGGCCACCACCATCGACTCCATTGCGCCAGGACGCTTCGGTGTCAATATCGTGACGGGATGGCAAGCCGCCGAATGTAAGCACATGCACCATGTGCATTATGCCCATCGTCTCTCTTGGCCAATACAACCACTAACATATAAGAAAAGACACGCAAATGGGCGTCTGGCCAGGCGACGCTTACTTTGGGTATCGATACGACTACGCCGAGGAGTACGTGCGGGTGATGCGCGAGCTCTGGGCAAACGGCACCTCGGACTTCAAGGGCGAGCACTTTAAAATGGACGACTGCAAGTTGAGCCCGCGCCCTTCGGGCGACATCAAGGTCATTGCCGCCGGCCAGAGCCCCCGCGGCGTCAAGTTTGCGAGCGAGTGGGCCGACTACAACTTTTGCAGCGGCAAGGGCATCAATACGCCCACGGCCTTTGCCGATGCCAATGCCAGGCTGGTTGACGCGGCCAAGGACACGGGTAGGGATGTTGGGGCCATGGTGAGTTTGTCTCGAGAAATCCCTCTTCTGCGAAGCGATATATTTGAGGATAAAGGAATAATCTGACAATAAACGAAACAAAGGTGCTCTTTATGATCATTATGGACAAGACCGACGAAGCAGCGACGGCGAAGTGGGACTACTACCGAGAAGGCACCGACTGGGACGCGCTGTCATGGGTCGCAGACCAGAGCGGAAGGGATAAGCAGGCTGATGCCTCCTCCACGGCCAGACGTCTAGTGTCCACGCTGGGCGATCCGGTCAACATGAACGGGGGCACGCTGGTGGGAGGATACGAGTCAATTGCGCGCATGTTGGACGAGATTGCCGAGGTGGAAGGACTCAAGGGTGTCATGTTGACGTTTGACGAGTTCCTCACTGGGCTGGACAACTTTGCCGAGTTTGTGCAGCCGCTGATGAAGAGTCGGGCCAAGATCAATGGGGTTGCTTAGTACATGTCGTTTCTAGAATAGATATCTGGAAAATCATGAAAGATGATGACAATGATTTAAAGTCACGAACTTGAGTCAAAGAAGTAGATAAAATTGAAGATGATGGGCAGCTTTTGTGGTGGGTGGTCCGTAATCTTGTCTACGAAACGATCGAAGAAGAAATAAGACAGAATACTCTGTCATCAATTTACAAGGCTGATTTACTGTCACTCGTGATCACTTGCATTGAAAACTCAATATTCGTCAAGAAACAAGTACTTTTTTGTTTCCTATATATTCCGTGAACCCATTGACCATCGCATGAAACTTTTTTTGGTGTTTTCTGTTCCGTTTCCTGGACCGATTGTCCATCTCAAGCAAAGACTCGACAAAGTCGATCTTTATAAGCATTCCAGATCCAGGTTATTCCGTGCCATTCAGAAACCAGTGTCCTCAATCCTAGGCCGTGGCTGTCGGAGAGTCTTTTTGGTTCTCACATCTCTCTTTCTGATCTTCCATCTCTCTTTTCTGATCTTTCCCTCTATGGTCTGATCTAATTACCCCACCATCTCAAGATGAACCAATCATGATTCTTGCAATCTTCCAAGGCCTGGTCTACTTCATATTACCATCCATGATCTGTTGTACCTAGGTACTTGATTCCCTAAGAGGAGCCGGTGGTACCGTAAGTAGTAGCAGTAGATTTTGCGCCGGCAGCAGCAGCAGCGGCTGCAAGTTCAGCAATGTTGCGACCGGTCCAAGCACAATCCCAGATGGTGAGCAGAGCCCAAAACTTGATGAGCGAGTGGTAGTAGGCAAAGGCGACGTAACCTGGGAACATGATGAGGTGGCTGGGGTAGCGACGGAAGTGAGGCCAAGTCTTGACGAGCTTGGTAGCGAGGATCCAGATAACCATGACGCGCACGTCGGCCCAGCCGTGAGCCCAGGGAAGCTGCTGCCACATGTAGCAGAGGAGAAAGTCCCAGAAGACGGCAAAGTTGATCATTCCTGCAATATATACGGCGTAGATAGACCAGGGCTGAGTCTCCCAGATGCGGCGCATCATGAGAATGCGAGGGTTGGAGCGAAAGGTGGTACGGGCCCAGCGGGTAGAGGTGCCGAGGTGCTTGGGGAACCATCCCAGAGTAGTCTCAATCTCGCTGTCGTCCTCGGACTGAATGCGGACGCCAAAGCCGTGCTCAAAGATCCAGCGAGTAATGAAGTTGTCATCATCAGGGCTGAGGGGACCCCAAAGCATACCCAAGAAACCAATCATCTCATTGGTGTAGCTGTCGCGGAAATCGGCATCGCGAAGAATGTCGGAGCGGATGGCAAAAGTGCGACCAGAGACGACAAAGACGCCACCGTCGACCCAGTTGGAAGCCATGATCTCGAAGTTGTGACGGGTCAGGTACAGCGAGCCGATCATGTTCCAAAACAGACTCCAGCGACCCTTTCCATGCTCGATGCGGACGCGCTTGTTGGTGCCGACAAGTCGAATGTTCTGGTCCTCAAAGGCGGCGAGAACAGAGGGGAAGAAGCGACGGTGAAGGGGCCAGAAGACGTGGTCGTCGACACAGATGGTGATGGCGGTATCGATGATGGGAGCGACATGATCAATCTGAATTCGCTTTCCAGCGGCGGGAGCTGCCTCGACGCGAATGTTGATCTTGGGCCAGCGCACGCGGAGACCAGCGGCGACGCCCTCGGCGGCATCAACCATGCTCTCATGACCAACGACAATAAAGAAGTTGCGGGGTTCTTGGGTGCAGACAGACTCGGTGCATTCTCGGAAGATGTCACCATGGGGCTCGACGGTCGGGCAAATGACGGTCACATCATTTGCCGTGTAAGTCGGAGGGGATCGACGAGGAGCGGGACGGTAGAGACGGTAAGCTACAATGTTAACAAAGAGGCGCCAGTAACGGAAAGCGAACAATCCAACAAAGGCGGCCACTGGGCCAACGGTGATGGCAGTGTTGAAGAAGCGGCAAGTGAAGGGACCAATGACAAGATACGGGACAGTGAGGAAGCAGAACGCTAGAACTGCCAGGAGGGCCGAGAAGGCCAGGGCCGTGAGAGTAGGACCCCAAGCCATGGTGTCGAGCTTGCTTACTATGTGTTTCTGATGGTGGTGGTGTTGATTTACTGTCGCGACGGTCGAATTGTAGATGTTGAAAAGTATCAGTGCTGTGACACAACAAGTTGTAGTGTTGCGATTGTTTGGTTGTTGCTCAGTCGCAGGTGTTGAAGAGCGTTTGCATACTTAAAGAGAATTTTGTACGCGGGGTTGGACAGCGTCAGTTGCCTGGTGAATGAATTGCAAACGGCGCGGCCGCAGAATTTTTTTTTTCAGTCTTGGTGTTTCTTCGTTGCCTGTTGCCCAGGTGAAATGTTGATGTTCATTCTTCGACTTGAAGTGTGACTTGTTGTCTTTCCCTTCCAGATGATGACGCGAAACTCACAGATTGTTATAGCAACGAGGTGACGGGAGTAACAATAGGAGCAGTTTACAAGAGACAACAGATTGAATAAAACAATCCTTTTCTTCGTCAGTGAAGTGGCTTGGCTGAAGACTACATATGGGGTATTGGGGCGCACACAATACGTATGGCATCAAAGACTTGACCGAAACAATGAAAGGATTTGTGCGCGAATAACGGAATCCATGATAAGTCCTCTTAATGTTGGTGACATTCTCATTGTTCCTGTGGACGATTCCCAAAGCCACAAATATCCTTTGTTAGCAAGAGAAGTCAATGTTCCGCATGGATTGTCACTGCTTAAATGTAAACAACAAGCTTGTAGAATTGTATCAAAGATGAAAAAAAAAAAAAAAAAAAAAAGACAAAAAAGCATTTACAAGTATGCGAGAGGCAGATAATTAGAACGAAAGTGAACACTATACAGAAAAAGAAAAAGATCAATCCAATTGAATAGATGGCTTTAATATGTAGGTATATGACAGTATATGGCAAGTAGATCACAGACTTAGATAGTCTCAAATATTTACCACTGTGCTAACTAGACCAGATCGTGCCAAGTATGGCGATGGAGATTTCATTAAATGGTATCTATAAGGTCTTTGCAAGGCTGGACAAATGGAGGCTACCAATCAGGTTAGGCGTTAATACCGCAATACTTGAGAGAGTACGAAAAGTTTCTATTCATAGACATTGGAGCGGCTATTGTTCACAACGGGATGACATGGATAAAGTCGTTAAAGAGGGTGACTACCTCGGTTGCTTGTTGGATTTGTCGAGACTGGAAAGGCGCCGGATGCAGAGTCAAGTCCCTGTGTCCCGAAAGCACATATTTTGGACTAACATGAACATAGACTTGATCCCAAAACAGAATAGCTGTTGAGTTGGCAACACTGGCACGAGCGAATCAGAGGCCGAGGTCGATGCGGCGCGTTCACTATAAAGTGACAATGCACAGGGGGAACCTGGCTCTAGGCTGGCCTCGGCCTCAGGATTTTCTTTGTTCCCCATTCGTGTAAGAATTTTGCGTTTGCACAACTAGGTGACACTCACTTAGCATTCAGAAATGGAATTGATGAGGTGATTCTTCCGTCCTTAGATTTCTTTCTTTCTCTTCTCTAAGTTTCTACATAGTGGTATCATTTCATGTCATTAATTCATCTGACCTTGGTCGGCAGCCAACAACTAAGCAAGCCAGAACCAAACTCTCTGTACCCAGTTCTTTGGTACTGGCGGTACATCCAAGGCTGCCAACTCATCCATCTCCTTGACGCCAGTGTCCACATCAATGTCCTCCTTCTTGATGTAAAATCTAGTTCGGAAATAAATCTTGTGGCCCAAGTACAGAATAAGGAAGATGGGCAGAGTAATATACGCAGCCAAGAAATCCGACACGCTCCAGTTTGACGGAAAGAAGACCGCAAAGCCATTGGTAATGGTCAGCAGGGAGACAACAAATAAGGCATAGTATGTTCCATAAGGTTGCAGTGGCGTCTTGAAGGGCAGGCTCGGAAGCAGTCCCCGGAAGTTCATGGCCGCACGGAATCTGAGATAAGTGACCAGGCAGACAATCCAGGCAATGAATCCACTAATGGTCGAAATGTTGCTGAACCAGTTGAACACGACGGCTCCGCTGTTGCTGACATTGAGGTATGCGAGAAGGCCAAAAGCCCATGTAGCGAGGACGGCAAGATAGGGGACACCCTTCTTGGTGGTGTGGCTGAAAAATTTGGGGGCTTGGCCCGTCAAGGACATGCTGTAGAGGATACGGCTGCCCGAGTACAGGAAAGCATTGCCGGCAGACCAAGCAGAGGTGAGAATGGCAAAGTTGATGACGTGGTTCAGGCCGCCGATGCCCGCATTCTGAATGGCAATAACCCAAGGGCTGGCCGACGCATCGCTGGAGCCAGACAGGAGCCGGGGGTCGGTGCTCGGGACAATGGCGCCAAGGATGAGGGTAGAAACACCGTAGAAGATACCCAGACGCCAGATGAATCGCTTGGCAGCCTTGGGGATGTTGCGTCGGGGTGCCACGGTCTCACCGGCGGCGACGGCGATCAGCTCGGGGCTGGTGATGAAGGCGAATCCAGCCTTGATGAAAGCAGCCCAGTAGGCAAGGAAGCGCCCTGTGGCTCCCGTGGTCATGTATTCGTTGATGGCTCCTGGCGAATCTGGATACCAATAGCGGAAGCCGAGGGCATCATGACTAGGACCGCCGCCGCACATGAGGACAATGCCGAGAATGATGAGACCGGCGATGGTGATGAGCTTGATACTCGCAAACCAAAACTCGGCTTCACCAAATACCTCGACAGCGATGATGTTGAGGATCAAAATGACCAACAAGATGAGGGTAATCCAAAGTGGTGTTATCGACTTCCAATAATCCAACAAAATAGCTGCGGCTGTGGCCTCGGCTGCCACAAGCATTCCGTATGCGTAGAAGTAATTCCAGCCAGCGGCAAAGGCTAAAGAAGGGTCGAGAAATCGGGAGACGAGGTACGGGATGGAGATACCCTTGAGTGGCAGGTAGGTAACCATTTCACCGAGGTCGTTCATGACAAAGTAGACGACCGACATCATGCTGAGATAGCCAAGCCAGAGGGGAAGCGGGCCAACCAATGACAGAATGGCACCTGAACCGACGAAAAGACCAGTACCGATACTGTCACTTCGTGTTAGTGGTTTGTAATTTGAGGTCGCTGGCACGGCGGTTGGCAGAGCAGGGAATAGGTGAGGGGTTGAGGGGATAAGAAAGATGCTTACGCTCCGCCCAAAGCCATGAACTGAATATGCCGACTCTTCATTCCACGGTGAAGTTGTTCATCTCCGCCCACCACCATACCGTCTACATTGGATCCAGTCTGGGTAACATCCTGAATACCTCCCTTCTCAGCATTGCTGAGGTCGTTCTTCTCGTCTGCCGTGTGGAGCGACATGTTGTCGGAGACTCGATTGAAGCTGCTGCGAGTTGTCGCAGGCTCTGCTTTTGGTGTTTGGGTCTCTCTTTTTTCTGTTCTCCCCACGAGTTGATCACTGCATGTCTCACCGAGCAGGCGGGGGGAAAGAAAAGAGTTTAAATACAAGCAAGGCTGCCCTGCTTGGTGTCTTAGTGTGTCTTGGAAGAAGGCCACTGCCAAGATTGCCCGTCGTCCGTCTTACAGCCTACTACCTATGTATGTATGTATGTATTCATGATCAAGGGATCTTTCTAGGTATGTAGGTACCTTGGCAATACTACAGAGTACTCCACTCATGTATCTCCCCGGACCCTCATATGTGCTGATACGCTATCTTACCCCAGACTGACCTTATCATGTCTCCACCAGAGGGAAAAAAAGAAATGGAGTAGCTCTAGATACGTAGCATCGTATTCATAATATTCATTTGTCGTTTGTGTGTTCGTACTGTGGCAAAGTTTTTTCAACAAGTCTGGGCACAGTTTTTTCAATCCTCGGCCAGCATCGGGCAGGCCTAGCGGCGATCAGGTCGGCCGGAGGAGCTGCAGTGGACTTTTAGAGGAGACGGCACCCGCAACGAGCCGTGACACTGAGCTGCTATAGGCTAGAGCCGGCCCTAGCTCGGAGCACTGAGCCCGCGACAAGGCACTAATAACGTAAAACACTGGAGTCTACAGGGAGCCTCACGCACGGCACTGACGGCTGCTGTCGGTCTTGGAGGGAGGATGCCATCGCCAAATGCAATTTCATCAAAGAAATCTTCAGCACAAGAAGAAACATCGTACGGTCACTACACTATGATTGCACACGGCAATTAGTCAGGTCAAAAGACTTGCGGACTTGGCGTCCCGTTGTCTCGGTAAACCGCTAAAAGGCTACTACGCGTCCAGATAAGGAAAGTTTTCATTATTTGCTGACCATATTCTGTTCTTTATTGAATACTCGGCTCGGCCCCTGGCATCTCAAAGACCCCCCACGAGTCTAACACAGTCATGCTGGTTACGTACCTTGCTCGGCATCAGTCTGATGCAAGATGCGGAATGCGGTCCCTCTTAGACTATGACAACTTTACTATTTGTCGCACGAGGATTTCAGCTTCTTCGAGGCGTGGAATTACCGTATTAACGTGATTATTTGCACACTTGAGACTTTGTTATAGGCCATTGAATCACCACTACCGTTAGGGTGGCGGCTGAGAGTTCAAAGGCTAGACCTGCCTCTCTGGGCTGGATTTTGCTTACCATGAGCACTACTATGGTAGTATGGGTAAGTTTTAGCCGTACATGAGGTATATCTCCACTAATGGACATGGGGAGGTGGTTTGTGCTTGTGTAAGTTGTGCAATTTATGGCTGGAAAAGTGACTTGCCCCACGTTGAAGTGAGCCCTGCCAGATACTTGACAGGGAGCGAAAACTTTTGCCTGCAACCACAGTACACGCGACACACAAACGACTTTCGTTTGTTCTAGCATCCTGATTTGATGGCCAGGGCCTGGACAGGCTGAAGCTTACCCCTTGTTGGCACCCTAACGGCTGATCTCCCTTTCTGTGCCTTTTCCCTCAGCTATTCCATTTCCAGTCCTCACTCGTCCCTGGCCGCCTACCGCAACCTTGCCTTTTACGAGTCAAGACGTACAGACACTGACAGGCATTCAGTTCACGAATAATCTTGGCTAGATTCTACCAAATGGGAAAATGTGGCCGGTTGGTTGTGCTTTGGGCAAATGGGGCTTTAATGACTTTCGGCTGAAATCATGACGTTTGCCGACGAGAATAGCAATTGAGCTATCCTCTGCGCGATGCTCGGCGAGTCACGAACAAAAAAAAAATGAACAAATGTTTCTACCAGATTACATACTGTGTATTGCTGCCTCGTCTTATTCCAGGAAAAAGGTCTAGACAATGCATTGGTACGATTTATTCGAATGCCTGATGCATAAAATCCTACACAGTACATATTGCATGGGGGATCCGCAACTGTCACCAGAAAGGTCCGGGGTTGGATTTCAAGCCCAAAAAGTTCGAACTCTTTTATGGCTCTCACGCATTATTTAAATGTCGCTGTTGTCGGTCGCAATTGGTGAACAAGCCATGTTCTATCTGTTCAAGCCAAGCTCTCAAGCCGGTCCTTTGGAATTACTAGCCTGGGCTTTGTGCCGTCTATAGCCTGCTCTGGAGAATGATCCTAGTAAATTACCAACCGGGCTGAGGAGCTTTGCATTATCATTAGACATAGTCTCTATTTCTCTAGGTCTAGATTCGATGGGTAAAGGGGTCCAAAGCCATATCTGTGGACTTTTTGAGCAGCTGGTAGATGTGCCTAATGACATACCCAAGGCCGAGAACGTTCAAGTACAGACTGTTCAATCATCATCTGACCTCACCAAGCCGGCGACTCTATTCTGTTAATACCAGGATTTCATCTGGGGTAATTCGGAATGTAGTCTCAGGCCGCTTTGGCAAGGCAAACTTGATGGCGGTTGATGGAGCTCGGTTCTAGACCACATTTCAGCACAGCTTTGATTTCCCCAGCCTCGCACCATTTGTGCTTTCTCCAGTCTGTCCAGCAGATGATTAACTTGTGGGAGGAGTCAACAAGACCAAACACAGTCACTGGGAGGTGTATAATGGAGTGGTCTGCCGTCTATATGTATACAAGCATCACTGATTCTTGGTCACAGTTCCAAGGGTGGATCAACATATCTCACAGAGGCCAACGCTTCACGGGAGAAGAAAACATTATAGAATGACCACACATGTAGTATGCTTAAGAAGGGCACTGAGCTCATAGCGGGCTAAATTTCACTGCCACACAGACAACGCAGAACGGCGGTATCCGAGCTTCGGGACCCTAGATCCTGGTTCGCCGTTGCACCCTTTGACAAATTACGCAAGAAAAGGGTCAAGTAAATCAAGACTCAAATGCTCGCTTTGCTACACCGCTGTTGTTGGCTGCAATAACACATCACACGAGGATATTTCTATCAAATGATGACTAATATTCAAAAAACAGAGCACATATGTAGGGTGCTACGCCATCTCGTAAATAACAAAGCGTCCATTTTCAAGGCCACCTTACTGTCATGATATTTCCACAATTGGTTTACCGGCGCCACTCTTCCGAGCACAGCGTATTACACTACTGCTTCATCAGTGGCTTGATTCCGTCCTGTTCATGCCACCGTCAAAGTAGCGACCTGTCGGATATCACGACTGCTGGCACCAACCGTGATATTGAAAGTGCCCGACGGTACAACCCAATTCTGCAGTTTCGTGTCCCAATAGCTCAAGTCTCTCCTTCTAAGCGCAAAGGTTGCTGTGCCCGAGGCACCAGCAGTCAAGGGCAACTTTGCGAATCCGCGCAGCTGCTTTGGCGGCGCCGCGGCCGACGACGGGTATCCGACGTACAGCTGGGCCACCTCGGAGCCATCGACGCTACCGGTATTCTTGATGGATGCCGTGACCGTGGCCACAGCCTCGAACAGATCGGCGCGACCTCCCGAGGACACCGTGCCGGTCGCCGGGCCTGACGTTGGCGTGCCGGTAACCTTGATGTCCGAGTATGTGAAGTTGGTATATGCTACACGGAAAATAGTTAGAATGACGCGAAACGTAAAGTTTCCAGATTGGAACAACAACTTACACAAGCCGTAGCCAAACTCATACCGTGGCGCAATATTGGACTGGTCAAAGTGTCTATAATCAATGTAGAGACCCTCCTTGTAACTGTCATCGCCACTGACCACACTGGTGCCATAATCAGACGCAGACTTTCCGATGGTGTATGGAAGTTTTCCTGATGGCGAAACAGATCCGTACAAAACATCAACAAGGGCATTGCCGCTCTCCTGCGAGGGCAGGCCCGCCCAGACGACCGCCTTCACATTGGACAGGGCGAGGATAGTTTCCAGCACGATGGGGCCAACGGAATGGACAACGACAATCACGTTCTGACTTGACTGTGACACGGCCTGGACGAGCGCATTTCCGCTGTGCCAGGGGTCGAGGTTGATGCGATCGCCCACATTATTCTCGACTGTGATATAGCCCTCGCCACTGTCTGCAGTGATGAAAACGATTGCGGCGTCTGCACCACTGACCACAGAAGCGACTGATCCCGTGCTGTCACTAGTCGACTGAGTAATGGTCGTACCGTCGGTTGTGGCACGGGTCTTGATGGCATCAGCAGGGGAAACAAAGTACGGGTAGTTGGCCGTGCCAGAACCCCAACCCATGCCCAAAGCGCCAGTATTGCAGCCGCGATCAGTGCATGCGTTTGCGCCAGAAGGGTTGACGACCGAGGCAGAGCCAACCAGAGCGAGCTTGGAGGGCTTCTTCAAAGGTAGTATGCCGGCATCGTTCTTGAGCAGAACAATACCATCTCTGGCAACACTGCGCACATTTGTCTTGTGTGTTCCCTGAACACTGGCCTGGATATTGATGGAGGGAAACCCGCTGTCCTGACCAGTCAGATACCAAGCAGCGAGGATGCGGCGAACCATGTCGTCGACGCGTGACTGTTGAACTTGGCCACTGCTCACAGCACTGGCGAGCACCGAACCCCATAGAACAGTACCGCCATTGTAATCAGAACCAGGCATGGTCATGTCCAGACCTGCATTTGCGCTTCCAGAGGTCGTGTGTTGGGCGTTCCAATCCGTCATGACGTAGCCTTGGAAGCCAAGCTCTTTCTTAAGTAGCTGATTGATAATCTTATCATTCTCACAAGCCCACGTGCTGTTCAATTTGTTGTAGCTGCACATGACCGACGCCACATTTGCCTGTACTGCATCTGCAAACGGCCATAGATATAACTCGTGCATCGTACGATCATCAATGTTTGAACTCATGGTCTCGCGGTTCAACTCCTGTTCATTGCCAATGTAGTGCTTTGCAGTCGCCTGCACACCAGCAGTCTGCATGCCAGTGATCGTGTCCGCCATTGCAATTCCAGTAAGGTAAGGGTCGACACCAAAGCCCTCCCAGTTTCTCCCGCCTGTTGGGATTTTTCCGAGTGGCCCTGCAACTGGAGCCAGTAAGACATGAATACCGCATCCTTTTGCTTCTTCACTATAATGTTGAAGGTGATTAGCCCATGTACATTGATCATAGAAGCCTTTGTGTAGAAGAGGCTCAAACCCCGACTGGAGAGGAGGGACATATATATAGTTTATGTCGAATAAAGCGCTGAGAATAGTGACTTACGCCATGAATTGGCCTCGTTCTTGTATCAATTCACGGTCCCAAGTCGAGGCAGCCTGAATGCCAGGAGTAAAAGCCGTGACACCATTTCCGTATCGTATCCCCAAAGGCCCGTCTTGTAGACATAGCTGAGGGTAGCCGATGGAGCTGACTGCTGCTGTATTGCCTACACAAGGGCCCTTGTCCCATCCGATTCCAGACACGATATTGATTTTTTCCGAAGAGGACAATTTGGCCAAGGCCGCGTTGGCTTTTGTATAAGCAGCAGTCCAACTAGCTGTTGTTTGTCCGGAAACCAGCAAGGCTCCAGAGAGCGCTGTGAGCATTACCGGAATCATTTTGCTGTTGGTAGGGTTCTTGAAAGTGTGAACCATTCCGCCGTTAGATTCTAGAATAGCAGCAGTCTCCATGCACTTTTATATGATTTCAGTTGGGCATGCCAGCACATGACATACATGTGGAGACATCATATGCACACCAGAAGCAGAAGCCCACCAGACGGAGAAATGTTCTCATGCCCTTCCTGTGCCGTTCAGCCAGCGATGACCCGGGGAGCCAATAGGCTATGCTGCAGTTTTCGCCGCTTCCGTCAACTGCAGAGACAGCCAAGCCTGGGTGTCCTCTTGGCTGGCGACATTTTGCATGGGATGAGCACAGTCAAAAGCCGTTAGCATAAGTCGGCACTCATCGCGATTGGATGTAAGGGTTGGACAGCAGGGAAGTGTTGCTCGAGTTGAACGCGATCACTGCCGAAGTAGCGGAGGCTCATGCATGCTTCGAAAATGCAGCCGGGCCGCAGGCCCAGATATTGATTGCCAGGGGCCACAAATTACAGGGCTTCAGCCACTGGAAACAACCGATAGGCTGCCTTGGCTACCGCCCCGCCGGGGTCAGATCTGGGGTATGTGCCTCCGCTGATTTTCCTTCCCAGATTCGGTATCGTTCATCTTATTTGCTTCCGCGCCCGTCATCGAGCTCGGATAATTGTTCTCGACATTTGCCAAGAATCGATAATCTGGGCATGTTCGCTTCCGTGTTCGCTTCTGTGATGTCACATGGATTTGAAAGAGTTGACCTCTGACGCTGGTCACAGCAAGGCATGATGGTTTGAGCGTGATCTAGGTAAGGTAAATAATGCGCTCATGGACAGGGAATACAGACAAGGTTCACTATAAGCTTCAGCAGGCCCCGAGACAAAATTAACTTTGAGCACCGTCAGATGCAATATCGCACGTTGTGATTATTTCCCGCTCAACGTGCACCTGCACGAATATCTCTATTTCTTCTTCGACTTGGTCTTGTCCACAACGTCTACCCACTTGGCGTCGATGCCTCTCTTGGCCAGGACGTCGCCTAGGAGTATCTTCCGCTGGTCACCCTGAACCACGACCTCCAGTAAGCCGGGTTTGCCACCCGTCAGTTGACCTGCACTGGCCGAGCCTGCGCACTTCTTCTGCAGCTCGGGCGCAAGCAGCTGTGGATCGATGAAAAAGGGCTCAAGATTCCAGACCTTAGTAATGACCTTGGTGCCCGTTCTCTTTTCGATAGACATGTGAATTTGAGGAGCCGGGCCCGACTTTGGTTTCGGCTCCGATACAGATGGAGTACGAACAATCAGGTGGTAGGGCTGACAAAGTCGTGTGTCTTCCAAGATGCGCTTCTGCAATGCTCCTTTAGCGATACGGCCCGCTGCGATTGCTCGATTGTCTTCTGGAGAAGGGTTGGATCCGAGGATGTCATTGGCAATGAACGGGTCGAGTTTGATGCTGGCAGCCCCTTGACCACCGAGTTCAGGATGTTGCTCGATGTATGTTTTCAACGCCGCCGAGATCTGCTGTGCAGTGTAGAACTCAGTTTTGGAAGCAAGCAATGTCGGTACGAGCTTTGAAGAAGCTCGATAGACTGTTTGAATGTTTATCTTCTGTCCGATAGAGGAGTCGCCCGATGAAGAAGAAGCGCTCGGCTCAGCTTCAGACTGAGTCGTTGTTGTTGGGGTTGTCTTGGGCTTGGGTAGTGTATAAGGTCTGAAGCTAGTCACCTGAACATCGTCAAAATCAATGTCAAGGATGACCGTTTCTCCACCACTGCGGTCCTTTGACTTGAGAAGCTTTTCCTTGTCAAGATGCTTGATGAATTTCTTCATATTCTTCCACGACGTCTTCTTGATGTTGTAATGTTGATTCTGGACACGCAGGTGAGGCTGGATCATGTTGGACATGAGCTGAGAAGGCTGAATGGGGAAGTCAAAGCCATAGCGTGGCCCAGAAGCACTTGCTTTCGCCTTGTGAACGGCAAAAAGAAATGCTTGATGAAATGCATCGTCTACTTCCTTGGTGGTGGGCTCACGTTCCTCGGCTTCTCCGGCAATATCTTCCTTCACGATGCCGTGGCTGCTAACGGCGCTATCGAGTGGTGCACCGCCATCTTCGTTTTGGAAGTCTTCGTCATTTTTAAGACTGACGTCGCCAATGGAAGACGTGACGTCTTGCGTAAGACCCTTCCATCCGTCCACACTCTCTGGTGCTTCTTGCCCACCGTTTCCGATGGGTCTCCAGCTCCAAGCCTCATCGCCAGCCCAATGCAGCCCCTTCACTGCAATGCCTTTCTGCCCCCGAAGATCGTCGCCTAGCTTAGACACATCAAGGTCGCAAGTTCCTACCCAGAGCGGCACCGTATCTCGAGAAATGCCTGCAACGGCAACAACGGCACCTGTGATTGCTCTTGAATCCCATGCTGTGCCTTTTGCCTTTACAAGACCTGGGATCATGAGATCAGAGCCATGGCTCAGCTTCTCTTCCACCACAAATTCTGGCGTGTGTAGAAGAGGAATGATGTTTGGATTCTGCCACAGCGTGTAGACGGTAGGTACCAGCCTCGCTGACTTTCCATACTGGAACCACAGAATCCTCTCGTCCTGAGGGCCGTGGTGTGTCCCGACATAGAGGGTGCCGGAAACTAGGGTATGATTCGGACCGCTGGTGGTGGTGAAGCGGGCACTAGATGTCGACTCGGGCAGCAACGAGTTGCGCAGAGACGACAGAGTCACGGCTGGGGACGCTGCTGCGTCATCACCGGCTGCTGGCTCTTGGGAGGGGACTTGGATTCTGTAGTCCTGAATGATCTGATCGGCAAGTTTTCGGCGATCAGACGTCCTGAGAGGAGACAGGTTTTTTATTTCTGGCCTCTTCTTGAACATTTTGACGTTGCAGACTCACGAACTTGTTCTGCTTCTTAGGCAGCTTTCGTTTCTTTTGGTGATGGAGGGGCGATGAGAATCGTATCCCAACCTTTGCAAAAGGTGGATTACGGTAATTGAGGGGCAATTTCACTACCCAACAGGGCTTAGTGCTCACAGAATTGCCATGGATATAGGTGATTTTTTCTCGACTCTTTTCTTATCCATTTTAGTATAATGACATGCACTATTCGCAAGTCATCACTATTATCACCAGTGAGCTATAATTTATTGCTCTTTATGTAATTCTTTATTTTTATTTTTTGCATGATTAGCTTGAGCCTGCCTAGTATTGTGCTTACAACTACCACCTATTTATGGCTATAATAGCTTTGTGCTAAACATCTTTGCCATCTTATTACTAGCACAGTTTTGCCGCGTATCAGAGCTCGCCAAATCTGTCTTCATATCACTATTTTGACATTGATTTCAAGATTCTAACCAATTGTTTTTGCATTGGTAGGAATTGCTGAAAGGACTGGTGAGAGCAAGGCGAACCTTGACGCTAATAGCGACGATGCTGTTGCTCACCTAAACGGCAAGAGCCAAAGGACGGATTTACAAGTGTGCAAAGCTCGAGGGCCAAATCCAACTTTCTAATCGAGATCTAGGGGGAAATAATTGATTGTATGTGATCCGAAAAAGGTCACGGTGAAGCAGCTAGGTCGGGAGAAAAAGAAAAGAAACTCACATGCGTGGATACTGAATAGAAGCTCAGCAGAAACGTGTTTCATTCTGGCAGAAAGTCACGATATCTCCAGGTACTGTTTAACATTTGAAGGTCGAGGATTTCTCGCAGACGCCATCATTGTAGTACCCTCTCTTCAGTACAAACGCATATGCTTTAAATGACTGGTCAGATCATGGCCAGAGCTTTGGAGCAAGGGTTGAAGGACAAGGGTACATGCTTAGTTTTGTTTAAATTTTTGCTTGAATGGATAATGAAGAAGCTCTGATTGGAGTATCTAAATAAACGAGATGGAGTCATCCAATGACTCAGGAAAATTCATATATATCGGTGTAACTTTTTTGGCAAGACAAAGCCATGCGCGGCGGATACTTGTAACAAAACGAAAAGTCAATAGGAATACTAATACAGGGATCAAATGTTGATAATCATGTTGATGTGCTAAATAGCTTGACTCACTGACTATAAATTGCTGAATCATGTCGCAATAGGTTGGGCTCTATCATGATAATAGCAAATCCATGGTCGATTCATACTACCGAGCTATATCTGCGATCTCGGTGCGGGGCAAGCAAGGTGCTACTGTTGCGCCCTTTGATTTATCAATGACAGGCGCATTTATAGCGGTAAATGCATGCCGAAACACCTCAAATGGATCCATCATATCATGTAAATGTTCTGATCAAGACTTACTGACTCAACTCGGAAGCCGATTTCAGTATTGAATATCTGAATGACTCCAGTGTCTGATATTCAGCCCTCTATATTAATGCTGGTCATAGCAACTCACTCTTTAGGCTGTTAAAACACGGAAACTTCACAACTCTGGAGCGAACCTGATCTGTCTACCCAAAAATGAACGGAGAAACCAGCAGCGAAATCACACCCGTCTTCGGGCAACGGGCTCTACAGCATTTCAGTTTTCAGCCCGGCTACCGTAATTTAAACCACGGCATGTAGACGATACTCTCTGTTCTCTAAAGGTCTCTTGGACTGCCTGCTGACAAGACCAGGCTCATTCGGTGCAACACCGCGCAAGTTGCAAGAACGCGCACGCTATTATCAAACCCAGTTTGAAGAGCGGCCCGACCCATGGCTTCGATACGAGGCGCCCAAGCTGCTGGACGAGAACCGCGCGGCGGCCGCGGGCCTCCTCAACGCCCCCGTGGAGACGGTGGTGCTCGTCTCTAATGCGACTGTGGGCACGAATACCGTATTCCGGAACCTGACGTGGGATGACGACGGCCGGGATGAGATTCTGCATTTTAGCACCGCCTACGGTGCCTGTGCCAAGACGATTGACTATGTGGTCGACTCGAGCGGCGGCAAGGTGACTTCGCGCGAGATTGTGCTTTCGTACCCCTGCGAGGACGAAGAAGTCCTCGACGCCTTCCGGAACGCTGTTTCCCAGTCCCAGACGGAAGGGAAGCGGGCCAGAGTCTGTGTCTTTGACACCGTCTCGAGTCTCCCGGGCGTCAGGTTCCCCTTTGAGTCCATGACCAAGGCTTGCAAGGATCTGGGCATCACTAGCTTCATCGATGGTGCGCAGGGCATTGGGCAGATTCCGATTGATCTGACCGCAGTCGACCCCGATTTCTTTGTCACGAATTGCCACAAGTGGCTTCATGTACCAAGAAGCTGTGCTGTGCTCTACGTACCAGTCAGAAATCAACATCTCATCTCGTCAACGCTGCCAACCTCTCATGGCTACGTTCCAAAGATTGGGACGAGATTCAATCCTCTTCCCCCGCCGGCAGCAGGAAACTCTGCCTTTGTTCACAATTTCCAATTCGTCGGCACTCTCGATACGAGTGCGTACATGTGTATCAAGGATGCAATCGAATGGCGCAAGGAAGTCTTTGGAGGCGAGGAGGAGATCATGAAATATATACAGTGGCTGGCAGCCGAAGGTGGCCGGAGAGCTGCAGAGATACTCGGCACAACCATCATGGAGAACAAGAGTGGCGGGTTGACCAAGTGCGCATTGGTCAACATTGCTCTGCCCATGTGGGTGCGGCCAGCTCCGGGCGCAACCAACGCCCCGGAAGCGTTCACGCCACAACCAGAGGACATTGTCATTTCCTTGGAGGAGTCGCTTGGCGTGGACCGGTGGATGCGAAAGATATTCATGGAAGAGTACAATACTTTCATGCCTTTGTACATTCATCGCCATCGCGTCTGGTTTAGACTATCTGCGCAAGTCTACCTCGATGTGCATGATTTTGAATGGGCAGCAAAGACTATGCTGGAAGTGATCAAGCGAGTCGCCAAGAGAGAGTATGAAACTAAATAAGAGATGTACTCCCTCAAGGCATCATCCAGGCACGATTCACTTCTTTTACTGTCAGCGATTAGAGGTTACATGTTAGAATACAAAGAACACTGTAATAGTCACTATAAGCCATGTGTCCAATCGGCATTCCACTGCAAACGAAAAGACATGAGACAAATGAATCTCAACCCCGCTCCAGGTCAAATATCGTTGCTCACTCATTAGACTCATAAGGAAGAGTCGCTATTTGAAGGTAACCCAAACATCAAACTCATGTCTCCTCACGTTGATATCGCCAGAGCTCGGCTTTGAACCATTTTGGAGTAACCGAGACGTCACTTCCAGCTTGGCAATGCGATCCTTCCACTCATCTCTGCCGCACACCTCATACCACAAGTTCGCCCAACTCTCCACGTTGTGCCGGTATTTATGACTAAACTCGGCAGAGTGATTCTCGCGCAGGAACGGCCCAGCCACCACACTCCCCATTTGCATACCCAGAAGCAGCACGGGACGGCCGGTATCCTTTCTCAACAATCGTAGGCAGCGGTCCACTATTTTCTTCTGGTCTTGGAGCAAGAAGAGATGGAAGACGGCCGTCATGTGGAGAATGGTCACCTGGTCATCCAGTACACGCAGTCGGTCGCCGGGAGCTGCCGAGAGCAGGTCGCCCGGGCACAGGAAGTGGTCCCGAGGCAGTTTCCCGTCGTCGTTGAACAATTTGAAGCCGGCGTCGATGAGGTAAGGCTCAATGTCGCTCGCCCACACGCGCTCAATGGGCGCGCCGTCGTACACGAGCTTCCTCACATCTTGCCCAAAGCAGGTTCCCAGATCCAAGAAAAGGGGTTCTGCCTCGCCCTCTCGGCTCGGCTCCCTCAGGGGGCCCAGGACTTGGTCCGCATACAGTGGATGGAGGGAGAGATCAAAGTCCAGGAAACGCAGGTTGCCAATGCATGGATAGGGACATTTTGTGTAGGCATCATTGCGGCACTCAATAATGTGCGCAATTTGTTGGCCCTGGGGGATGCCGGAGTAGGATTCAAGCAGCTCCGCGACGGCGGCCGGGACCGTCTCGAGGGTTTCCTTGAACACCAACCTATACGTCTTTGGCTGGGGCTCGCTCGGTTCGGCCATCTTTTAGTAGCAGAAATTCAAAACTTGCAGAATTAAAGGCCAGATTTGAATATTTAATCCGGGGCGCCAAGACTGAATGTGAGTCCCTCTTGCGCTTCTGCAGTTGAGGTGATGCTGCTGTTCAAAGGCGTTACCCCAATCGCCGACGGTTTCCGACCGAAACGCCGAACCGGGAGCTCTCCGGCCGGAGACTCTGTCGGTACGTTGGTACATGCAGCGATAGGCACTGGACGCAGTGTGCACACTACTTTTGTATTCGCTCCAGCCATCATCAAATAATATATCCGTCCCCGAAATATTTGGCCTCACAAGAACACGGTAGGATCGTGAAACACGCGCATTCGTTACTCCTCATCATGGCTGAACCGTATAACATGTGGATTGCAGGCCAAGAACGGCCGGGCAAAGCGGAGCTGTAAGGACCCTGTATCGAAGCAACGCACTTGCGACAAAGAACCATTGTTACTGACTGTACTTATAGGCTCCCGGTAGAAGACCCTGCTACGGGCGAGATCTTTGCACAGTAAGACAGAATGAGAATCCCCGCTTCTCTAGTACAAGGCCCATGGACTAAATCAATATATAGATGCCACGCCGCTAGCGCCGAGGACGTGGATGAGACCATCCAGCTGGCCCATCAAGTCTTCAAGTCCGGAGCCTGGTCCAAGACCCCGCGACACGTCCGCGCCGACGTGCTGGAGAGCGCGGCGGCGCTGCTGACGGCCGGCCTCCCCGACCTCATTGCGCTCGAGGTACGGCAGACGGGCCGGGCGGTGCGGGAAATGAACGCACAGGTGCCGTCGCTCGTGCGCTGGTTCAAGTACTACGCGGCGCTGCTGCGCACCGAGGAGCGCGCCGTTCTCCCGACCCAGGGTAAGCTGCACAACTGGGTCGACCGCGTGCCCCTCGGCGTCGTGGTCCAGATCACGCCCTTTAACCACCCTCTACTCATTGCCGTCAAGAAGCTCGCCCCCGCCCTGGCCGCCGGCAACAGCGTCGTCGTCAAGCCGAGCGAGCTCACCCCGCTGACCACGCTGCTGCTCGGACGCTTGCTAAAGCAGGCGGGCCTCCCAGACGGCGTCTTCAACGTGTTGCCCGGCTATGGAGCGACCACGGGCCGCGCGCTGGTCGAGCACCCTCTTGTGCGCAAGGTAGACGTCACTGGCGGCACGGTAGCCGGCCGGGCAATCGGCAGCATCGTCGGTGGTAATCTTGCGAGGTTTACTGCCGAGCTCGGCGGCAAGGCGCCTCTGATTGTCTTTGAGCAAGCAGATGTCAACGTTGCTGTCAATGGTATCGCCTTTGGCTCCTTCATCGCCAGCGGGCAGACCTGTGTGGCCAGCACCCGCATTATTGTAGACAACACGATTCTCGGGCCGCTGCTAGAGAAGCTGACGGCAAAGGCCTCGTCTATCGCTAGACGCATGGGTGCACCGACGAATCCAGAGTCAATGATGGGCCCCGTGATCTCGGCGAAGCAACTCGGGAATATCGAAGCGCTGGTCAAGGAGGCCACTAGCAGTGGCAATGCAAAGGCCTTGACTGGTGGCTCCAGGTTGGGTGGTCTCAGCGAGCTCGACGGGACTGATTTCTCAAAAGGCTACTACTACCCACCGACGGTGCTCGTTTCCACCTCGGAAAAGAGCATATTAAAAACCCGAATCTGGAGAGAAGAGGCATTTGGCCCTGTAATTGTGGTTGTTGCATTTGACACGGAGGATGAGGCAGTCAAGCTGGCAAATGATAGCGAATTTGGCCTCGGTGCTGCAATCTGGACAAAAGATTTGGCCCAAGCCTATCGGGTTTCTGAGCAAATCGACGCTGGTATAGTGTGGGTAAACACGCATCATCGCAACGATCCGAGCAGTCCTTGGGGCGGCGGCAAGTCGTCAAGCGGTGTTGGCAGCGAGAACGGAGTGGATGCCTACAATGAGTACACAACCATGAAGAGCACAATCATCAATTACGCGGCACCCGAGGAGTCTCTGGCAGCGGACGACTGGTTCAAGGAGGGAGCCGGTGCAGTTCGATATGGATAGGATAGGGTCAACAGGAGTATACGATCTCGAAATTAAAAGAGTACAAAGATCGATATGAATTGGTCCTGTGGTGATGAGCAAAGAGCATCTATATTTGTGCATTGTTTTAATATGGTCTATCTCTAGCCACACGCAGGCTCATCGCCAGTTGTAGCTTGTTCGTTGGCAGAAGGACCGCCGTATGCACCTCCGTCAAGAATCACGCCCTCATTATTATCGAGATCATCTTGGACCTTCCGCCACTTTGTCTTTTGGCTTTGACGGCCTTCTAACTCTGCACCCTTACCCTTTGCGTCAAAGACGGGTTTAATGAGACCCCCAAGGAGAGGGTTCCTCGAAAAGGCGCCTCCGTTTTTACCCCTGTTGCCACTGGTCACCTCGAGCACCGGCGCCGATGGAATCTCAACGTCATCCTCTGGACTATCCGGTCGTTCCATAGCTGCAATTTTGCGTACCACTTTGCCCTTGACGATATCAATGCTGACCACCTGTTTCCGTTTCTCGTATTCTGGTCTTGCATTCCACTCCATCTCCCGCATCAACTTTTGTTGTCGCTTGAGCTCACGAGCTCGCTCCTCGGGACTTGCCCACATGCTTGCTCCTGTTACATCAAAGTCGGAAGCCTCATCTCTGACAGTGGTTCGCTGTGCATTTTGGGCCTGGAATCCTAGTAGCCTATCGCGATGTTCCTTTGCTTTCGCCTCGGCCTCACTCAGATTTCCTGTTACCTCTCTTGGCTTGGAGAATGGTGCTGGTTTCTTTGAGACTTCTGCCTTTTTATGCGCTTCCTTGTCGGCTGCCATTCTCTCACGACCGCGCTCTTGCTTCAATTCATGGATCATGGACTGTACTTCGGTAGAGCTGAGGATTGGAGTACCACAGAAGGTACAGGGCCCCAAGCCTTCTTTCAAACAGACAACCTTGCCACACTGAAGACAATTTGGCGCAGCAGCGAGAAGAGGGTGACGTGCGGCAACACAATTGCATTTTCTTGCAGCATCGTCTGTATCCCTGGTTGGATTGGTGGTCATCTCTAGTGCGCGGATGGCAGCGTCCAAGTCAGACAAGGCGGTTGATGCACCATGCATAGCGGTTCCGCCAGAGATGTTGACCTTGGTCTTTGGTGCCGGCGTTGATGACCGAGAGCCTGGGGTGGACTTGGGCTTGGCTCTGGGCGCCTCTGATATCAGGTGACCTGCTGCCGAGGGAGGCAACTTGGGTGGTGGTGGAGTAGCCGATTTGGGCGGCGGCCTTGAGGCTCCAGGAAGTGGAAAAGCATTCGAGCTCGTTCCTGGACTCGGTTTCCGTGAAATATAGTCATCCTGAATATTTTTCTTGCTGTAGGCGGTACCGGGGGTTGGGCCAAGGCTGGCTACCTGTCGAGGTGCAGGTGTATGCAGATTTGCCTTCTTCTTCTTTGGTGCCCTGGCATGCTTGGGCACTGCATCGATATCTGAGTGTGACGGCGACTGTGTCTGCGAATGAGACTGCGAGCGCGATTGTGATGCAGCAGCCTTGGGTTCCTGGCGTCGCGAGTTGAAGGATGATATGAAATCAATGGCGTCAGGAGTGTCACCAAGCAGGTTGCCAAAGTGCTCCACAGCCTCTGCCTTGGATAGAGTGGCTGCGTAGTCCAAGACTTGCTTCAATTCTTCCTCTGGTAAAGGGAGCAACCGTGAAAGTTGCGCGACCGACATTGTCTCGAGAAATTAATACAACTATTGGAAATCACAAAGACGGGTGTTGTGAATTACAAGAAAGGGCGAATGCTGAAGCGTTTACTCAGCTTATGGCGAGTTTAGGCTGAGGTAAAGAGCCCTGCAATTGGTGGACAGTCAAGTGCTGGGGATTGGACTTTGAACGCTGCCAGTCACTCGGCGTCCTGGAAGGGACTGGTTGAGCCTCAATTTACAGGCAGCAGGACCGTCACTTAGCGAGGCAGCTGCCAAACAGAAGCTCCACTAATTTTTCAATTGTAGCGCTCATGGATCTAGCAAACCGGGTGCACAGCCATCAATTGATCAGTATCCAATGGCATGAGTCCCAAACAGCCAATATTATACATCACCCAACAATTCATTGAACGTTCCATCACAAACACCATGTATTTCGAAGCAGCTCTAGGTAATGTATACAGGAACATTAAAGTGGCTGTCAAAAAGTTCAAAGTGTCCGGCGCATCACCAAATATGGCAGTCCACCTTTGTAAAATACCTCTCCTTCAGCCTCCATCCCGAATCGCTGGTAAAAGGGAAGCGCGGAGCTCCGGGCATCACACCAAATAACACGAGCGCCTGTCTTCCTTGCTTCCTCAATTGTATACTGGAGCAGTGCCGACCCAATGCCCTTCCCCTGCCATGATGAATCGGTAGCAAACTTTCGGAAGCGAGCGTCGTCGGCCTTTTGGAAGAGGGAAATGACGCTCACGATGCGCCCATCCATGAAGGTCCCAAAGTGTCGACCCGTTTCGTCCTCCTCCAGCTTCACATAGTCCAAGGGTCGATCAGGCCATAATATCCTGTGCCGTAAGTCGTGGGTATCCGCCGCCGCGATCTCCCGAATTTCCATTGCTCCGGCCCTAGAAGTGTCAAGGTTCGACTGTACCATCATCCGTGATTAAATTCCTGCAGAAAAGTATGTGGCACATTGCAAATACCGCACAACGACAGATATCGCAGATTTCACGTGACAAGCTCCACTTAGAGACATCTGGAAGCCTCAAGCCTAGGGGTGCAGCTGCAACCTTCAAATTACTTGTACCCTTCCCCATGAAAACAGAAAGAGTTGCCATGTATCTCTGGACTAAAAGAATATCGGTAAGACAAAGCCCTTCAGAAACATCGTTTGTTCGTTCGAGACCAAGGCATGGGAAGCTAAACACCGAGGGTATCAGAAAGACGGAGACATTATTTCATAAATACTAGGTAAGTAAACATAGATGGAAGAGTCGAGACTAGGTACGTAGTTCGCCCTTGAGCAGCTCGCATATCTTCTCCACACTCTAAACCCCAACCCCAGGCAGCCTCCAGCACCCCAGTCCACTAATGGGCCACTATCATGAATTGATTCCAGTTGGTTCACTCACAGAATACCCAACCCTATCTGCCAGTTTATCCCCCAAACCGGCAGCTCTATCCTGTCCCCTTACCATATCCATATAGGAACCCCGCCTTTGCCTAGGTTCTACATTATCTTCTAGGTCATACCTTGACCCATCATCTACAGACCGTTTCCGACTTTAGTCAGGTATCTGCTTGTATCACTAATACAAGCTTGGCGGCGTGCATCAAGCTGTCCAATAGGCCTCTTGTCGTTATCCAGACTCTGCTTATGCATAGCAGAGAAGCTCCTTGTTTAGCACCCAGTCACCTTGATCAACCATGCGGCCTCCGCGGATCTCCATTCCCCCGCCTCTGCTATCAAGAGGAGGAGGTGACGCTCGGCTCAGGTTGTCCTCGATCCTGAGGTGTACTACCAACTCGAGCTTCCCCTCATGTCCCGTTGTACTTAAAGCCGCTTCACATCGTCTCCAGACTCGACCCCCAAATTTGACTTTCCAACAACGTCGGTTCATGTCAAGCTCCAACATGTCTGGACTCTCTGTAGATTTGACTGCACCAAACGGCAGGAAGATTACCCTTCCCACCGGCCTGTTTATCAACAATGAATTTGTGAAAGCTACCGGCGGAGGTACCATTGAGTCCATAAACCCTGCGTAAGTCTTGACATACAGATCTGCAATGGCAGATACTTGTGGCTAATATCTCATGATAGCAACGAGGAAGTCATTTGCTCCGTCGAGGCAGCTTCGGCCGAAGACGTTGACAAGGCCGTCAAGGCTGCCAGGGCTGCTTTCAATGCCGAATCATGGGCTGAGCTTCCCGGTACTGAGCGAGGAATCCTCATGAACAAATTGGCCGACTTGATTGAGGCCGACAAGGAGATACTGGCAACGCTCGAGACCTGGGACAACGGCAAGCCCTACAGTGTTGCTATGAGTATAGACGTGGCCGAGGTTATCTCAACTCTTCGATACTACGCCGGCTGGGCCGATAAGATTTGCGGATCGACTATCCCTACGACGTCCAAGAAGTTTGCTTACACTCTCAAGCAGCCCATCGGCGTCTGTGGACAAATTATTCCGTGGAACTTTCCCTTGGCCATGGCTGCTTGGAAACTCGGCCCAGCGCTGGCGGCAGGAAACACTCTAGTGATGAAGCCCGCCGAGCAAACACCACTATCAATCTTGCACCTGGCTAGCTTGGTTCCAAAGGCTGGATTTCCCCCGGGCGTCATCAATATTGTCAACGGCTGGGGCCGAGAAGCTGGCGATGCCCTTGCCAGCCATCTCGACGTTGACAAGATTGCCTTTACGGGCTCCACGGCAACAGGAAAACTTCTCATGAAGACTGCTAGCATTAACATGAAGAATATCACCCTTGAGACGGGAGGCAAGTCGCCCCTGATCGTCTTTAAGGATGCCGACATTGAACAGGCAGCCAAGTGGGCTCACATTGGTATCATGGGCAACTCGGGTCAAATCTGTACAGCCAACTCTCGTCTACTGGTCCAAGAAGATATTCACGACAAGTTCGTCGAGGCTTTCAAAAACGTAATCAAAACCACCAACAAAGTCGGCGACCCCTTTGAGGAGACTACATTCCAGGGCCCACAGATCACCAAAGCTCAGTACGACAAGATCTTGGGTTACGTCGAGAGCGCCAAGTCCGAGGGCGCGACTCTAACCAGCGGAGGTGTCCCATACAAGGGGGTTGGACAGGGCAAGGGCTACTTTATCGAGCCTACGATTTTCACAGACGTCAAGAGCTCCATGAAGATTTACCGTGAGGAGATCTTTGGTCCATTCGTGAGCATTGCACGCTTCAAGACCGAGTCCGAGGCCATTGCCATGGCCAACGACACCACCTACGGTCTTGGCGCCTCCGTATTTACACAGAACATGGAGGTCGGCCACCGCGTGGCCGCAAAGATCCAAAGTGGCATGGTTTGGATCAACTCTTCAAACGATTCCGATTGCCGCGTTCCATTTGGTGGCGTGAAGCAAAGTGGCATCGGCAGAGAATTGGGAGAAGCTGGACTCGCGGCATACACGCAAGAAAAGGCCATTCACGTGAATCTTGGAGAGAGACTGTAAGAGTTGTTAGTAATTAACCTGCACTGTGGAACATGGCAATATTCTTCCAGTGTCGACTAACGGGGAAAGTCTAATGTCGAAGTAAGACCCGTAGCAGGACTCAATACAAGCATTGTTCAAGTAGTTCGACCAATTCAAAGAAAAGAATCATGACAAAGACCAACAATGAGACTTGGTGCTGGGGCCTTTTATCAATACCTCAAACTAAAATGGAGCCACCCGTATGGTCTCTTGTATGGAGGAGCAGACAACAAAGACAGTCATTCTCAGTCTGTCTTCAACAATGTCTTGTTTCAGAGAATTATTGCAACTACCAAGGCAGCCTGGAAAGGAACTACAAATAGGCCGGATCCTCGGATACCATAAGAGCGTTTGATTTTGCCGGGCATCCAATATCAGCAATCTCACTTCAGTGTCGCTTTTGTCACTTCTACCCTTTTCGACGGCTGTCTTTTCTTCTTCTTCGATACAGCCGTGATAAGATTGTGCAAGCAGGTCTTGCCTTTGTTTCCCCTTTCCCGGTTCGTTCTCGTTGATTCTCCTTGTTCGTAACCCGAGAAAAGATGCCTCCTTCCAGCTGCACTCGGATCGTGACGTATTATTCCTGCGGATGCCGCAAGGACAATATCCCCATTTGCCCGGCGCAGTGCTCGCACATGGCCCCGATGCTGTCGGTGCGGCTCATCCCCAACGGGTGCCACTCGCAGCAGGTGACGTTCCAGCGCGCCCAGTTCCAGCAGCGCGCGCCGCCGCGGACCGAGGCGTGTAGCATGCGCAACCCCGAGATGGAGGGCTTTGTCCGGGAAGAGGACACGGCGGGCAGCGAGCCGCACTTTTCCCTCGACGGGTTCGACGGCCTGGGCGAGGTTCTCTCCCAGGTCATCCCCGCCCATGTGGATGGCAACTACGAGGATGAGATCCGCAAGAGATATGTGGCCCTCAGGAACGAGGTGTTGCTGCGGCGCGTTGCGCCCCCCACTCCCTCCCCGACCATCAGTCAGGTTGAGGAACCGATCGTGACCCAGCCCGAGCTCAACTTGTCCCATGATTTCGTTTGCTCCGCGCTCATGGCCAAACGGAATGTTGGGGTGATTGGAGACCACCGCAGACCCACGAATCATGAAGCTGCTGGAGAAGAAGACGACGATAATATTGATAGCGATGAAGATGAGATCCTGCCCTTTCGACCAAGCCATTTCGCTGCCCGTCGATTGGCCCGCACACAAACGCCGCCCAAGCTCTCCATTGCCGATCTGCTAGTGGACTCGACGCCCGATTTTGACGAGGACAAGGTGAGCACTTTTGGTACCACGGCAAACTGGATCAAGAGCCAACGAGGCGAAGACGATATTTCCTTGCCATTTATGCCATTGTCTCTGAGGTTGGTATGATATCCTCTTTTGGTATCAAGAAAGATTGCCGATTGCTTTCTTTCTCTCCCACCGACGCGTAGCGTGAACAATGATTTTGTGGCCCTTTTTTTTGTGTCTACGATTCGTTATGTGTTTGGCTTTATTATTACTCGGAGTCTCGTGATAATCAAAGAGCAGTACCATTATGGGTAGGGTCTTAAAAATATTTTGCTGCCCATAGAATTTGTGTGTCGATAATTTGGAGACTATCATCTGTGAATCACAGCGGGTCTCAAGCATAATACACTTTAAAATTTTCTCACCACGTTGACGGCTTTGATCTTGTGAACATGATTTATTACGCAGTACTCTATTTGTTCTCAGAGTAACAGTTGTGTAGTCGAGGTGCATAGTGACATCTAGACGGTCTAGACAACTCGGCCGGCAATTTGACCCCAAGATCTTTTCCATTTGCATCTTACTATCAGCCTGGCACTCGAATTACCTCCGAGTATACTAGTAAAAATGAACGCAAATTCTTGTAATGATTGGCTCCATTGGTGGCGCTTTTACCTGCTCCCAGCACTCATCACAACAACCGTCTGCCTGTCTCTGCAGACTTGCAGCAAAACACACGCCTCACTCCTCTTCCGAAGCCTCTGAATCGACATCCATGGGACCTGTAGCATCTTCGTTCGAAGATTCGTCCGACGAAACCAGCAGACCAGCATCACGATCCTTCTTCCTCGGGCACTAGCCGAGAGGCTCCAGTCGGTGCTTCCACCAGGTGTTGTCGGGGCCGTACTCCTTGTAGAGCGCCTTTTCGAGGCTCTTCCACGTCTCGTGCGTGTGCGTGCGTTCGCGGTCGTACTTTTGGAACCACTCGCTCGAGTGGATTCGCTCGAGGGCCGCGAGCTCGCGCGCATTGGCCGCTTCCCATTTGTCCTCGGCGTCGGTGACTCGCGCTTCGGCGACTGGGAGCTTCTGTTGGACTCGGTAGATCTCGCGTCGGGCGGCGGCCAGTCTGTCTCGCGCATCTCGGCGTAGGTTCGTCAGCTCTTCCATGTCCAGTCCTTGCTCGTCCAGATTCTCAAAGGATTCAACGTCTTGGGCAGCTTTGGCGGCAGACTGTCGGGCCTTCTCAATCGCGCTTTCATGCCTGGCTTTCTCCCTCAGAAACCTTGTCCTCGTGCCCTTGGTAGATGAAATGGCCTTCTTGGCCATGTCGAGTTCGTCGAGATCATCCTGCCACTGTTGGATCTTTTGTTGCTTCTCACGGAACGGCCTCATGAGCTCATCAATGGTCTCGTCCAAATCGTCCCAATCTTCCCAATTTTGGCCTTTATACAGCATATGCTGTAGGTGCAATACTTGGGGCGGCTTGATCTCCTGACCTTTTTCAAGAGCCGCGTCGATGGCATCGCACCAGTCTTCGACGTGGTGGATGAGGTGCTCATTATCGCAATTCTGGACCGCCATCTCGTAGTCCTTGTAAACCTTGGTCTGCTTCCAGGTCTGATACCATGACGGACATCGGCCGATCATCTCCTTCATGAAGACCTTGCGGAGATGCGTCAATTCGTATTCGCGCATGGCGCGCCAGTAGTTCTGCTCCAGACCAATTCGACCGCGTTTCTTTGCCTGAGAATTACCCGGAGATGCTGTAGAAGTAGAGGACTTGTTGCCGGACCTTGATGAAGCTGCTTGTGCATAGTTTCCATCCAAATCTTTATGACCCCTTCCATCATCATCGACGTTGTCATCGGGGATCCACACGGCATAGTCTTCGACCTGCGGCTCCTGTGGCCGATGATTCCCCTCGTGGAGCAGGGCCGGCATATCACAAGCAAGGTACACGGGAAGGCAGGAAACAGAGTCCCAGTCCAAGATGCCGGTGAGCTGTCCAGTCTCGACGTTGACCAGTATGTTGTCCGTTGAGAGGTTGTCGTGCCATAGCATTGTTTGCTCTGCATGTTGATGGCTGCCCAAATATTTCTGGATTTCTTCGTCGGCATCCAGTCGAGGTATTACCCATTTGTGGAAGTTCTCGCGAGTAGTAACCTGCGGTTCAGTATGTTTTCGGCCGCCGGGTGTGCGTTTATCACCCTTGTCCACCACTTGAGGAGGCGCCAGTACAGAACTTGTACGTAGAAACACGCTGTCTTCAGTGTTCACAGGTTCATGGGAGTAGCCTCGCCGTGCATGCGTCTCTGAAGTGGGTTGAGATCCTGCTACAGGAGTGGATCTTTCCTTCAAAGATATATAAGCAGGTTCTCGTTGATGATTGAACGAGTCCATGTTTGAATCCGTTAGTTCTTCAAATACGTCCCCCTTTGGAGACATAAAGGCTGTGCTATCTGCTGAAGATTTGTGTCCGTGGTGGGTTTCAAAGTTGTCTTGTTCACCCCCTTCTGATGGGATAGAGCTTCCACCTCGAACTGTGAGTCTGGAGTCATTAACAACAACAGGACGGCCGATGGCCGAAATTGTATGGCCATTTTCGTCGTCATCTCCCTGGTCGGTAGGGAACAAACGGTCATGGAGCTGCCATAGTCTCGACTTGACCCCGCTCATATGAATTAGACGCCATATACGCTCACGTTCCTTTGGCGGACCATGTTGAATAGCAGGGAATCGAAGCCAGAGATGTTCGGAAGCTAGGTTTAGCCTGCGGTGGAACCACTCCTTGCTTGAGGAGAATGGTCCTTGGTTCGGTTCGATCTCTGCACCTCTGTCCCAGAAAAACCTCATGGAAGCAATCTTGCCAACTTGGTAACGTCTGCCGCGGCCAGGGAGGGGTGCGGGGTAGATGTTCCCTATCTGTTTGAACCGACTTCTGTATACACACTCAGAATATTGCGCCAGGGTTTTCATGATGAGCTCCTTGGCTTCCAGTGTTATGTCCCGCCAGCACGAAGATAAGGGAGTACCCTCAAGTCGCTTCATGAGGATCCACTCACAGCCAATTGGGTTGTTGGCTGAAGAGCTGTAGGCAATCACCTCGGGCAGCAGACCGCGCAAGGTTGTGTTGGCTGCGGTCCAGCGAATGGTTGCCACTTCGCTTTCAGTCTTGGTGCGTGGGCAGACGGGCATGGTAATTTTCATCACATAACCTTCGTCTCCGCAGTCGACAGAGTAGAATTTGTTATAGGGTCCGTTCCACATGTGCTTGACTTGGTATTCTTCTTCTGAACCGAGGGCCTTTTTCAGTACACTGACGATCGATCCGATGGAAGGAATTCGTTCCCATTTGGCAATGGCATCGTAACCACAAATAGTCCATCTGATGCCGATCTTGGAGTATTTGACCGGATATGAAATTGCTTCTTTCGTGACTGCTGACTTGGGAGCAACTGACTGCGGCGTGACGAGATTTGCTATGGGTATGGTGGCGGAGCTTTGAGATGTTTCATACTTGTAGTCTGCTCCGTGGCCATCAGGTTGAGATTGATCATCGTGCTCCAACCCAAAGAGTTCATCAATGGTTGTATCTCTTGCAATCATTGGATCGAGAGTATTGTGTAGGTTTTGTAGATTGAAGCTGCGACTACCACTGTCACTGGTCGCCATCTGCGTGTCACCTTCGTGGAGTGATCTGCACAGTTCGGACGGAGAGGGACGCATTGGTAATATTGGAGAATTAGATTCGAAATTCGAGGTTGTAATTTCATCCTTTGAATCGTTGCCTTGGGTCGGGGAATATGCCGAGTCAAGCTTGTCTATGTCCAATATCAGCAAGATCAAAGAATCCCAGAATAGTTGTGAGTGCCATACCATGGTTCTGGGTATCTAGGATACCATTATCATTGACGATGTGGACATATGCTTGTAAGGAAGGAGGGGTGCTGTTATGCATTGGCGGGTCCGCAACTTCCGGGCTGGCCGGAGGATGCATCTTAATGCCCGGCCCGGGGCTTCGGAGTTCCGGGCCGGTGCTCAGAGGGCCAAGCCCGGCAGGATAGGAAGGCCCCCACGGACGGTCTTCTTGAGAATCCCTCTTGATGTCCTTCCCCGAGTGATTCATATCCTGATAGATGTCTACCATCTGTGTATCCTCTGACACTGGACGGTCAGAGGATACCGGATTCGTAGGGGGAACAGAGTCCATTGTCAGCTCAAATGACATCTGGATGGTATCCCAGATGACATAGAAGGACTATGGGACGGTATTGGGTTGATTGGGCCGGAACAAGATTGGGAGTGGTTGTGCTGAGACGAAAACGAAAAGAAAATTTGATGCAATGGGACGGAACCAGGAATGCACCATAATGTGATGTTTGCAATGAGACGGAAGTTGGGAAAGAGCCAAAGTTGGGTGGATCACAATGAAGCAGAAATTGACGTTCAAGTCAAAGTTGGAAGCCATGGGGTGTGAGACGAAGGAATAGGAAATGAAGGAACTGATTGGTGACGATGAGTGTGAGTCAGATTCAATGCCCAGACCAAAGTCGACGACGACGACGACGACAAAATGGGAACAGAAGAGAAGGGCTCCGATGAACTAAAAGTCATAACTGACATGATGAAGGCGTCACATCACGGGACGGAAGCTTTGTAAAGTATGAGAGACACTAAATTATGGTCTTTGCTACCGAATGCCTACAAGACCACATGCATTACAGATTATAAAATATCGATAGCCAATGCATATTAGTCTTGGACAAACATCTACCATGTTCACCAACCAACAAGAGATCACTTGCCATGCACAAGTCTGTTTGTCAGAACCAGAGACGTGAACCGGTTCTCACGAGCAATATCTAGTAAAGACACTACAGAGTATATGTATGATATCTAGAAAATAGGCTACCAATGCATACGATATCTCTTGATAAACCCTATGTCTCCAAATATCGCGCTGACAGGATCAGAACATGCCTAGAGTGATGAATGGTTCCATCAACAGTACAGGTATACGTAGCGGACAGCACACTCATGAGTACTCACTTCCATAATAATCACCCTAGCACCCAGGTCCCTGGATAAGGCAATTTATTTGAATATTTCGATTCGAATGGGTATCCTGTAGCTACGAGATTTTCAAGTTAGGTGGTACCAAGATGGTCGTATTCCATACTGCTCGACTCTCATTTCTGATGGCATTGTGCTCAAACTGCCAAGCCATCAAAGCACACTGAGCACGTCTCATTTTGAAAAAAGGTACGCTTGAGCCATGACCCCCATCCTCATGGAGTCAGATATTGTTAACTCGTAATAGAACTTCATGAAGAGAGAATAAATCGGGCGGAATCATCGTATTCACACACATACACAGGCTCAATATGTAGACAAGAGAAGATGATGGTATCGTATCTGTTCGTCATATCATACAACTAACTCGCATTGCTCAAAGTCCAAAGTCTATGTCTCTTTCCTCCGAGTCAAGGTCAAGTCAAGCCCCATGTTCACAAAGCCCTATTTTAATTTGACCATTGAGAAAACATCTTGATCCAATCAAGTCATCCGCTGGTCAGTAAATTACCCTTTTGCAACGCCTGCCACATCTATCATCTGGAAAATCGCTTATTTGCCAGGGTTGGAGGCGACAAAGGCAACACCCTTCTCAATGTTCTTCTTCAGGTCAGCCAGGCAGGCCTCGACGAGCTTCTCCTCGTTGGCGTCAACCTTGCCGATGGGCAGGATCTTCTCAACACCGCTGGGGCCGAGCTCGACCTTGGAGGCGAAGAACTCGATACCCTGGTCCTTGTACAGAGGGCTGTCGACGAAAGCGGGCTCAACAACGCCCTTCTCACCCTGGGCAGCGCGCAGGACGGAGTCGGCCATGCGGGCACCAGCCATGGCCATGGAGAGAGTGGCGGAACCAGCACCGTCCTTGGCCTTGACAACCTCGTCACCACCGAACTGGACACGGTTGACGAGCTCAGCGTTGGAGCTCAGCTCGGGGTGGCTGCTCTGGCTGAAGAGAGGGACAATGGTGACACCGGAGTGACCACCAACAACGGTGATCTTCTCATCGGCGGGGTCGGTACCCTTGAGCTCGCTGACGAAGCGGGAGGCACGGACAACGTCAAGGGTGGTGACACCGAAGAGACGCTTGGGGTTGTAGACACCGCGGGCCTTGAAGACCTCGGCGCAGATGGGGACAGTCGAGTTGACGGGGTTGGAGATGATGAGGAGGTTGGCCTCGGGGGCGGACTCGGCAGCGGCCTTGGCGAGGTCGCGGACGATGGAGGCGTTGGTGTTGAAGAGATCGTCACGGGTCATGCCGGGCTTACGGGGGACACCAGCGGGGATGAGGACGACATCGGCACCCTTGAGAGCGGCGGCGAGGCCGGTAGGGGTGGGATCGTAGCCAGTGACGGTGGACTTGGTGTTGACGTGCGAAATGTCAGCAGCGACACCTGTTTAGGGCAGAGCAGTCAGTAAGGAAGAGCCACGACAAAGTGGTAGTGGCCAGGCACGCGAAGCCACGAGAAACCCTGATTGACGAGCAACAAGGTTTACGTTTCAACGGCGCAAGGGGACATGACATGGTAACTTACCGGGTCCGCCGCGGATATCGTACAGGGCAAGCTCAGTAACTCTGGGGTTCAGCTTGAGCAGCAGGGACAGAGGCTGTCCAATACCACCAGCGGCACCGAGAACGGTAACCTTGGAGAGCTGTATTGGAATTGATCAAGTCAGCTTAAGAGTTCAGATAAATTGGGACTCGGGAATAGCCTCAGTCGCAATATCTGGACATGAGTCCCGAGATGGGTTTGACGAAGAGCCCATCCAATAAAGCAGGTGAACTCACATCTCTAGCCGAGGCGGAGAAAGCACGGCGCTGGATAGCGCCAAAGGCCATGCGAGCGGCAGCCATTGTGAATGATGTTTTTTCTGGGGGATATGAAATAGAGAAGGGAAAAAAGGGACTCGGCGAAATGGGGCTTGTGAGGCGCTGTGAAGGAGGAAAATGGAAAGAAGTGAGAAATTGAAGTGTCAATTGACTTCCTGCACGTTTTCCCGAGCTCAAAGGAAGCACGGACAGTCCAGAGAAAAAGTTACGTTGACCCGGCAGAGCTGCTTGGCAGTCCCCCCAAAGCATTCTTTGCCCTAGTCCTCTTGAGGTCTAGCGTGATTCGGGTCGCGGGTTCGGCCGATTTTCGGGGGACGAAGCTGATGGGTTCTGCACCCAGAAAATATCGCAATTGATGGGGTTTGAATCTCTCGTCCACATGATGGAATCCACCTTTCTCGCTCTTGTTGACACCATCTTATGAGCCTCGTATGGAAGGACAGACTGTTCTTTACCAACATTTCTTGACATTTTGGAAATCAAACGCCCATGGTAGGTTATTCTGTCATGACAGCATCGGGAAGCAAGCGAATGAGAACTCGCCTGGTTTCCAAATAGTGAACAATCAACCCATGGCGGCTGGCTTAAGGTCGACAGTACAGTAAAAATGCAGTGCTGCTGAGATGGCAGATGCATCACGTCAAGAGCCGCGGTCTCTGCAAACTTGGCGACCTTCATACGTAAGGTAGTATTCACAGAGAGGTTCCACAGTTACCTTACCTAGCATTGCCTTCTTATGCGCACCAATATAAACATGACATGCCCCCATGAAAACAGCTGAGCCGGATACCTAGCCAGTCACTGCATCCGTGCCACCGATGTGCTCCGTTGAGCCGTAGACCCACCTACCTTTGTACAAGAGTATAGCATTTCCCCTTGACATACCTAGGTAAATAAGCACCTGCATATCTATCTAGTTTCACCTTGCAAACTCAAATTTAATCTTTTTGAAGGAGCAGTGTCTATACTGGGAAGACTGAGCATCAATATTTTGATTGGTTGGCAAATCTGTTTAGAAATGCGTTAGCGGGCGTTGGCTCGAAATATGCACCTTATATTGATGCTACCTAGTAAGGAAAACGCACATCTTTCACTTGACTGATGATGGCGTACTTCGAAACTGTCGAATTGTCCAAGTCAGCGAAATGGGGGGATTTGCGCCACAGTTTATCATAGTTCCGTGCCATCTAGGTCATTTGATTTTACTTACTATTCTTATTGCACTCGTATAAGCATGCTATAAAATTGTACAATCGTGTTCTTTGCACAAATTAAAACCCGTCCTAAACCATGCGAAATTCTTTGACTTGCACAATAATCTCAATTTGCACTATTGAGAAAATAGCAACAGTCGAGGTTCTCGCAGCGATACTTGAGAAACTGTACACAATTGGTTGTGACACAAACTGCTCTGACCGACTATTCATTGGCAAATTTAGAAAAGTGGTGTAACAATTGATCTCCCCATTGAACAAAAAGCAGAGCGCCACTAGCTTTTGCTACGTCTTGCTTTTACATCTCCTCACGATAACATCTTCCCCAATCGTTGTATAGGTGAAGAAACATGCGGGGACGCACGCCTACCATCCAGCCTGCCTGGCGGCTTAATGATTCGCCACGACCACGGCGTTGACGCCCTGTTTTGCATACTCCAAAACGCAGACTCCCTGCATTTGCAATGGGTCTTGGACGCAGGAATCGTATACCGCGTTGCCGTGGTCAAAAAACACAGTTGCAATTCGCGAGGTCTTGCGGGGCATGCATAACGCCTTGCCTCTGCAGCAAGTCTATATAGTGAGAAGAAAAAGCAATAGCCGGTAATCAGAGAAGAATTGAAAAGCTTGTCAAAAGCCTTTCTGGTTCAAAGCTGAATATCAACATGTCTGGGAATAGCACCACTTTCAGAGGTCTGTGGGATGAAAATCCCTTTGATTCGATTCCACTTCCCTTCAAATCATTGCTGCCTGTCCAGATTATTGCAGCATCTGTGGCCGCCGTCTTGTAAGTTACTAAATCTTTCACGTTTGCCCAGGCCTTGCTCAAGCAACCAACCGTATTCCAGATACCGAATATTCTTTTCGCCAATTCGCCACATTCCCGGTCCCTTCCTGGCCAAGTTTACTCGGCTATGGCATATTCACGCAATCTTGGCCGGGAAACAGAACTTGAGGCTGCTCGAGCTTCACAAGAAGCACGGTCACTTTGTCCGCATCTCCCACGATGAAGTCAGCATCACTCATCCCAACGCCGTCAAGGCGCTCTACCTGACCCCCATACCAAAGGTGTGTTTCGCATGCTCCTGCCTCCGAGGTGGGCTGGAAGAAAAAGAAACGATAAAAATGACTGACAGTTTGGCCGTCATGGTTGCAGGGAAACTGGTATCGTGCCTTTGTGTTTCCTGATTGGCGATTCCCGCTTTCCATGGCGATACAAGATCCACGGGAAAAGGCCGACTTCTTGAGATACCTTTCGAATGCAGGTTTCTCTCTCACCAACATTCTCCAACGCGAAAGAGACATGGACGAGCAGATTGAATTGCTAAAAGGCTGGATGGACAAGTAAAAACGCCTCTCATCTCTCTCCTCGATTCCCTCATGGTACTCTAGCAGTTTTGCTTACTCCAAACAACACCTACTAGATATTCCGCAGAAAAGAAACCCATGCACCTGGACAAGTTTCTAACCTATACCGCCTTTGACCTGGTGGGCGTGGTTACCTTTTCCAAGCCATTTGGTTTCATCCGGCAAGGCATCGACGTCGGCGACGCCATTCTCTCAGCCATGCGTCTGCAGGTGTACCTATGCACTGTCGGGTTTTATCCCTGGGTGTCGTACCTTTTGAGCAACCCGTTTGTGACCTGGACCGAGCTGATGCCCGTCGGTCTGTTGGCACTCAAGTCGGCCAGGGCGCTGGAGCAGCGCCGAAAGAATCTTGACGCCCAGTTCGACATGTGCAGTCACTGGTACAAGGGTCTAGATAAAGCTAAGAGGGACGGGTATACCAGGTTCTCTGAGAGAAGTGTCCTGGCGGCTGCCGTGTCCAATGTTGGGGCAGGAACGGGTGAGTTCGGCTTTCCTTGAATATTTTGGCAGTGAATGACGCTGAAGTTTCAACAGAAACGGTCTCCTGTGGTTTACAGTCCACTATCTATCATCTTTTACGTCGACCGGCAGAATGGCAGCGCATCAAGGACGAGATTGATCACGCGTGCAAGGAAGGTCGATGTCAAACCCACATTGTTTCCTACGAAGATGCATCTAGGCTCCCGAGACTAGAGGCTGCAATCAAGGAAGCGTTGCGCATTCTTCCTCCCGTCCCGAGTAAGTACAAAGATTTGTTCTGATATCAAGGTCTTCTTATTAATACGTTTTGGCAGTGGGCCTGCAACGACTCGCACCCGATGGAGGCGTCACGATTGGAGGCACGCATTTTCCAAAAGGAACGACACTTTCAGTGAGCCCAGCGGTGAGATCCCTGACCTGAAACACAGATCTATACACTTCTTGGGATATGTACTGAGATTCGTCAAGGTTATACATCTTTCAAAGGAAATTTGGGGCCCAGACGCCGAAGAATACAACCCCGATCGTTGGTTCTCGCCTGATATCGCCAAGAAAGAGAAATATTTCATGCCGGTAACTATTTTTCATCTGACCAGGTTATGACCTGTGCTGATTAATAGCAGTGGAGCGCAGGATGGGCATCGTGTCCAGGCCAGAATTTTGCCAAAGTACAATTGTTCAAAATCATAGCAACGTGAGTTGGCCCGAGTGCATCGATACATGACAGTGTCTTTGACTTGCTAAACTTATCTAATCTAGGATCGTGCGAGATTATGACTTGGAATTTGTCAACCCAGACAAGGAGTGGGAATGGGCGGCATATTTCACTGTGCTTCCACATGACTGGCCAGTGCATCTCACTAAAACCAAGGCTCCTGTAGGAGGCAGTTGATATTGAACATCCCGAGTCAAATTATCTTGGAAGCGAACTCTTTTGGGATGAAATCTGCTTCACGTTTTGAGTGTACACGGTCGATATCAAGGATTGTAAACATGAAAGAGTAGGGTCAGCACTGAGTATAGATAGGTATACGCCACCGGCAATGTAATGATATGTGTTCTGTAATCGAGTAAACAAACCACAACGAAATGACCACTTATTCTGAAAATGAAACCAAGATTTTTGCATTGATCCGAGTTGAAATGAATGAAGTAATTGGCCTTTGTAATCCCGTGTTTGAGAAATCAGAGCTCTTGGGGCTCGGATCTGCTCAACGTGTTAAAACAAACAAACAAACTCCCCAGGGTATCCTCGAATTCCTTGCTTTGTGACCTCGTAGTCTCATCATAGTGTCCTCTAGCATTGCAAAAAGTGACATCGCTCCGTTTCTCGTATCTGGCATCGTTTCTTCTCATTCAAAGTTTGGGCTGAGATTGGTTGAACATATCCACAAGTCCGTCTTCGTTCCAGTCCTCAATATTTGCCGCTTCCCACTCTGCCTGCAAGTGACGCAGGACCAGCCTATGAACAAAACTATTAGCCTGAATGACGCTACACTACGTACAATTTTGAAAACTTGACGAATGTGTTCATTTGACAAGCCTCACAACTGGGTGTGAAATCATTCATGCACAGCGTATGTATCAAGAACTGGCAAGCCAGAAAAACAAATCATTTAGCTCAAGAAAAATAACTCACCACACCTGCCAGAACTCGAGATCACTCTCGTCCGAGTCAAGGTCCCAGCGTCCATGGTCCCAAGGTCCGCCATGACGCCAGCTGTAGCGGAGCGTCTGGACGACAAAGCGGGCAGCATGGTCCGTAGCAGACCAGCCAGCCTTGGTGGCGAGGGGCCCGTGGCCGGCGAACCGCTTGGAGCGAAAGGCGTGCTGCTTTTGCACCGTGGCGCGCAGGGCATAGTAGTCAATGTCCTCGACCTCGTACTCTACCTCGTACTCGTACCCGTCGAGGCTCGACGTCGGCGACAGCGGTGCAGCAGCAGCAGCAGCAGCAGTCGCCGTTGCCTCTAGGTAGTCGCGCGTGTATTCTTCGAAAAATGGTCGCACAAACGGACTGCGCAGTACGCGTCGTACCATGCCGTTGGTGCCAGTCTCTGTGCCCTCGCCGCCTAGGTTGAGGTAGTCGCATAGCAGGTCAAAGCTGCGCTGGATGGCGTGGCCGTGGGGATAAGCGACTGAAGTGGCCATGGTGTTTCTTCTGGGTACGTTTCTTTCTTAGTCTTGAATGTGAGCGATGAAAAACTTCCTGGGCTAGGGCAGAAATTTGGCAAAAGATGATGATTGACCCTTGAGGATTTACAACCTGTACTGAGACAGTGAGGGCTGGAACAATGAAGTTGTCTCGACGATCAGGGAGAATGAAAAATCCCTCGAATTCAAGAATAGCAAGAAACTGATGAATTGTATTCGCCAAAAAGAATCAGTGTTTCAGAAGTAGTATGCAGATTGCAGATGATGGCTGTCGGGGAACAATGAAAGGAAGAAGAAAAAAAAAAGGTGAGTGTCTCAAACTTAAAACCTCGAACATCCGAGTTCACTGCCTTGATTGGCGTCTATCCCTATTTTTTTTAAGGCAATGGCTGAGGCTGCAGATGAGGTTTAGCTACAAAGACCATAGACTATCCAAATTTCAGCAATTTCTTTTCCTTGTGTTTTTATGAAAGTCTGTAGTATCTATCAACACTTGAAGCTCCGGTCTGGTACAGCGGCAGAATGTAGAATGATTCAAGAGAACTCGAGGGCGAGCACTCATCAACGCAAATGAGTGGCTCAGAACATATCAATCCAATCATGGACCCCCAGCTCGTATGCATGTATGCGAGACTTGGACGTGTTGTCATTCAATACATTGTCCAATACTTGCATCTCGTCATACCCTAAAGCCGGAACGCCGCATACTAGAAGCGCGAAATTGGTCGCAAAGTCATTTTTGACACTTGAGCCTTGGCCATGCGCTTCAAAGACAAGGATGATATCATGGTAGTCACAAGTAGCCAGGAAACTCGAGAAGAGGTTTTGCCAAATGATGCACGTAAACATGTGCCGTTTGTGTCAAGGTAGGCTAGAATTACTCATATGACATCCCGAATACCTCACATTGCATCAACGCATGTCCTACGCCCGCTGTGGCAACTCCCATTCTCAATGCTTCCCAGTTTTAATGCCTGAGCAGAGAGCAATGTACAAAACGCCGTACTTCTTTTTGTGCAAACTTTTCAATTTGTCAAGCCGTCACGGGATTTCTAAACCTGACATGAACCGGCAATCCATCAGTAGGCGGTGATATACCCTTGGCTTGTCGGTAGGCCCTCTCGCCTTTGATAGTATGCCTTGGTTTACCGACATTCTCACTATTTTAAATCATGCATTAGTCCACGGTCAACGAGTACTGATGAGTGCCAAACTTAAGGGGAAAATTTGAGAAATGTATACTTACGGAAGCTGGTCCCACTCGTCAAAAGCAGGCTCAACGTCCACCTCTCGGACAGTGAATAGTAGCACTAGTTTGATCTCAATCATGGAGAGCTCTTGTCCAATGCAGTTCATTGGGCCGGCTTCAAAAGGTCGCCATTGCCCCGGCTTTGAGGGATACAATGGATCGCCCGGTGGTACCATGAAGCGTTCAGGCAGAAACTCGTCAGGCCGCGGCCACAGTTCTGGGTGGTAATCAATCATTGCCGTTCCAGTAATAAGAGCGAATCCGTATGCCGGCAGCCGCGTCCCATCGCTGGCGGTGAAGAAGGCGCCTGGAGGTGCCTGGCGAACCGTCGCGGCCAACGGGGCGAGCCGCATGACCTCCTTGGCCACGGCCGTGGTGTACGGTAGCGAGTTGAGGAGCTGCGGCGACTGCCTCACCTTGTCGGCTACGGCCCTGAGGTCTGTACCGAATACCGAGTCGTACTCGGCTCGCAACTTTTCCAACACGTCGGCACGTTTGGAAAGGTAGTGGAAAGCCCAGGTAAGAATACAGGCCGTTGTGTCATGGCCTGCGAAAAGAAACAGGCGAACCTGTCCAAACACGTCCTCGACGAATTGATCGCTCGAGCCTTTGCTGCTTTTCGCTCCCTGTGTGTCGTTCATATATTCCTTCATGGCTAGTTGCAATACAGTCTTTTGTTTCGTGAACTGCTCCGCTCCAATTTGCTGCTGGATCCGTGGAACGAGAATTTTCCTAAGCTTCTGGACAGAATGCCACCCCTCGTACCGAAAGAAGGGATTGAACCTTTTGGGGAGAGTGGCCAGCGTTCGAAAGAAGAAGTGCTTGGTAGTGAGCGTCCTCAGCGCCGACTGTAGCTCCGTTGGGCCATTCCGCTGCTCATTGAGGTGGAGATCCAGTACCACCCTGCCAATGATATCAAATGTCAGGTCAATGGTCTTGGGCATCAGGGGAAACACGGAACCCCAACGCCCGTCTGGACGGGTAGTGGCCTTGAGATTCTCCAAGAAGATTTCAGCTTCGTCGACAAGTGCGCCCATATACGAATGTAGGTTGCGCATTGAGAAGCCCGGGTTGAGGCGTGATCTCCACAGACGATGTTCTGCGCCGTCGAACCAGATCAGGTTTCTTTGGCCAATGACGGGCTCTGCAAGTCTCTTCATACTGATGCCTCTTGGAAAGTTCTTTTCAGTCACCAATTCTTGGCACATGGCCGGATCTATAATCAATGCGATTGGAGTAGACTGAACAGGCCATATATCGAGATATACAATATGTGGACATTCCTTGGCACTGGGGAAGTATTCCTGCCAATGTTGAATGATGTGGATTTGAGCATAATTCGGTTGAGCATCTGGCGGGAATTGTCCCTTCAATGCGCCCAATACCTTCAGATGGCCCCAAAGAAGAGAGTAAGGTTCGATGATTGGCTGTGACGATGATGATGGAGATTGATTAGCTGGAAAATAGTGATATAATGGCAGTCGGACTCTTTCGATAGGTGAAAATAGGTGCGCGTTCCCATCTTGACCATTTTGGCAAGAAAGTGTAGTTGATGACAACTTACAATACCTTGAGCTCTCATACTCTTGAAGCGCATGCGGATTTGCACACCTCCCCAGAGGAATAGAGCCGTTTTACCAACCAGCAGGGCTAGAATGGCGCCAAGAATCAGCTCGATGCTGCTCTTGGGCGCCCATTCGTGGTTCACATCAACCAAGCCCATGTCAGAACGCTGAAATCCAGGCGGGAAAAAAAGAAAGACGATGTAAATGTTCTTCTCTCTTCTTCCCTTTTTTTTCCAATCTAGATGGATGGAAAGTTGAAATATGTTGTGTCACCTTTTGGAGAGGAGTACACACTACGACTAACCTTCTGACCTTCATGATCTGATGATTGATGCACACGTATTAGTCGACGATAAGGAACCTCGGGACGGCCTAAACTGATTGATTGCGAAATACTTGCCTTAGCTAGACAAACTAGCGGGCTGCCCTTGACCCCTCGCCCCCCTGCTCAGCAATTACCCCACCCTTTGAGTGGCCAATCGCGGGCGCAATCGCCTATAAACTTTTTCCCTGCTGGGGGGTAAAAATACTGGGATTCATGTGCTCCATATGTACATTAGATTATCATTCTTAAGAGTAGCAGCGATTGTCATTAGTTTTAGGGGGGGTATTTTGTCAAATGTGTCTGTCATTTGCAGATTGATGAAAATTGGGGTTACCTTCGGCTCCATGCATATGATACTTACATACATCAAATGTAGTACTACCCCAAATTCTTCCCAGTCAGGTCCAGGTGTGTGGCCTCTTAGGGGCCGCGTAGGTACATTAGCTGTATATTCTTTACCAATCAGATACAACAGAATTCTGCAGCTATCCCAGCGACATGTTCTTGGGTCAGAGCTGAATCGTGTTATTCGCAGATGCCGGGGACGAGACAGGCAAAAAGTCCTATCAAGCATGTGATTAATCGAAGATGGTTTTTTTTCCCAAGATGATTTATTTGTCTTTTATTTGGTATTTCCAATACCGCCGTTAAGCGATTTGTACGTTGAAATCGCACTCTAATCTAGTCTAGCTATAGAGAGTATTATAGAGTATATTGGCCGTCAACTTGTCAGAAAACGCGGTCATATTGTATACGCCTCCCTAACATTGACGTTGTCATAACACCGAGAATAGCGAGAGGCTCAGACGCTCATTATCTGGCACCTCGTACTCGTTTATCATGTCTCTGTGTGGCCTAAAGTAATCCGACATCCGCTTGGCGGCACTTGTGCTCTTGCGTAAATCTCTAGGCGGTGGAGGCGTATAGCCCGGCTCAAATGTTGGCTCCACGCCAACGTACGACGGCCGTTTATTGTTGTTACTGTTGTTGGTATTGTTCCGTGTGCTGTCGCGGGACTGATAACTGTAGCAGCTCGCCCGCTTCCAGGCATCCTCCCTCATCACGGAGCGCGATCTCTCCCTCCTAGACTCCCTCCGAGACCCCCCAAACGTCCCCGAGCGCTGTAACGTGCACACGTGGCCGCTGAGATCTGGGTGTACCGGCGTCAAACTCCTCCGACCAGGGTGGCTGGTGATGCCGCCGCCGCGTCGCTTCGGGTCCTGGTCCCAATATTCTTGTTCAAGAGCGCGCTGGATGAACTGCTGGTAGTCTGATATTTCATTGGGCTCATCCGCGGCAATAATGTGACGTCGGTCTTCCGACTTGCTGCACGACTGGCGGCTACGTCGTGGCGGAGGGAAGGAAGTCATTGGCGGAGGGTGTAATATATCCATGGGGGGAGGGTGTAGTGTGTCCATCAAATCCCCGTCATTCCCTCCAATCGAGCTGTCTGTATCCACGTTGGAGATACCCTCTAGTGTCGCGATGGTGAGCCGCCGTTGTTTGTCACGGTATACCTCGTCTACAAGGAACGAGCAGGGACTACAGCTCTCAGTGTCTCGCGGAGGAGGGCCAAGTCCTCCCAGTAGCAGCGAAAGACGCCGTCCTTCGTCTTCGTCAATGATGGAATAACGATGCTTGAGACTGCGACTGGCCGCAGCACACGACGTGTCCATCATGGTGTACGAGGGTATGTAGACTTGTGACTGCCTTCTGTCGTCGCCGTGGTTGATCTTGTGGTCAATGCGCGAGAGCTCCCGCTTCAAGGGCTTTGCCGTGGTCTCTCTATTTCTCTGTGCTGATCGTCGTTTCCTGTGAGGCTGAACCTGCTCGAGCGAAAGCTGTGATTGCTCAGATCGCGGTGTTTCAGAATCTTGACTGGTCCGCGGATGGCTCGTTTTCTTATTGCTCTTGGCTGGCCGATGCAAAAGTTTGTTGAAAAACCCCGACGAGGATGCAGACACCGATGAGCCCTCACTGAGTGACTCGGATGTGGATGCCTTTGACAGCTGGCCAATTTTCGCCTCCCTCCTGCGGATTTCTCTTTCGACCCGGAATCTCTGATCATGCTGCATGGACGGTGGCATATCTTCAACGACAATGGATCCGTACTCGTTCTGGGATATGTCTACATGTGATCGTTTTGTTGTCCGAAATCGATCAAAAATGGTCCGTATACCTCCGCCATGTTTGGAATGTTTCGACGCTCCATCGCTAACAGACATCTTCCGGCAAGATGTCATCTTGTCAGAACTCTGACATGCAGGAAACAATTCCAAGTGCTATAAACACCACAAATTGGCAGTGTTCATAGATTTCTCTCAAGAAGAAATGATTTCGTTTGATGTATGTGTATTCAGTGCCAAGTCGAAGAATTGATAATATCTGGAAAGTCCAAAGGTGTTGTTGGTATTGTTGAATCCTAGGTACCGCCAATGGGTTTGGAATATGACGACTACGACTTTCTTATCAGGTGTAGCACAAGTGAATGTCATCAGCCTCCTCTCATCAACCCCCACGGAATAGGCAGTCGATCTTCACTTAAGTCTTACCAAGACTCGGGATTTCGCTCTGCGTTATTGGGGATTAGCTTTGGCTAGGTGATTGCAACCAAGTCCACCGCCTTTTCCTAGCATCCACGCCACTGCAAGAATCAACAAGACTACCTTACTCAAACAACAGGACCAAGCAGGACCCAGAACTCGGCGCACTCCGGCCTTGACAGCCACCTCCACAGTCTAATTGGGTCTACTCGTGCATCTAGACGTCACAGCCCGTCCATTGCTGGACAGGTTTGCCAGGGCAGGCCACTGATACGTTCCTGCCCCTGTGGCCATCTCCGGGGCCATAATATGACATGCATAGGGACATGTGGGCCAACCGTGAAAGCCTATCTATCTCCGGGGAAATTCCCCATCGGAAATGCGGTATTCAGTTGGCAAATTTGTTACATCTCTCAACACTCCAGGTATATCACGGCAACGGACTTGTTTCAAGCTGAGTATTTAGAGAGTTGGTCAGTCGTCTTCTTCAAAATGTCTCTGTCCTATTCCTATCAAGTGCCAGCCGGTCTGATCACGATCGAGGCGTCGTTAACGCTGCGCTGGTACTTCGAGCTTGCGGTCTCAGCTTGCTTGGCCAGCAAGACGCAGAAGTATGACGCCCAAAGAAGAAAACTCCTCCCAATCAAAGAGTGAGAAATGGCTTTCTGTGTGAAACCCAACATCTGCTGAGGCTCGCAGGGTGGCGGCCGCTAGGCTAGTCATTCCACTGCCTTGCCATCGGTCGAACACATGGCTGCCACAATGCAGCCAAGGAAAAACGCCGTGGCTAGTCCCGAGTTTACTTTGCCTCTCGTTGTTGCCTCCCTTTTCCTCCCGCTTTGCCGATATGCTATCAATCCTTCGTACATTGTCCAATGATGCAAGACACAAGCATGTTCTGTTTTGGTTGCAACCCACTCGAAGATGTTGAAGGCGGCATTTAGTTACCAGGAGCGCGGGATTCTAGGGATCTTTGCAATGCCGCGGTCACGGCCCCTGAATCTCGACTTGAGCTTATCTTTCCCGTAACCTTTGTGGCTGCGTCTGGTTCCATCAAATGCAGCAGAAGGTGTTACGATACTGATCAGCTTCTGCACGAAAGGCAATCGTACCTCTCATGAGTTTGGATCGACACGACTAGTTGCTACAATACATCATCAATCTTGGGTTCCCTTTTTGTGTAGGATATTTATTCCGGGTTTAATAATTCATATCGAGTCATGCCAAATGATCGCCAGCGGCTGCAGAATATCTGCCGAGGCTACCAGTGGCTTGGGTGAGACATTCAATCGACTTGTGGCTTTCAATGTTGGCACAGCCGTGACCCAATTTCCAACTTACCATGCTTACTCGTCCTACTATGTCTTGGGCCTGGAATATCAACATCAAAACCTCGTCGATCCCTCGGTGTGCTCCGAGTCTATGTGACTTAGCAAACGACTGCAGTCTCTAGCGTCAGACATCCACAATCACCGCTCTTGGTCTGAATACATTTTAGCAGAGACAATCAGGGCATGAATTGAATGGTAAAGACATCAACGAAGTCTTTACTTGGCACTCTCTTTGTGCTTGGATGGGGAGAAAAAAAAAGAGAAAAGAAAAAAGCGGCTCTTAAACACTGAGAACACCATCATACTCGGCCTAGCCACCTTTGCCAGGCTCGAATCTGCATTAAACACTTTGGTAAACCGTAAATAGTTCTACATATCAAAAAATCCTGAAGCTTTTTTTTTTTGTGTACACCATACGCAGAATCCAGGCAATCACTTGTTCAACGCCGATTGAAGACCATGGCTACCCCCGTGTCTAGCAACAAATCCCTGATAAGCTTGCATGTTGGCGAGCAGTTATCCACCTCCAGCACCATCAAGAATCTTCCGCATTAGCCGGAAACAAAGTGATTAATGCTTGATACCGAGTGTGGTGGAGGACTTCAGACACGCATTGTCCTGGTACCGACTTCGCCCTCTTCCTCCCCGTTATCGGCAGCTGGTATCACAGTTTCCGTAATATTGCTTGCAATGCTCGCTCTTCGACCTCCGCTGACCATCCCCTGAATGCCTAAGGCAACCTCGCCAACTCTTCTGAGCACCGCGAGGAGAGCTCCACGTAATTCAGCACTGATTTCCTTGGCTAACAGCTCGACCACGAGCGGGTAAAATGAGTGAACATGCTCCTCAAATTCCCTCTCGGGCCATGTAGAATAGCCCTCCAATACATCGACAACGACTGGGCGCCATGCGACAATATTTCGCTGCTGTGACTCCTCCTCCAGCGCAATGTACCCCTTGATAACGTCCTTGCAAAGTGGGATCAAGGCCTTTTCCACCTCCGGTCTGCTCTCCGCTCGCGATGGCGAAGTATCGGCGAACATACGGAAAAGGATCTGTATGTAGGTGGCGGCTGAGCCACTTTCTTGTTTCAAAAGGTTCGGTGGCTGCTTCATGAAGCCTTCACGCCAGAGCCGCATGCGCAATTCCTTGTCATTGTTGAAACGGCGGGCAAACATGAATGACTTTTTGAGCAATGCCATCAGTCGCAAAAGCTCCATGCTAGGGATTTGCTTGTAGACGTCGTCATTGGAGAATAGCTCATTTACAGTCTCAATCATGAGGAGCTGCAGCACGCACCGGGAGATGATGCGGTTGAAAAATCGTCGCCGCGCAGCTGTCACAACGACGGGTTGTTTCTGCAGATCAGACGACGGTTTGTAGTCTTCCAGGGGAGCTTGTGCGGTCAAATTAGTGGGCGTTTTAAGCGCATCCTCATCGGGAGCGGTCGACGGCACCGAGATGGTCGCTGAGTCTGATCCAGATGGCATGCCGTTTTTGTCATCGCCATTAATTTCAAGAGATTTCTCATCGCTCTCAGTCGGTGTCAGCGGGACCTCGAATCCAAGGCCATTTGGCGGTGGTGACAAGGTTGATGGTGTGTTAATAGTCGTGGCTGAGAAGAGCTGATAAGCTGTAGTCCGTTCGAAAAGTTCGCAGAATGCCCCGACAATCTTGGCCCAGTGCTCCTCACTGAACTTTGTCACATTTTGCAGAATAAGCTGCTGCAAGCAATTGCTTCCTATCCTCGCAATGGTGTCGTTTTCTTGGCAGATGCAAAGTGCTAATAGTTCCAAGAAGCGATCAAGCATATATTCAAGTGAGTCAAAATAGTGCGTGAACAACACGATCATGTTTCGTAGAGCCTGAATCATAGTGGTGGACAACCACACAGAGAGATCCTCGGTATTCAGGGCATTGGACAGCTCAGGTCTCGACCTGAGTACCATGAAGATGGGATACAATTGCTGGCGCCAAAGTATGTCCCAAAAGTCCGGTGGAAAGTCACCACCATATTTCAAGAGCGCCTCGAAGAAATAATTCAAAGCATTTGAACGTACTTCGAGGTCCTCACCTGTCATCAAAACATCATGGAATGCAAAGAGGACAGGGAACCAGAAGCCTTCCTCCACGGATGTCCCGCTTTGTTTTCTAGAGAGTACATCTGCCGACTTTGATCCATTGGCATCCGAAGCAGCGTTTTGGTTGTACTTCTCAGACAGCGGACACTCGGGAGCTTTGAGCATGCGAGGAATTATTGACTTGAGAGTCTCCATAGCCTGGAGGCTCTTCTTCTGGAATTTGATGTTCTTGGAGAACTCGGTCAGACAGACAATCAGATCGGTGAAGGCTCCTTGGGAGATGACGACGCCGAATCTTGTCCTGTAGATCAGAGAAACATTTTCGAAAGCCAAAGTCACAATGGACTCGTGTGGGTCTCGGGCAGCAACCGTGAATACTCCAAACATAGTCCTCCAGCCGGACCTAATGTTCTCGCCGCGTGCTTGAATCATCTGAATCAGACAGCGCAGTGCCATATCCTTGACCGAGATATTGTTCGAGTTGGAGATGACGTGCTCAAATGGCTTCAAGAAGTCCTTCTGAAACTTGAAACCTGGCAGTTCTTCGATTTCCATGAAACGCATGGAGAGTTGTCGCAACGAATCGAGGGCGAAGAAGACAATTGCAGGGTTGTTGTGGCATCCTACCCGGTTGAAGTGTTCTCCTAGGACAGCCCAAATGCTGGTCCACTCAAATCGTACTCGGGTCATGTTGTAGTAACTGATTTCGACAACCTTTTGCAAACTGTAAGTTCGGGGAGAATCATTTGACCCAGAAACCTTGATCTCGTCCCAGCTGACTTCGGTGAGGGCTTTGGCAAAATGAACAATTGCTTCCCCGTTCAAATTGGCGGTATTGCTGAAAATTCGATCGATGCCCTTGATCACCTCCTCGGACCTGCTTTCCAAGGCAATTTCTGACGAGACTCCCTTGGGAGCAGTGTTTGAGCGATTGCGACGTTTGGTAGAGGCTGTCGATTTCCTCGAATCATTGGTATTTGTCCTCTCAAGTGGGACAAAACGTGCTTTAGAGACATCCGGAATAGCACCCTCATCGACACCACCAGAGATGAGCTGTAGTCTGTCGAGCTGACTGATGCAGAGCAGGACATCCTTCCATGACTCTCGCAAGTAGTTGCCCTCGGTTTGGCCCAAGTCCAGAATAACCCTGAGAGCTTCCACATTCTTTGCCAGTATCTCTTGAGGATTGTTGAGGTTGGTGGCATTCTTCACGGCGGACATGAAAGCCTCACGAGGAGTTGACAGGTCAAATAGACAGGCGATCCTGATAGCTTGCTTCATGCCCTCCAGGCACAGGCGGTTAACCTCCAAGTTGTGTGCTTTCTGCATTTGATTCGACAAGGCCGAAAATACAGACATCCAAACGACATCAAACATGGGCCCGACGTGACGGAATGAGGTGGCGGGGATGAACTTAATCCCAGCTTTCGCGGCACTACGGCGCTGATTCTTGAAGAGAGTCTTGAAAAGTTGTTCGGACCGCAGTGCAATTTCTTCGGATTGTTGCACATATGCTTCCCTTTGCAAGTCGCGGCCAACATTTGACAAAGCTTGGCCGAGTCCAGCAGCAAAACCACTAGAGGCAGCAGCAGGCAATGTCCCAGCGGCAGCAGCGGCCTCCCGCTCACTCTTCAAAACGATCTCGTTGTTGGCAATTTCATCGTATATGGCGTTCAAGTAGTCTTCAGGCAAATCAGCATTGTCATTGATGCCCCTATTGTTCTTGATAAAGTCCTCTTTCGTCATGCGCTTCTTGATCTGAGCACTGTGTAGATCAGTGTTGAGCAAAATGACAGAGTATGCCAAGACGTAAGCCGTATCAGCATTGGCGAATGCATTCGGATTGCCCATGACATATCGATTGGCGAATTTCAACATGAAACGATCGATCTTTTGAGCTTCTCCGGGAAGCCGGAAAGATTGTAGAAATTGTCGAAGAGCATCGACGAAGCGTCGCTTGGCAAACTCCATGGAATCGACAAAGGCGTGCATGATCTCAATGTTCTTGGGATCGCCCTCGCCCAGATACTCGCCAATCTGAGCCTTGTCGAGCTGTTCGTGGGACAAGAGGAATCTAGCAATGTCTTCGGGGCTGTCGCTGGGAATGAAGCCTTCCTGCAAGAAAATCTTGATACCTCTCTTTGGCTTTTCGTTGAACAAGCGCACCGCTTTCGACATGGCCGTCTTTCTTGCCTTTTCCTTTTCCAACTGAGCCGGATCGTCTTCAATTATTGGCGTGGAAGGAGGCAAAGGTGTTTCCATGCGGGAAGCACTATCGCTGTTTGAAGGGTCAATCGATTCACGAATATCTTCGGTTGATGCTCTATTTTCTCCGTTGCTTGCTCCATTGTTGATATCAGGGCGCCCAACCATAGACCAGTTCACTAGCGACCGTAATGCATCGACCAAAGAGTCAAGAGCAGCTCTCTTGATCGAATATTCCTTGGGTATTTCTGATTCGGGCTCGGCGGGAGGGACGATGTGCACGACTGTCAGGGCTGGAGGCAACATGCCTTTGAGCTGCCATTCTGCACCGGTATTTTGGTTTGTATTAGAGCTTTTCTCCTCGTACAACTGCTCTTGAGCCGGGGTGACTGTGACTGGAGCTGTGGCGAACTTGGATAGGTCCTCAATGATTGTTTGGAAGATGTTGTTGACCACTGTCCTATCGCAATCATAATTTAGATAGAGCTCCACAAGTCCTCTAGGGTCGCCACATAAACGGTTAAGGATGCTGATGAAGTAGAGTTTCTGATTCAATGGTGCACTCTTCCGAGCTAGGAGGGCGAGATATACTTCATTCAAGAAGACTTCGATCTCTTTCTGTAATGGCTGCCGTTAATGAGGGCTCAAGGTTGAGGGGGCATCGTGATCATTCTTACCTTGAAAGGGGCTCGCATGAATTTTAGCATTAACCAAAAGATCTCGCAGCAGACTTCGAAGACGCGGTCAACGGAGCTTGCTCCATTTCGTGTGATACTCAAGCAAAGGTAATATTTGGTGGCTTGCAAGAAGTTGGTGGAGTCACTGGTCTTAGTGTTGGTGATGGTACACAATGGAGATGTGAAGACGTGTATGTGGTTGTTGAGAAGCGTCCTAATCAGATGAAGAGAAATGAGTTTCGAACGCATCGGCTGGCCTCTGAGGTCGTATAATTGATCCGGAGGGAGAATCTTGGTTGAAAGATTGCAAAAGGAACGAAAGACAAGGTAGGCATCTCTGATATACACTTCGTCTTCAGCGTCCAGCGATTCGGTCGTATCCTCTGGTGTGTTTTCGCCTTCCGTCTGCTCAGAACTATTTTTTGCAGCTTTTCTGGCCTTGATCTGAGAGACCATGGTAGGTCCGTCCCCGAGGTTTGAATCATCAAAACTCTTCCTGTGTTCTAAATCTTTCAGGGTGAGTTTTCCAGCCCCGTCATCTTCATTCGGAGCCTCGGACGAGGCAGTTTCGGAATCCTGTTCTACCGTTGAGGCATCTTCTTGTTCATCGTCGTCTATGACGGCGGAAACGGCGTTCTCATCGCCCTCTGCTGCATCGTTTGCAGCTTCCTGAGCATCAAAAGTGACATTGCTTGAACTGTTTTTCAATCTGGTCAAATTCAATCGCGCCTCTTTCATGTGCAATCTGCCCTTGACGCGCTCAAAGACCATGCCGACCATTTGTGTCAGGGTGCCCTGGGCAGCCTGCTGTGTGTCTGTGCTTCTCGACAACAGGAAGACATTGTAGACCTGCCGCACAGCCTTGAGGAGGCCAGCACCGTGGACAACGATCTTATCATTGAGCACGGCAGCCAGGAGAGCCTGTACTATGTGGCGTTGGACCTCCACAACAGTAGTTTCGCCTTGGAAGCAATCGCATATGGTGTCGATGGCGCGGTCGATTAGGGGTGCTCGTTCGGTGCCATCCTCGTTGGTTGCGCCTGCGCTAGGGGGCGTGGAGAAATAGGACGAGGAGATGAGCTTGCCGATGCAGTCGAGAGCGAGAGTAATAAGTGTGGTGCTTCCAGTCTTTGTGGCAAGCTGCAGAGGTGCAAAGACGACATCGGGATCGGTGAGCTGGGACTGGCCGGGCTTGACTGCCTGGATTGCCTTCTCGGTCAGCTCGAGCAGCTGCTTGTTGCGCTGGGCGTCCTTGGAGGCATGAATGGCCTCGAGGGAGGAGGCTACAAAACCGAGGGAGCTCATCGTGGCCGCGGACGAAAGCAGGCCATTGGTATGCTGCTGGAGAAAGGGAAGAGGTTGCCGTCGCTGGCCGTTCCACGGTATGTAGGTAGTGTCGTGGCAGTTTGGTCCCTGAATAATGTACGTCGGATAGCTGGGTTAGGTGAGCGTTGCGTATGCGCTCTCTACGGAGCTCTGCTTTCAAAGTACCACGCTGGCATGTGTAATAAGGTGGGTCCGAGTATTGATCTTCAGCGCAAACTCTCTCAATTCGAGGTACGAGGTACATGCATGCACCTCCAGATACGAGAGTGAGTTGATTTATGGGCAATATGAGGCGAAAATTGCTCAGTTGATCTTGGGTTACACAATCAAAGATTTCATACTTGTTGATCAACTTATTTGGTGTGTGCATCTTCTGCATTGGCAACTTGGACGTTGGATTCGTGACTTCAATGGAAATAATCTGGTACCTCCGGTATGGTCAGGAAGAGCCCTGTACCTGGGTACCTTCCAAGGGACAACGACTCATCACATATATGGCTTACGTTCCAAAGCCCCCTACCTAATGTAGCTAACGAAAGCCCGAAGAGCATCCATCCTTTTTAAGGCTACAACTTATTTCCCTGCCGATATTGTTAACTTCCAAGCTGCCGCCACGGCACCAACGGCGTGGAAAGGAGAAGATGCGATCTCTACGCTCTGATGACCTGTACACAGATGAGCAATTGAGCGAATTCCAAATTAGGAAGCACATCTACCATATAGAGGTAAGTATAGACAAGGCCGAATGCAAGCGAGTTCCACAATCACTTATTATAGTCGTGGTCGTTCAGACGTACCTTGTTCTGGTTGTCTGATAAGCATGTAGGTAAACTGTCCCGTTGTGGTGCTATGGGGAAGAGGAACCCCGATAGCTTCGGGCTTACTCAACAACCAACAACTGCAGTGTACCGCCGAGCCAGTGGCCGTCTTCCTCCCTTCTTATGAGCGAAATCCTTCATGTTATGCAGCCATGCGTCTTTTGTCCCGCTTGGGAAATGGCATCGTTAGAACTTCCCCCCGCGATAGGCAGGTTTGCCATTAATAAAACATGGCTTTTGGGACTGTTGTTGATAATTTTTTTTGCGGATACAATTCACATCTCATGTTTCCGGGGTCCCATCTACACCAATCAGGGCCCGATCGCGGATTGCTTGGGGGGTCTATGCTGGGAAGCTCTAAGCCCGAGGTGGCATAGCGCCGGTGTATCTCTACTCGAAAGGCCCCGTTGCAAAGCTTCGGAGCTTCCCAACAACGGCCAGCGAAAAATTCCCAGCCAGCAATTCAATTGGCTTTGAGCCTACGAAAATATCTCGCTGTAAGCTCCATTCTCACCATTATCGTCAACCTTCCTCCCTCTCCCATCTTCACTCTCTTGCCAGCTGCGGGCGCCCTTCTTCCTTGTCGCTCAGTAGATCAACACCTACTCATAACGCACGCAGCCTTATCGACCACTGCAGTCGACTGTTGGGCAAACCTCTCCTTTCTAATTGACGACGCCGCCCTTCCGGACGCGAGATATTTTTTTTTTTCCTTATCCTCCGCTACCACAGCCCCCCTGCCCATCATGTTCAGCGCCGTTCTGAGAAGGCAGGCCCTTTCGGCCTCGAGAGTCACCATCTCTCCTCAGTTGGCAAGATGGTACGCCTCTTTCCCGCCGCATACTGTTGTCAAGATGCCCGCTCTGTCGCCAACCATGACTTCGGGAAACATTGGTACTTGGCAGAAGAAGGCCGGAGACGCCATTGCGCCCGGTGATGTCCTGGTTGAGATTGAGACCGACAAGGCTCAGATGGACTTTGAGTTCCAAGAGGAGGGTGTTATCGCAAAGCTCCTGAAGGAGAGTGGCGAGAAGGATGTGCCTGTTGGCAGCGTATGTTATCATTTTGGTTCCCATGGCGTATTTGATTCATCTTGTTCTGACTTGTCCAACAGCCTATCGCCGTTCTGATCGAGGAGGGAGCTGATGTTTCCGCATTCGAGAAATTCAGCGCCGCCGACGCCGGTGGTGACGCCGCCAAGCCTGCCCCGAAGGAGGAAAAGAAGTCGGAATCGTCCGAGTCCTCGTCCGCCCCCACGCCCGCCCCTGAGGCCGAGCCCGAGCAATACGGCTCTTCTGGCCAGAGACTGCAGACCGCCCTCGAGCGTGAGCCCAACGTGTCTATTGCCGCTAAGAGACTTGCCAAGGAGAAGGGCGTTGCTCTTTCCGGCCTCAAGGGCTCTGGCCCCGGAGGCAAGATCACCGAGGAGGATGTCAAGAAGGCTGCCGGTTCTGCCCCGGCCGCCGCCGCCGCCGCCGCTTCATACCAGGACATTCCCCTGACGAACATGCGCAAGACCATTGCCAAGCGCCTGCAGGAGTCTACCCAGAACAACCCCCACTTCTTTGTTACCAGCAAGGTCTCCGTTAGCAAGCTCCTGAAGCTGCGTCAGGCCCTGAACAGCTCCGCCGATGGCAAGTACAAGCTGTCGGTCAACGACTTCCTCATCAAGGCTATCGGTGTGGCCTCCAAGAAGGTCCCCGCTGCCAACTCTTCGTGGCAGGGTGACTCCATCCGCCAGTACGACAACGTTGATGTCTCCGTTGCCGTTGCCACCCCCAACGGTCTCATCACCCCCATCGTCACTGGTGTCGAGGGCCGCGGACTGGAGTCCATCTCCAACAAGGTCAAGGAGCTGGCCAAGCGTGCCCGTGACGGCAAGCTCAAGCCCGAGGAGTACCAGGGTGGTACCATCTCCATCTCCAACATGGGCATGAACGACTCCGTCGACAACTTCACAGCTGTGATCAACCCACCGCAAGCTGCTATCCTTGCCGTCGGTACTACTAGAAAGGTTGCCATTCCCTCCGAGGACGGCACTTCCATTGAGTGGGATGACCAAATAACCGTTACTGCCAGCTTCGACCACAAGGTTGTTGATGGTGCTGTTGGTGCTGAATGGACAAAGGCTCTCAAGCAGGTGATTGAGAACCCGCTGGAGCTGCTGCTGTAGGAAGGTAAAATATGGAGGCAGTGTACTACTAGGGTAACTTTTTCATCAGGCGTTACGGCGTACTGACGTATAATAAGTATAGAATTGTACGGAATGAATTCAACCAAAGCCCCTATGTATGCCAGCTTGCTTATTTCAAAATGTGTAAAAGGATACAACGGATAAATATTAGCATGATGAATAAATTTTAGATACCAAGGATACTGAACATATATCTCACTTACAACAAAGGCAGCATGTGCATTGATTTGCATTCTGACATGGTACCCCGGCGAATAACAAGTGTTTTTTGCACTCCCATTGCGGTGTAGTGTTACACTTGGCGTATTCAAGATTGTTATTCAGTGAACTCGAGTTGTGTAGCATTTCTAGCACTCAACCGCCACATACAATTGTCATTCTCCATGCATGCCCCAGGCAGACTGCTAAATGATCTCTCTGTGCCAACGAATCATTGTGATTGTCATTTTACAAATTTCTAGGCAATACTAACGTTGAAAACATGGAATATAACCGCTTATTCTATAGGCACTGCGAAGTGGATACGCACTATGCACAGATACGAAGTCGCATAATTTTGTTAGTAGGCTTGGTAGGGTATACGCGGTAATGAATTGATCTTTAATTTGATGATCGCCCCTACATATGTACATAGTAGGCACATAATGATTTGATCTGCGAGGTAGTAAGAATTGAATGCTCGGCGCTCATCTCATTGGCTCGATATAATCCAGAAGGCCTGTACCTCGGCAAGCAGTTTGAGGACCATTGCTGGACCTCCACCACTGTCAGCCTTTCTGCATACTTTTAACTATATCATTTCTGGCACTGCCATCAGTTCCAAAGATGAATTCCGGACAGCAGTACGACTTGAACAAGCATCTGTCCCGGTTTCTCGCCATCCCCTGGTGCGCCAAGCACCTACAGGCGCCGGGGACTGAGGTGATATTGCCGCCGGGCCGGACCCCAGATCAAGGCGGGGAAGAGGAGCTCTGGGCCCGGACGCTCAACACGCCAGAGACGTTTCCAGCCTTTATCGCATTCTACCGCCGGCCTGCGGCAGACCGCGGCCAACAAGATGGCATCGCAAAGGTGGACAGAGTCGACGGTCTGGCCGCCGTGGGCCGGGGACTCGCGGGGTTTCCAGCAATGATGCATGGCGGCATCGTGGCGACGCTCCTCGATGGCATTGCCGGGCTGGTCCCGGGCGTCAATCAGCAAGTCGGCGTGTTTCCCGATACTCGGTTCGTGACGGGTTATCTGAATACAACCTATTATCGCCCGGTGCCAGTCCCGGGTATTTTGATGCTTACGGCTTTGCTGGTCCGGCACGAAGGTCGTAAGCTCTTTGTCGAGGCTACCATTCAAGATGACAAGGGAGTGGTCTTAGCGAAAGCAGACGTATTGTTCATAGAAACCATGAATCGGTCACAATTATAAATTCTCGTCTTTTGAATAGACAGGAAGACTTGAATTACGATCAACAGTGAACTAAGTATTGTCAGTAGTGTCAGATTTATCTAAAGCACATCATCCAAGTCAAATATTTGATTCACGGGGCCATTTATTTACAAACATAATCTACCTGGAATCCTGTGTGCATATGCTCCAATGATTATTTACTGCGTCCAGCCACATTGTGTACTGTGAAAAAGTCCGATGGATATAATGTTCCTCATTATATATATCGTGCCGCTTTCCTTTGCTTCGTGTTGTTCCCTGATTTCACTGTTTATTTTGTTTCTTCGTAGATAGTCGTATATCATTCATCGATAGTTGTCATTCCGACCTGTGTATATAATCCGATCGCTGCGCCGAGGATCAGAGGGCTCATCAAACGAATACCTCCTGGGCCGTGGATCCGTGGCGACATAACGTTGGGCATTCTGGTAATCGAAATCTCTCTCATCATGGGATGTAGCATGTGACCGCCTGTCAGCATGGACTGTACGATTGTCCTCGACATATTGCGCACGCCTCACATCTCCTGTCCGGCTCCCGCTGACCTGACTCATGGTGCTTAGCCTCTCAGCCTGGCTCCGGTTGGCACTTGGACGCCGCACGTATATGATTTCGTCAAGTTCAGGAGTGCCACGTCTTCTAGGCGGCGGGCCCTCAATCCCCAGAACCCCGTGAGTACTGCGTGGTCGTTCGTAATCGCGGTCCCTGCGCCGAGTGTTGGGAGGTGGTAGCGGTAGTCGATCATCCGCCCTGCGCGATGGGCCATCATAATAGTCGCCGTTCCCATGGCGCTCCATATTTTTCTTGGCCTTTTCCTTCTTGATTTCCTTTTCTAGCTCCCAGTCTTCCTTGTCGCCGTACGTTACACCCTTGGGCCAGTACTTATGGGCAGCATACGTTGCAGCTGCCACCGAGCCTAAGAAGACCAAGGATGTCTTGAGGCCGCTTGTAGTGGTTGTCTTATCCTTGATCTGGTCTTTCAGCTGCGACTTCCTACTCTTATCGCTTCGTGATGGCGAGCCGCTAGAGGATCTCGACGAGAAAGAATCACGCCGCCTTGCGCGTGACGATCGCGGTCTAGACCGTGATGGAGATCGAGAGATCGACGACCGACGACCCATCCGAGAGCGAGATGGGGAACGAGAATAAGTAGGGGATGGAGATCGAGAATAGCCACCTACGAAGGAGGCAGGCGAGCTTCCGCGAGAGTGATGACTCCGCTCCATCCTGAGCTGATTTGGCAAGATCAGTGCGAATTGGATTGATATGTAAAGCTTGGTTGAGGGCGTATATCTGATCTTTGCAAACTAGCCTATAGATTTGGTGCTTCCCTTTCTCAAAAGGTGCCAGCTAGTCAGTCGGCCAAGATGAGTATGCAGTCAAGCCCCGCAATGATACTGCGCTGGCTCGGCTGGTGGTGTGATCTGAGGACCGCGAGACTTGGACGAAATTCATCACTCGATATTGTCTCTCGCGTATAATTCTTCTTGTACGGCGCATGTAACGCAACTAAAGCACAACTTTTCGATAGGCGGCCTCGTGATGGACGATTGAAGGGTATAACCAGGAGAGCTGTGCTGTCACGACCCGGAGTCCTACTTGGTTGTTACACCATTGATGGAATAGGACCAACCAGTATTTTTAGGATGCGAGGGAATATTCATGCGTAGAGACGAAGCAGATTATGCGGGCAATGATGCATGCGAACTGTGTAGCTTATCCAAACTGGCTGCAGACAAGCTTTATGTCCCATACTTGGCACCACCTACCTACCGTGACGGGGCGTCGGGAACCCGCACACACACACACATGTCCATGGTTTTATTAATGGCCGGCCACTGACGACGACGCTTGGCAGATCCTGGTAGGCAATGATGCACCATCATCGATGGCGGCTGAATTGGCGAATAGGATCTAGCGTCGGGCGAATGATGCGTGATCGGTTTAGCAGTTGTTGGGCTAGAGACATGTACGTACTATGCAAACATGGTTGGAGAAACGTCGAAGCTTATCCTGTGTCGCCCGTTGGCTGGCTAGTTGGCTGGAAATATGTGCGCAGAAAACTGGGAATATTCCGAAGTGTCCGACTGGGACAGGAATACATGCATGGTCCGATCGAAGATGCCGCAGGATTGGTGGTGGGCGGATGTTTTACCTGCCTCATCTCTTTATTCGACGAAGTCTCAGCCCAGGAACGGATTGCCTACGAAGAATTTTCACCAGGAAGAGAGAGAAAAGAAAAAGGCCGTGAGACGAGGACTTCCTGTTAATGCTTGCGATAAGTCCGAGAATAAACTTGATCAAATTCCAAGTTGTTTGCCATCTGCCGTACAGTTGAAACCGCTACCAGCTATGATGTCAATGTACTTGTACTGGTACGGAATTTGCGCTGAGAGCACTCCGCTACACGGGCATCACGTCTTCCACTCGTGTGATGTTCTCAGATTTGTACAGTAGTGACACTGGTTAAATTCAGTCATAACCATTCTTTGCTTGAAGAAAAAAATATATTCATCCAACTCAAGCGAAGCCAATGTGTAACATGGGTATTGGTGCAATTAAAGTCATCCATGGATGATATTGTTGTTTCAATGAGAGGTAGGTTGGCTGGTTGGTAGGTACTATGGATCAACAATTTCTATATACTACAGGGCAACCGTGGGGCGTGTTTAATGGCTTTTTAGCGGCTCCAAGTCAACTGAGTGAAGCGATTGGTGGTTGCAGATGCACCCAGAAGATGTCGAGACCCGCTTTGTTCTGGACGCGTCGGGCCTGTCTGTACTCGACGCGCCACCAGCCAAATCTTTGTGATGCGTCCAAAGCATACAAACAAATGCCCGAGGCACTTCGCACTCTGAGTGATGCACAACAACGGATGCCTGAGTCTATCTGAGGGCATCAGTTAGTTGCGGCAATGGTATCACCGCCTTCCTCGGCCAACGGACCGGAACCGTTCGATTTCTCCAAACCGTTTGAGGGTGTGGTCGTGTGCTGCACCAGCATTCCCCCCGAACACAGAGCAAGTTTACACCCCACTTGGCCGGCTCCAACGTTGAGTTCGCAACTGGCTGACCGTTTGTTTGCTGCCCTCAGACATACATAGCAGACCGCGTCAAGGAACTCGGCGGTGTGCACAAGTATGATTTGACACCCGACGTAACGCACTTGATTGTGGGCGACTACGACACCGCAAAGTACCGCCATGTCGCCCGCGAACGACCCGACATCAAGGCCATGGCCGCCAGCTGGATCAGCGCCGTTCGAAGCTATTGGGTAAAGGATCAGGAGTTCGACTATAACGCCCTTGAAGCTGAACACCAGCTCAAGCCATTTGAGAGCAGCGGCGGCCTAGCTATGAGCAATGTGCCCGAGGAACAAGAGCGACAAAAGCTCCTAATATGCCTGACGGGCTTCGAGGAACAGGACCGTCACTACATTGAAGAAACGGTTACGGCAAATGGTGGTAATTACATGGGCGACCTCTCTAGAAAAGTCACACACCTGATCGTTTGCAAACCTGAGGGCAAAAAATATCAGGCCGCCAAAAACTGGAATATCACCACGGTATCCATTGAATGGTTGGATGACAGCGTCAAGCGCGGCTTGATCCTCGACGAGACCTGCTATGATCCAACCCTGCCAAAGGAAAGTCGTGGAAAAGGTGCCATTACGCGCAGAGAAATGAAGAGACACTCATTACCAGGAAAGCGTCCTCGCGACGGTTCCGACGCTGTTCAGCAAAACGGACCAAGAAAGTTGAGAAAGAGTGCAAGCATGCGATTAAGTAGCCAGGGAAACAATCTCATGAACGAGATACTTGGTGCAAGGCAATTTTCAGCAGAGGCGTCCACACCAGGGCTGCCGCAGGAGTTCGAAAGTGTAGAGGTGCGGACGTCCGTGTCTATACCGGCGCCAAAGTCGCTGCCGGTAGCCAGAGCGTCGCCGTCTCTGCCGCCACCATCGGCCGAGCCCACCCAACCGTTTGGCGGTGTCTTCAATCTATGTCGTTTCATGGTTCATGGCTTCTCCGAAAAGAAACACAAGATAATACACGATTACCTGACTTCGCATGATGGCCAGATTGCTTCTTCAATGTCAGACCTCGCCTCTGGCGCTCATCTGGAGCCACAAGATCAACGATTTTTGGTGGTCCCTCAAGTGTCACAACCAGACTCACACCCAATCATCCCGGAAGGCGTTCACATCGTCACCGAATTCTACATAGAGAGGTGTATTCATGGGAGACGGCTCTTTCACCCGAATGACCATGTCTTGGGAAGGCCCTTTCCCCGCTTCCCGGTTCCCGGGTTCGATGAGCTCACAGTTCATAGTACAGGGTTCAAGGACGAGCAGCTCAATCAAGTTGAGAAGACCATTGTGCAGCTAGGCGCAAAATACGCAGAGCGTTTCAACGCCCAAAGTTCAGTCATGGTTTGCCCAAGTCTGAAAGACGTGCGTACCGGCAAGCTGGACCTTGCGCTACGACACAAAATCCCTGTTGTGAATGCCGAATGGCTGTGGCAATGTATAGCTTCAGGGTTTCGGGTGCCTTGGGACAAGTTCGTCTTTGCCGAAGTGCAACACAAGATTGCCATCGATGTGGACCCGGAACTAGACAAGCAGCGACAGAAATTACAACGGTCCCGTTCTGAACCGGTCGCAAAGAAGGAAGCAAAGTCAGATCTCCGTGCCCCTGCAGCCAAACGTGTTCCAGATACAACGGCATTTTCCGAGGAGGCTGTGGCAGGTGATTCCGTGTCAAAAGAGCACCGAGCAAAGGTGGCACCGGCTATTGTACAACAAGACGACTCCGCCGTTGATGTGTCCAACTATGATACGGCACCGACACACCAAGCACATGACAGTGTAGAAACTGGACCGCTATCCGAGGTGGGCGGGAATGCTCTCAATGAATCACTACAGGTATCACCTTCGAAAAACGAGGCCCGTAAGACTCTTCGCCGCTTCCCTACAGGAGGTACGATCGTTGATTCTGAAGGTCTTGATGAGTCTGACGCCGTCAGTATCCGTGATGGGAGTGCTGCGCCAGAGAAGGACACAAAGGGGCCTAGTCCTTCGCAATTAGAACGAGCAAACAAGCAGAGAGCAGAAGATGAGAAGGCTGCCGAACGGCTTGCCATGGCGAAACAATTCACCAGCCTCATGGATAAGCCGCTTGCAGACGAGGCAAGCAATGTTCCGGCAGCTCTGACATCTGCCACGAAACCCCAACGTCGGAAGCGAGAAATTTTCGGGCGCGCCATATCCAACGTCTCGGCAGCATCATCCGCCAGTGCTGAATCTGCCACCACAGCCAGCAAGGCGCTACGAATTGACAGTGTTAAGAGTGCTCCTGGCTCCATCGACTTGCTCGACGAAATGCTTAGTGGAGATCAAGCGCAGAGCGACAAGGATGAAGAGTCCAACAGACCCCCTGCTACACAGATTGGCTATGATGACCCTCAGGCTCGAAAGCATCGAGCTGAAATGATGGATAGGATACAAGGAAAGAAACCTGTGGCTGCCAACCAGCCAAAGCCTAGTCAGGACAAGCCTAAGAAGGTGCCGCTGGCAGAGGCCGCAGCTGTCACTACTTCTGGGCGACGAACCAGAAGAAAGGGGTTTTGATGATAAATGACAATTAAAGGACACACGAAAGTCGCCAACTCAGGATCATGGGCCACGATTTAGTGTATGAATAGGGACAGGAGTATATTAGTTGGCTAAACATTGGGCATTGATTTTATGTAACCAATATTTTGGCCGCAGCAGCACATCTCTAGTTCTTATAGGATAATAGTCCAGGAATGATGCATGATCATATTCACACTCTTCGTTTCTTATACTACTTCGCATGCACCGATAAGAAAAAAAGAGCCTGGCCACCAATGGTTTCCTCTCTTTAGGGGGAGGGCTCGTCCCATAATCGTTCGGATATGATCTCGGCTCATCTACACGCTCCAAGGCAGCGAGCGCCTTGTACGACGAGCCTCGGGTCCAACAGCATTACGATTATGCTCGTTACCGTTGAACCTGTAGCTATCTGCAAGACCCACGTTCTAACTCGCGAGAGGCTCACAGGTTAAAGGGGGTGGAATAGAATGTGTAAGTGGCAATCGGGATACTTCAATGCTAGTCCCTAGACATATCAGTCGTTTGATTGACAAAGGGTTATTGAGGCTGATCACAGTTTGGACGAAGCGATTCAGGTAGGCGGGAAAATGGTTTGCTCGAGACTGTTCTTTCTCGCTAGATACCTACCTGTGCGGCATCGTGATAAGATTTAGATGGAAGTTTCCAGTCGCCACCGTTAATAGAAAAAAGAAGAAGAAGGACTGGACTATCGTTTCCAGAGGGACCAAGGGAAAAGTTTGTTACCCTGCATCTCGTTGATTCATTGTTTTGCCAGCCACATCATACATGAGCTTGATGAGGGCGTTCCTGAGCGGGAATGTCGTTTTTTGAGACGGCCCGCCGAACTCAATTAGAAAACAGGGGAGATGAGCGCAAAACCATACGACTTATTTACCTACCTGGCGAGCCTGGTGACGATTCAGTCGTGTGGTTGGCGGCGAGTGAAATGCGACAAGACGAAAAGGGCCAATCGAGACTTGGCGGAACCTTGAGATATCTGTTTATTTCCATCATCTTCCAGGAATAGCTTGGCCTGTTTGGCCTGTTGAGTAGTCCCTGGCCAAAGGCAACGACTTGATTGCATGGTCCCCTTTTTTCATGTCTCGGGACGTTGTAACTTCTCAATACGGCAGAGATCGATAGATTCAATGCGCCACCATCGATCTCTTGAGCATGGCTGGACATGAGTAAGACATTAGATGGCCATGGTTGCACGGCGGATACGGTAGTATTGGTTAGCCATTGACTGCTGACAACGAAGCCAATGTGTGTTGATGCACGATTATGATACCAGAAAAAAAGAAGAGAGTGGCAAAAACCAAGGACGATACGATTGAACTACTATGGTAACATTGGTATTGATCATTCACGATTCATGTTCTTGCTGATATGCGCAGGAGAGGGGAAAGGAATTCGTGGTCCAATACGGATACTGATTTACCCATCTTTATCGGATTATATGGTGGTGTGCTCAGCCCAATCAAGTCAAGTCAAGCCAGTCATTTGTGCGTCGCGGCAGCACCTGGGTGCTGATTATGTTGGGCAGCCTCTGAAAAGGGTTGGAGAGTCGACCGACTTGCATATTACAGCCTCACAAAGATGATGATCGGCCGTAAGTTGTAAATTGTACCTTTAGCAAAACCCGCCCGACTCGTATGTGAGGAATATGTGAGTTGTGTAAGCTGTCAAACGGTGGAACTGTAGTTGGAAGCCCTTATTGGACCTTTGTGCTTCCCCTCCAAAAATCAAGCCTCTAAAAGCTCGAGGTCATGCTAAAGGGTCAATGCGTTCGCGGAAGAAATAAAAAAAAAAGCACTTTTCTATGATCATCACTGACGGATGACGTTTCCCCACATCTACAAGAGTACGAAGTTATCTCGTGTTCATCGTTGCCTGATGAGTTTTGCCTGCCAGAGGCGCATTCTGGGCTCTCTTGGGGAACCAAAAGGCGTCAAGAAAACACAGCTCCAAAAAGTAACTTCTTCGGGCGCTTCCGATGGTGAGTGAGGCAGTGTGTCATTTGGTCATCATATTTGGCTTACGCTTTTCTGAGCCAAGCCATATAGACCTGCAGCTAGAACAAAGTCATCGAAGGACCCCGAGAACCAAACAATAGATTGCTGAGAATGAAACCCTTTGAGCATTAGAGGCATGCAGTCATAGGGAAAAATCTAGGGTAGCTAGTTGAAAGGAGGCTAGATCAGTGGCGCAGTGTTCAGCGGCGCAAGAGGAGCTGGAAGGATGTCGGGGGTCCAGGAGGAAGGGGACGGAGGGGGGGAAAAAAAAAAGGACGCGGAGAACCGTGGCCGTGGGAACGGCTGTTGATGTGACTCCAATCGACGGACTTCGAACACGTCCCTACTGCACAGGTCGCAGTCTTGGGATCCTCAGCTACGAAGCCCGCGAAGCGAGCTCTAGACCGCGGTGTTGTTATTGTCGTGTCGTGTCAGGGCCCCTCTTACACTGGATATATCTGGACCCTCGCTTGTTGGCACTCTTCGTGCTGGCCAGGATTGTCGACGACTCTTTTTCAGGTTTTTCTCTCTCTCTCCCCCTTCGCGGTCTCGAGGACAACAGCGAGGTCTTTGCAGGGGACTGAATACTCAGTGTAAGTGAAAAGGCATGTGGTTTAAACAAGGGTCTGGGAAAGGTGTTGTACTCCCGCGGATCCGCTCCATCTGATTGGACAGCCCTGCGCTCGCCAAAACCATGATGATGACATAGTTGCACTTGTCACTGCTTTCTCTACCCCAAAGACGTCACTGCAATTCGCTGCCAGGCCAGAGAGCCACATCCCAACTTTGGATGTACCGGCTCGCTACCGGACGGATACCTCCTGCTGGTTCGTGCCCTCGGGAAGAAGACGATAAGGTTCCTCACGCCTGCACGCATGCGCGCTGCCTTTTGCGCCATCGTTCAGTCGTGTACATGGGGGTCTAGTTTTGCGTAGATTCACTTGTACGCTACCGAGTATATGTATATTGCATGTCGTCTTCAGCCTCTAGCGGGGCAACGACTTTTGGAGCCTGCAAGAACTTTGAGAACGGCAGGCAGAATCAGGATGGATACCTTTTTTAGTCTCCAGAACCTCCGTTCAATACACGTCAAGTAGCTCCAGACATAACTTTTGGTTCGCCGCCGTCGTCTGAGGATTCTTGAGGAATGGATGATCTTCTTCCTCGCAGGAACTTCTATTATCTGGCCATGACGGCAAGCTATTTACAGGTAGTACACAAGCGTAATGTATGTTCCTTGGGCAGGTGAACAAGGTAAGCACTTGAGATTGGCAGGCAGGTGGGCAGACAGGCAGGTAAAGTACATAGGTAGGTAGTAGGTAATGTACATAGAGTAGATCAATGGTCCCGAAAGATACCTACATTAGTAGGGTAATATAATGTAGGTACTGACGCTATGCTATTAGTTGGACGGCTGTGGACGGCTACAAGGGGTCCGGTGTCTATCCTGGGCAAAAGATGACCAGACGAAAACGACACCGGGCAATGACTACCTACCTACCTACTCACCACGCCTGGGAGATTTGCATCATCCCATTTCAATCTATTTTTCCTGCCTCGTGGACACACACCAGCAGTACTGTACAGCACACACAGCACAGCAAAGCTACTTGCATACCTTGTCATCCCCCATGCCCCATGCGACTTGTCCATTTGGTGGAACCCCCAGCTGTGCTCCAAGTCCTTGCGTTTGGCCGCTACACGCCAATCAATAGAACACCCGAGCGCCCTGCCTCAGTTTCACGACTTCTTGTTTCTGCTTGCTTCATCAGTCCACCCAAGCCGCCCACCTCCCAGCTGCAACTGCATAATGCATGCGTACCTCACGTAGATCCCCATACCTAGTCTCTTATTAGATATACATACATACACACGAACCCAAGCCGGGCGCGCCAATTTTCTCTGCTTCTTTGAGTCGCGCAACCTTTTTCCGTTCGAATTCTACCTAGCGCTACCTACAGCATACACTATTAGCTTTGCGCTGTCGACCCTTGCGCTTTTTGTAATCAACTTACAAGCCTACCGCGGCGCTGGGTCTCCACTGTACTACTACCCACATCTACTATACGACCGCCCTATCTTCAGTCTCGTTCCCTACTTTCTACATCTCCGTCTTCTCTTTTCCCCCCAACAACTATATTCTATACAGACCGTTCCTACTTCCCATACTCCACGGTGCGATTTGTCAACTTTGCAACCAAAAACATACACACACGACTGGCTGCGGCCTACTATTCGGGACTAGGTCCCTCCTCCGTTCGACATGACGACTAACAACGTCCCACCAGCCGTTACTGCCGTGCCAGCTGCGCGCATTGAAGACGTGGATACCTTTGCTATCCGCCTATATCGAAGAGCACGAAATGCCGGTGCGGACTTTGTAGACGTTGCTACCGTGGTGCGCAGTGTTCACACTGTTTTGAAACACCTGAAAGTCGAGGCCGAAGATCCGGGCTCTCTACTCAATTCGGACCAGAGTCCTGTCTACGTCAGACAGCTAACGCCTATTGTCGAGGACTGCGAGTTTACCTTGAAACAGCTCGATACAATTCTGGAGAAATATGGTGCCACTAGTAGCGGGAGCGAGGGTGAGGACCATCGCAGACCCTCGGACGAGAGGCACCTCGGCGCCAGGGAACGAGACATGGTCGCTTTGGTTCGCACCAAGCTCGAAAACCAAAAGTTGAATATCGACATGTTCCTCGATACTGTACAGCTTCATAACCCTTCAAAGTCCCACCATATTGTGGACACCAGCAACGCAAATCTAGAGCCGATCAAGGATCAAGTCGACGCCATCGCCTCGAGGATAATCCAGCGCAGGGACTCATCCCTTGGTGAGGGCGAGGATGAGCTCTGGCTCCAATTTAGAAACGAGCTGGAGAGGGCAGGTTACTCCAAGGATGTTTTGAGAAAGCACCAGGTATGTTACTACCTCACTCTATCGTAAACGCTACCTAGGCCTATTCACTCATTCTACTGCACAGGATGTCCTTAGGGCATATATACGTCAACTTGATGAGCAGAGCGTACTCTCCGGCGGGAAGACACCAACCGTGCGTGGATTTCTCGAGGCATACACGCCCACCAATGATGCTCAACGCAGCACTCCATATCCTCTTGACGCTAGAGGTGGATATAGCCGCAAGGAGATGCTACCAATCGTAGAAAACGAGAAGTTTGCCCCTTCAGTAAAGACGGAGCGATCGTATCCGGATCATTACCTCCCATACCCTTCAAGTCTACCAAAGGACACTACCAACTTGTCTTATGACGCGCAGTCTTCTGAAGACGGTGACTCCATGGACAACAACATGGCTCTAGTGATTTCAACCAGGGATCTCATGGCGCTGGACAAACGACAAGCAGATCTGGCCATTGCCATGGACAATATGCACTTACAGTTGCCGCCTCCTGGATATCCACCCAACTTTGCTCAGGATCCGGCTCTGTCTGCATCCCCCCAGAGTCGCTTCCTCGAGGCCCCTCCGAACGGTGGACTACTTACTTCTCCAGGCTTGCCTGCCGTGGATGAGTATGGATTGTCACCAAGATTCGTCCCGGCATATCCGCCGCCACCATATGGTAGCTCGCCACCGCCATTACTGCACTCAAACTCTATATCAGCCCCAGCTATTCCTGGCTCTACGGCTCTTTTACCGGGTGCTCACGGTCAGCCTCAACGCTACGCTCGCCTTGCACCGGATTCTCAAGGACGCGACATTCCGCTCGATGCACAATGGACCAGAGTCAGGCGTCAGTTGATATCCCCCGTAGTACTCAACGAAGCTGGTGTCAGGTATGAAGCACGGCCCGACTTTGTTGCTATCCTGGGCGTTTTTACAAAGGAAGAGATCAGTGAATTTGCAAGGCGGAGCGCAGAGGTTCGAAAGAGCCGACATAGATTCCACCAGCGTGGGACTCACGATGGCAAGGACCGCTACCACCCCGACAAGTATAAAAACTGGGATGTGGAAGCACAAAACAAAGACGCTGATAGTCACGGCCGGTACCGTGCAAACAGCGAGTTCTCTGCTTCTTCTACAGACCTCTATGATACTTCCGATGAGGAATCAGAGGAGGATATCCCGCGCCATCGCACGCGAGGTCAGCAAAACAGCTCTGAGGAGAGAGCTGACAAATACGATTATGAGGAGAAGGGAACCAAGGTTTATCCCTTCATTGTGCCCTCACCCGAAAAGGAGAAGGAAAACAGCCATAGCCCCTCGGCTACGGTCATGCCCAAGCCTATCCTGAAGAACAAGAACGATGATCCCCACGTGCGATTTGATCCAGAGCCCAAGGTGTTGGATAGTGCTTCACCTCGCTCTGTCCCTCGCCATGCTGAGCGCTCAGAAAGAAGGCACCGTGCCGGCTCAGATCGTGATCGTCACGCTCCACGAAGCTACGATGATCGGAACGATCGTTATCGTGACAAGGAGCGGGACAAGCAACGCGAAAGGGATCGCGATGACGATAGCAGAAGACACCACCGACACCACGAAGGCAGTCGCCGACGAGATCGCGATCAGGACGACTACTCAAGAAGGCATCGAAGGGATGATCGTGATCGATACAGAGACGAAGGCGACCGAAGCGACGATCGGTCCATCAAGAAACGAGTGCGAAGCGAAACACTGCGCGCTGTCGGCATTGGTGGTGCTGCAGCCAGTCTACTTGGTGTCTTGGCCGAGGCCGCCTCTGGATTCTAAACTACGCACTGTTGCTGCAGTGCCAATTGGTATCGATATAGCCGAGGTTGCATACTTCTATGATGAGAGACGGATGAGCACCCTCAACTGTCAATACCTCATATACTCAAACGAAGCATGTTTATTGGAGGGCAAGGTACTGGAGTTCCGCTGGTATGAGCCATGTTTGTGCTCTACTACTTTCGTTTGTAAGATATCATATGTCGGTCCGGAGAAGCACAATTTGCCTTTACATTTTATAATTTAGCCACATCAAGTCCGGGGGCTGTTTGTCAGATTATGTATCTATATGGCGGAGTTTGATACCCATTTTTTACGCCACGAGCTGTATGATCATTTCAATATACGATAAAGATGTATGACTATGAGAATTTCAAGAGACCTATTTCTAGAGGCTTTAAACTTGCTTCACTGGAGGATGATGACTATTGCTTTCACAAATGCTCAGACTTCCATATTGCTAGCCGTCTGACAGTAAAGATGCCTACAAATGATGCCTACCCTCGGCCATGTTCGACTTAACAAGCTGACAATGCCATAGCCTCGCAACATCATGAAGTTTCATTTTCAACTTACACATGCAACTACGCTGACCTACCAATATGCAGAAACTTCACCCACACCTTCTCCCATGCTCCCCAACATTCCCACAAGATATGCCTCACTCCTCATCTCTGTCCGGTCAATGGGCTGGAAACACTGCCACTGGGCGGAGGAATGCGTATCAAACCAGAAAATAATCAGGAAAGCTTCTACCCCGCTTCCTTTGGGGGAGGGGGGCACTTCTGGCTCTCGGAAGGGAGGGGAAGCCACCGATAACCAGAGCCTCAAAAGTTTCTAATTTCCCCGACGATGTTGTTGTGTGTTCTGGAACAGCGGAATCGCGGGGCGCGCCGGAAAACGTTTGCTTGTTTCCCCCCCTCGTCCTGTCTGCATGTTGAGGTGAGTCAACCCGAGCGAGTGGGTTGCAATAGGGTAGGTAGCTTGGAGAGGGGGGAAGCTTGGGCGAGATGTGTGTGGTTGGAGGCTGAGTAGGAGCAACTGCTTTGCAGAAGTAGTCGACATAATGTAGTATAGCCTGGGTTCTTGGGGCGTTCTAGAAAATACACGAGAGCGGATTGGACGAATCGCGAGTGACTCGAAAGGTACTTGAAGGATACGAAACAAAAGGTGCAATAGTTGGACTGGAGAATTGATTAGTCTATACCGACCCGAGGAAAACCGGGCGACCGAAACAAGCAACAAGACAAATGCACTTTGGCTTCCTGCCTCCACATCTAGAGTTCCGATCATATCGCACTTGATATGCACAACGGGCATGAAGCAAACCAGAGTGCATTTGTGTCAGCTGAGCTGCACGCCAAAAGCTCACCTCGGTGGCTGCATTTAGTCACTCCGGCGATGCGGCTCCAAAACGGATCAATTCCGGTACTTGATTGGACAGTTTTTATTTCACTGCCTACTTGAGACACCCTCCATGGCTGCAGTCTTTCTGCAAGGCATACACACGCTCTCTATCCATGGTAGTAGCTTCGCTTGATCTCTTTGAAATCCGCTATACTTGCAAAAAAAAACACATGCTTTTCTTCTTTCTCTTATTCCGCCCACCGACGCCTCTAAACAGAAGGAAGCAGGCCTGTTAGATAGCAATCCTCTCCAACGAGTACTGCCCCACCTGCTGACTCCGGAGGTGACCCTTTTCACGTGTGCTTCTCTGCACAATCTCACCACCACTGGCAATCTTTGACTTTTCGATGCGACCCTTGACCTTGAGTCCTAGGGGCAGGGCTTCTGAGCCGGGTTCCTTGACCTGGAGGCTGATGGGCTTGGCCAGATCAAACCTCTGCTTGGTGTTGGCCTCCTTTTGGGCAGCCTCACAGTACCTGACGGCCTCGCCCACGACGCCCTTGAGGTAGGTTGCTTCCTCTAGGCCCTCCAAGGCCGTGGAAACCTCCAAGGTTAAAGCGGCAATAACATCGCCCGCTTCGCCAAGGGAGATTGTAGAGTCGTTGAGCAGCCAGCCACTAAGGCCAATGGCGTCGACGCAACGGCTGAGGAGATCAGCAATGAGCTTGATGCTGCCATCCGGGGGCGGGTTCAGGTCAGCGTCCTCGTCGTAGTCGGTATTGTCTTCTACATAGCGAGAGGTCCAGGCACCCTTGTACAGCTCGATGCGCAGCTGCAAGATAAGGTCCATGATCTCTTTTGGTTTGAGGGTTGCCTGCAGTGCTTTGATCATTGATGATGCCGGGCAGTTGCCCAGTTTTGCAAATGCTACGCTGAGCCCTTCCTCGCGGATACCTGCATTGCCTCTCAAGATCGACTCAGCCTTGAGCACCTCTTCCTCGAGATGATCTAGCTCTTGGTTGATGTCCTCAGTTCCTGCGGCCCCTTCCGCAGTGCTATCCATTAGCATCTTGGGTGCCGATTGCGCTTGATCCCGGATAGCGTCCAAGGTGCTCATACACCGAACAGCGAGAAGCAGTTCTACGGGGCCAAGGGCGGTCGCCCGCAAATAGCAGGTCAGGAGCTCAAAGGTAGGGTTCAGCTCGGCAATTCGTGCAACCAATTCGCTAGCCAACACCTGATCAATGTTTTCAACTCCAGATATATCCTCCCGCAAGGCGGATTTGACATTTGAGATTGTGAGATGCCCAGCAGCCGCAAGGTAAGTCAAGACATTCGTGTCTGGCAAGACGTATACGAGACGTGGAGCAGCGTTATCCTCTCCCTGTGCCTGGCTCCATTGAAATGCTCTGCTAATGGCGTACACAATCCAACGCTTATCAACTCGCGGGAACTTGGTCATGTCTTTCGGCCACACCCATTCAGGGGCGGACTGGATTTCCCCGTTCGTTTGCTTTGCCCCATTCGTGAGTGACGAGTCCTTGAGAGACAGGCCAAACTTTTGAGCAAGCAAGTCTTCAAATTCATGGATTGCATCGCCGTCAAGCAGCTCGTCGGCTTTTTGCACATCCTTGGTCCAAGCACCTAGGTAGTCTCCAAAGACGGAGCCGGGCAGGTAATTTGCAAAGGCCGAAGAGCCGGCAGGTCGCTTTGTGAGCTCGGTAGCCACGCGCTTCGAGTCTGGGATTCCACAGCCAATGGAGTCGATCAGGAGTCCTTCGGCCCTCCGCTTCGTGCGGAACTTCGGGGCTTCAAGTTGAATGGCCAGAAGTTGAGGCCCACTGATACCAATAGCCAGCTCCAATTTCGAAAAGTAGGCGACGAGGTCACAGCTTGCTAGTTTGGATGTTTCTGGTTCAGCGTGGCTCTCCAGCTCTGTGGTCGCACTGCTTTGTAATGATCGATATTGAGGGTTGTATACACTGAGCAAGCTCTCACTCGAGGCAAGAATAGATGTCTTGGATAGCCTCACGAAAGAAGTTGCGTAACCGAGATCCATTTGGGAGCTCACTCTAGGAATGCTGGCTGTCAAGTCATGGACAGTAAGAGAGCCGTCGGCAAGCTCAGTGAGAGTGCCAGAGCGCACATCGAGACGGTACTGTGACGAAGTCGGGACCTTGTCCGTCGGAGTAGCCAAGGGAACAACATGAAGCTGCACAAGACCATTGTTGGACTGCGCGAGTCCTTGGGACTGCGAGATAGGGCCCAGGAGATGCAAGTGACGCATCCGTCGGCCGTCTGTTTCAAGACTGGAAACGACTAGCAGTATGTCTGCATCAATATTGCCCTGCGCGTGGTTGGCGACGGAGCTAAGGGCATCACGGTTGCCCTTGAATATGCCATCAATAACTTCCGAAGCACGAGCCGACATACACGTCTCAACACGGAAGCCTGACTTTGAGCCGAAAGCAAGATCCTGGTGCAGGATGGCTGGGCTGGTCTTCCATTTTTGTTTCAGCACCTCGCCGTCCAGACCGATGATTTCTCCATCTTCCTGGACCAGAATGACCTCGTCGCCAGAAGACTCTTGCGCTTCCGATCCTTTCGAATCGGTGAGACGTGCTGCCAGATAAACAACTCGCTTCGACGAGGGTAGAGTGAAGGTCTTGGTCGAAGATGTGGTCTTTCCGGAAGACTCGACTACGTCTTTGAATAGAGTAACCTTTGTTGAGGGGTCAGCGGTAGCTGCGTACGTATAACGCGCAATATCTTTGCTGTTGGGAATTCTCCGGCGCAGCGAGCATGGGGAGCAAGTGAAGGCCGACTGAGGAGGAATTGGATACGAAGTGACAAGCCGCGCAGATGATACCTAGAGAGATTTAGTAGATGTCACAGAGAATCACATGGTCAAGGACACCCATACATTGTAAATGTTGACAGCCTCTCCATCAATTCCCACCGTCACCTCGGAGCGCTTGCGTTTCCGCGAACCTTCAGCAGTTCCATACACCTCGCCAACGACATAGCGGCCTGTCTTTGGGTCCAATGGCCTCGGCAACGTTGTAAGCACGTAGGGCTTCTGTACATGGAAGTTTGAAGCCATCGTGACATGAACTGTGGGATTGCGACGTTGTGCAAAGTAATATAGTCACTACTTCACAATCCTGTCGGCTGCTCGCGTGGCTGTTCAACTTTTTTTTTTCCGAGCTTCAGAAAAAAATCGGTCGGTGAAAAGCGACACAAGCACCGGTTGGTGGGGCATTGATCTGGGGCGAAAGCCAATTGGTCACATCTGCGCCCCACCCAGTCCACCCGTTAGCCTGAGTTGAATTTATGTAAGCAGCGTCCAGAGTTATGTAGTGGAGCTACGTAGAGTTGACGAGTACGTACCCTGATCAGTACCTCAGGTACGCTAAGCTTGCTAATTAATTGCATGTAGGCGGGCAGTCGCGGTTGAATGACGAGGTCGCGACTGAGCGCATAGTGAGACGCGCCTCAGGCGTACCTTCTATCTTGTCATGACAACTGCCAAAGTGAAATTCCACAGAGTTATAGAAGCAACACCCAAGTGATTTCTTACCACTTTGATCTATTTTACTATTTCTTTCAAGAAGGAAAAAAATAATTTTGTCAATCACGCGTATACGCTTAACGCCCCCGACATACATGGCGATACGCATATCAATTTGCACCAACCCGTGATTCCCGTGTGTTCTACTCTGTAGACGCAGTGCAGCACTATGGACGGCACGGGTGAAGCTGATGCAGATGCCAAAAAAATTCACCCCTTCTTTTCAGCGACAAAGAACACTGCTCCATCGATACCCGTCTCAGCTATAGCATTACCTGTTACCCCAGATCCGTCCTGCAGTCCTGGCTCCGACAAGCTTTCTGCTAGGGCGGATGCATCTATAAACATTCTCGACGACAATGAGCCTGCGCAAGGACGGACCAAGCGACGTAAGACCGACTCTGACGCAGAGCCTGAAGAGTCTAAGCCGCAACGCAAACGAGGACGTCCGAAAGGGAAGACGAAGCCGAAAGTAGCAGAGGGTATCAACATCGCCGAGCACTTTGGCCAGAAGAACGATGCTACGCACAAGAAACCCGAAGTCCAAGGCGAGCCTTGCAATGATGGTACACTACAAACAGACACACATTCCAAGATGCTGCATTCTGCACAACCAGTCCCACAAGCTCAACCGCCTTCAGCAGCTGTGGATGCACAACCGGCTGAGACTTCCATTTCCGACAAACCATCACAAGAATCAAAACCAAAGAAACTCTTGAAGTTCAATCCCAAAACCGGAACCATCGGTTCTCCGCCCAAATCGAAAGCGCAGAACATGGACGAATCGGTACCAGATCAAATACCTGCAGCTCGACCCAGGAGGTCCAAGAAAGGGACAAGCTTGTTAGTACATATCCGATATGGTCACGATGACGCTGCCCGTACCCGAATCGCGGAAAAGATCGAAGAGATATTCAGTGGCGTGAGGTATATCTCTGCCAAGAACAGCAAGCTTGTTGCATCTCAATTATCGGGAGAACAGAGCAGTTCGGCTCCTAGTCAAGAAGCGCCCAGCAAACGCTCTTTGAAGAAGGATCAGACGCTCAAGGCAGCCAAGGCTGCTCATCCATTCTTCAATTCTAAATCCAAGACAACTGTGACAACTACAACTGCGAAAGAGCTGCCAAAATCCCCATCGAAAAAACAATCCATCTTCACGTCCACCCCATGTTCACCAAAACAAATACGCCAAAAACCCACAAAGTTCAATTTCCCGCAATTCGGTCCGAAGTCTGGTGGTACCAAGTTCCCTGGTGCTCAACAGGCAGCATGGCCATGGAAAGGCATGGTTCACATTCATGGCGATGAGCGTGATACAAATCCGTTTTGGCCTATTGCATCCCGCCGAATGGACTCTGGAGGTAGAAAAGCCAAGGGTCGTGAGATTGAGTTTTCGGCAACCGAATCAGTCATGCGGGCTGTTGAGAAGAGGCTCGAATTAGCAAAGCTGGCGGAAGAGGTAAAATTGCTCAATAGCGATGATTTTCTTCCTCCACCGCCAACACTCCGTTTGCCAGGTCGTCATTTTGAAAGTGGCAAGAGACTTCAAGAAAGATTAAGATCAGAGCTACGAACCCTGGAATCAGGAGATCGGACTCAAGCGCATCCTGCTATTTTGAACGGCTTTGATTCCCTGTCAAGATCTTTGACTGCATTCGACCGGTCAACCTGCGAGAATATTGCCTGGACGCAGAAGTACTGTCCCACATCAGCAAGTGAGGTGCTTCAGGGCGGCAAAGAGGCTGAGCTTCTCCGAGACTGGCTTCAAACTCTGAAGGTTCAAACCGTAGATACAGGCTCATCAGACAATGGCACTGCAAATGCTAAGTCGGGCCCTGCGAAAAAGAAGAGGCGGAAGAAGCTTGATAACTTTATCGTATCAAGCGACGAAGAAGACTTGTTGATGAATGAAGAATCCGATGATGAATCAGCATGGCTGCCCCAGCATAGCCATGGGAGCTCAAGGAGGACTGTCGTGCGACCTACTTCAACGAAGGTTGTGAGGTTTATGAATTCTGTCCTACTCAGCGGACCTCATGGCAGTGGCAAATCGGCAACGGTATACGCAATCGCCAAAGAACTTGACTTTGAGGTGTTTGAGATAAGTCCAGGATCGCGAAGGAATGGCAAAGACATTGTTGAGAAAATTGGCGACATGACTCGAAACCACCAGGTCTCTCATAAGCAGGAAGCAGCGAAGCTCGACGATGCTATTAATGAGGACGATGTCGCCCGTGAAATCTCGACCGGTAAACAAGGCATGATGACGGCCTTCTTCAAGCCAAAGGTTGAACCCAAAGCCAAAGCCGAAGTAAAGCCCAAGGGCGAATCAGAACCCCCGAGGAAGACATCCAACAAGGCTCAGAAGCAATCTCTGATTTTGCTTGAAGAGGTCGATATCCTCTACGAGGAGGACAAACAATTTTGGGCTACCGTTATCGGGCTCATGGCCCAGTCCAAACGCCCATTCATCATGACTTGTAACAATGAGTTCCTGGTGCCACTGCAAAACCTTGCTCTACATGGTATTTTTCGGTTCAGTGCCGCCCCGACAGATCTCGCTGTTGATCACTTACTCCTGATCGCGGCCAACGAAGGGCATGCGCTGAGTCGGGATGCCGTCCAAGCTCTGTACGAGTCGCGTAGGAACGACCTGCGTGCTTCTATTAGCGAGTTGAATTATTGGTGCCAGATCGGGGTCGGTGATCCCAAAGGAGGTTTTGGGTGGTTTTACCGAAAATGGCCCAAGGGGTCTGATCTCGATGAGCGTGGGGATCGGATTCGGGTGGTCAGTTCGGATACATACCGGACGGGGATGGGCTGGCTCGGTCGGGATCCAGTCAGCAACTTACCCATCCGATATGTACAAGACGAGATCACTCGACAGGTCTGGGAGAGCTGGGGACTTGATACAAGCGAGGATCAATGTTGCTTGAACGATCTGGAGCAGGTAATGATGCCAAACACCACGCACGTCTCACGTGGAGATCGTATCGCCCTTCTCGACGCCGCAGACTCTTTTTATGAGTCGTTCAGTGCAGCAGACATCATCTCACAAGGTGCCTTGTCAAGTCTGAATCAAGTCTCTTTGGATCCCACATTGCCGCCTTCTGCAATTAAGACCAAAGACGACTTCATCATCGGTCTGCAACCTATAGACGCCCCATTGCTGAGCAGATATAATACTGCGACATTCGATATGGCTACGAGCATCAGGAGCTTCGCTAGCTCACAACTGCCAAATACCAATCTCACTGGTCATTCTGAGCATTCCCAACTCGACGAAAACTCAGCCATCAATAAGATCAGAGCTAACATTGGTAAACTCGCTTCCCTGTCTGGCATCACTCGACTCGACTACAGTATGGCCTTTGATCCTATTGCCGTTTCCGATAAGTCTTTGGGCCAGTCTTCTGGTCATCTTGACCCGTCTGTATTCGACCGTACCATGAAGATGATTACACTGGATGTGGCGCCTTATGTGCGTAGCATTGTCGCTTATGACCAGCGGCTCCAAACGGAACGATTACTACGGAGTAATCTGCTTAGCGAGGGCGGCAAACCGAAGAAACGAATGCGCTCGACGCGTAGTGCTTATTCTGCGCTGGAAGGCGGTACTCGAGCCAGTACGCGACGGGAGAAGTACTTTTCTGCAGATATAAATCCCCATCTCGTCATGAAGACAGGGGGCAGAGGTTGGGAATTGCTGACGAATGATGTACATACCATGAACGAAGTGCCAAATAGTCCAAACTCTTCCGCGGTGGACAGCGATGAGATGAATAACCCTATAGCCTAGAATAGTTGGTCGCGGCCTCATATGATATATGGTGATAGCTGAGCACAGAGATTGGACCGAAGATAGATGGGATGAATCCAACAGATCGCTACATATATCTACTTGATCAAATTACCAGAACGTGTGCCTTGTGATGTTGTCGAAGTTATGAAAGCCAATATTTTGGAATTTTGAAGAACTCATTTCAATGGGTCACAGATAATAACGAATTAGGAAGAGTAATTACAAATAATGATAATTAGATGAATATTATTACAGTGGTATCTAGTCATTTCTAATCATGATTCATAATTACGGGAAAGCATTGTATCGCTTTCCGACAATGGTTCCATTACCGACTGAGGGATCAGTGTAAATGGTCAGGATATCAGTCGAATTGTCATAGTCGACGCCGCACTTTTCAGAGAAGCCGCTAAACATGTCGACGCGCTCCTGGAGATAGCTTTCGAAGCCGCTTCGGGAGCAGGTGGTGGCGGGGCCATCAATGCAGTTGGTCAGGGGCTGAGGAGCACTGTTGACGAGGACGCGGTAGTATTCGCCGTCATCGTAGCCGTAGCTTCCGGTACAATTTAGGCGCTCAATGGCCAGATTGCTGAGGAAGGGGAGCACGTGGGAGCTCTTCCAGGCCCGGCGGTAATTGATGCGGTCCAGGGGCATGGTATCGTTGATCTGGGCCTCGCTGCCGCCAAACTCGGAGTTGTTGAACAGGCCCATGGCGACAAAGACCATGGGGGGCAGCTCGCGGTGGGTAAAACTGACGTAGAGGTCCTGGGCGTCGGCGTCCTCGCTCATGAGCAGGTTCGCGGTGGCGTTAAACCAGGGCAGACCGGCGTACCCGGCGACTTGGTTGCCGTAGCCCACATTGTAGTGGTAGCGGACGTCCTCGGTGTACTCCCATGACAGCCAGTCATCGGGGCTGAAGAGGTCCAGGTCGCAAAAGGGCGAGCTGCCGCGGATGACGGACTCGTAGCCGCACAGCTCCATCATGCCGTAGACGTCGTTGGTGGTGAAGTTGAATTCGGGGGCGGCATCGTTGAAGCGGGCGATAATGGGTGCGGTGAACTTTTCCTTGTACACGTTGGACTCGTCGCTGCCCGAGGACGACGAGTAGGCCGGGCAGGCCTTGTAGGGGGTCAAGCTGTCGGCTCCCGACTCCTCGGACTCATAGATGCTTACAACATTGATGGTGTTGTCATCCAACTCGAGGCCCCGGACGAGCGACTGGGCCGACTTGTACGTGCGCTCGGCAGAGGAGGTGTATACGCGCTCGGGCAGGCGGAGGCCCGGGTAGCGGAACGACAGGTCGACACCGAGCTCCGTAGCCTCGAGTCTGCCGACGCGGGTCAAGAGTTCCTCCTCGGCCTCGGAAATCGGTGCTGACCAGGTGGCCAAGAAGTTCAGGCTGGGGATGGAACTCCAATCGATGCCAGTGTGGTTCTGAAGCTTCTCAATGAAGGGCTCAATATATTCCTCGTAGTCAAAGTCATTGGCAAAAATGGCCGCATGGCGAGACAGGTAGGCTGCTCGCGTAGCCGAGCAACCCTGTGGGGGGTCTGGTGATGTCTGGGGATCTTGAGGCTCAAAGTACGGAGCGATGCCTGCAAGATGTTCCAGCGGGTTGAAGTTATAAGTCGAGTACAGGGCAGAGGCCGAGGTTTGCAGAGCGAGCGGTAGAATGTTGAGCAAGAGCTTGCAGCTCCGAGGGGAAAGATGTGAAGAGGAAGACATGACGGGCGGCCTCACAGTAGGTCAGGCTATGGTGCGTCTTGTCTTTGTTGTTCGTCTAATGATATACCACCCGGCAAACTGCAACCTGAGTCAAGACGGTTAGTGAGGAAGTGGTTTAAAAGTTCATTGAGGACGCGGAACAGTGAAGAAGCTTATATCACCAAACTCAATTGAGCTGCAGACTCTTTTACTAAGTAAACAATTGACCTCATAGTCGATCTCCATATCCGGGTCGCTCGTCCTTTCATTTCGCGATGAGTCCGTCCAAGCGGCGATCGTTTGTTAATGGAAACTCAGTGTTTGGCGTCATTGGGACCACTAAATCCAGGCCCTTGACCAGCTTCTGCCAAGCTAGACACGTTCTTGGCAATGCCTAGCCCCGAAGCTTGACCATTTCTCCCCCACATTGTCGGCTTTGACGGCCAGCGGGTAATCCCCTGTACCTGGCCGAGCCTGGCAGGCCTAGCTGCGCTGGCATACTGTTGGCAAGGTTGGGTTCTGGGACGGCCCAGTCACAAAACGTCATCGTCTGGCACCACCCCCGT